ATAACTCTAATAAGTTAAAAATACTACAGCGTCCTATATTGACGATATTAAAGCAAAAGCTTCGATAGAAAGATGCGTTTGAAGTGCCAACAATTCATGAATCCTCATTCCTAATGACTTCTGAAATATCATTTCAGAGTTTTGGATCTGGCTTGAAATGCCAAACCTAGCGGCGTAAGTTTGTACATAGAAAAGTTGCTTTTATTTTCTCTACGTGCGAAAATTGTACGTTGAATTCGTAGCTGTATTTAGTAAGTCTATCAGATATTAGTGGCTGCAAATGATATCTTGAAATGAGTACAACATATTAGGTAGCCAATTTAGCACAGGCTATACCTAGAACACCGAAGTGCTAGAAAAACGACTGGAAACGAATGTTTATACAGAGGGGATCCGCCCCGATGTCCAACTCCTTAACCCTTGATATACCATTTTTGACGGAAAAGGTACCCCTTTAGTATACCTTCTATTGACAGATGGTACCTCTTTCACGTACCTAGTTTAGAACTTTGCACCCCTGAGTATTGCTGTACATACACTTTCTTTAAATTATGAATAAGTCGCCAAACCAGAACGTTTTCTCGACTTTTCCATCTGTTATCCCTTGGGCCTATTCACAGACCAAAAAGACAGATTTCCCTATACCTTACACCCTTTTAACTAGTGAAATCCCCACCCTTTCAAATACCTGAAAAAAATTACCCGTTTCGGGCGGAGCCTCCCCGTATAGACCTTTGTAGGGATTACCCCCGGGGGAGCCCTTTCCGCAGCTTTCTGATGTTTCTGCGGAATACTCTGATTAGGGTAGCCTTACGGAGGAATGGGATTTTCGGTTTTGGCCGCGCGAGAAATGAAACGAGAGCCAAAAAATGAAAGAGGGGGAAGGGGAAGGAAGGAAACTTTTCCTTTCTTCCCCACCCCCTCCCCGCTCTTTTACTTGCGCCATTTTTCGAGCGGTCTCTGACTCTCGTTCTCGTTCTTTAACCCTAAACCACAAGGTAACGCTTGTTACGCAGGCTAAATAATTGTAGACGAAAAGAATGGGAACTTAAACCTCTATTAAGGCGCCTGCTTTTGGCCATGCCAACGAAAGTTCAAGCCGCCATCAAGGATTTGATTCTTTTAGTTTGGCTTCATTTTAAAAATATGATGAAGGAAAATACAGTCCGAGATAAAAGGTGACGACCCGTTGTGGACCAGGCCACAGTTGTTCAAAAGGCGGATAGCAGTATCCACCGGCTAACACTCTATCCACTGGATAGCGCAATTGGTTTCCCGAACATTTATCCACGTGAAAAAAGATTTATCCCGTGGATAACGCTATCCAGCTTTTGAACAATTGGGGCCAATACTGCTTCTTCCGTCGCGCGTTTGTTTTAATATCAAATGATGTTTCTACTAAAGATTATGCTAATTTATGACGAACCTCTATCGAGCGGACAACCTGAGGCGCCCACTTAACAGTACCCCTAGGGTCTGTAGGGCGGCCACTTAATGAATTGTTGTGAAGTATTTTGAAAGCTATTTTTAAGACGGATCTATCTCAACTTTTAAGTTTAGTTTTTGTTTCATTAAGTCTTGTTTTTGTCCACGTACTGCTTTCCTGTTTTGATCTTTTGTTTTTACTTGTAATTGAAGTTATGCTTAGCTCGCGAATTTACTTATTGCCATATTAGGAATGTTACAGGTGGTCGTGTTTGTGGCGTTAGAGCTGACCTTGGATCTTTGGTACTTGTCAGTTGCGACTTTGCGTGGGCTAATCTATTCCCTAACAATAGCAAACCTGTTGCAATGTTAACGATAAGATATACAATAGAAACTCCTTCCGGTCAGCTAACCCAAACATGTCCAGCTATGGCTATTAAAACCGCTACTATACTTGAACTAGTAGAGTAGAAGTAGAGAAGTAGAGAAGTAGGAAAAGTAGAGTAAGCAGAAGTTGTAAGAAGATTAAGAAGAATAAAGGCTAAGATGTAAATCAGATTCCTGGTACCTCATCGTGTAGCGAGCGAGTTGCTCGAACACACCCCCACAGAATAGTCAGCTGTATATACCATTTGTAAATCCGCATATCCGTTCGTCTCTTTGTGCACTATTCCCAGCATATTCCGGAGCAAGCTCCTGCAGCATCATAGCTAGCCTAGGACCAAGCTCCGCAATGGCGGGGAAAGGCTAAACTGAGCGATAATATGACGATGAGGGCCGCTGTCAGAGTGATATGGGTATCTCCGCGTTTTGGGCATCCCCAATCCCAAAACCCTAGTGATATGGGCATCCCCTATAACCCTATCCCTAACCCTAACCCATATGAGAAAGGGATGCCCATATCACTAGAGTTTTACTATAACACCGCCGCCATTTCCCCTTCCCAGTCCACCACTCGGCTCGCTTAGCTTGCCGGCCACGCTGTTCATGTTTTGCCTTTTCTCCCCACTACGGAGCCTGGTTCCAGGCTACATCACAGTATAATCTCGCTGAAAATCATCTATTTTTAATATCTTCATTGCAAAAAGCGTCATACAAGGAAAATCTAGGTTCCATTTGGTAGGGGTGATTGCATTTTACGTTTTATTAATTTGGAATTCCCCTCATTCGACTACACTAAGTTTGTGTTGTATATGTTGTAGTTAAAAATATCGATAACTTTTAGACAGGAAGTTCTTTTGTAGTAAATCCTGTCCGTTAATTATGTCTATTCCTGTCAGCAGTTCTTGCTTCCGTTACGTTAAAGACGCTTTCTTCATAGAAAGTTGGAATTGATGTGAACTTCAGACTGAAAAAACTTCACTTATATAGGGATTGAGTTATACAAGACGGACGTAATTCTTGTAAATTGATCGGTCGTCAGCTTAACTTTGAAAGCCAGAATACTCTTCGATTTCTAAGCTGTAACTATATTTCCTTTCTGAACTGAATAAACATATTTCTTTTCGCTTTTGCCAAAGCATTTAAAAACTTATTTTTCTAGACTTGCCCTCAATTACTAGTCAACGTTTTTAATATAAGCGACGAGGTCACGAACTGAACAAGCGTCGAAAGTCTTGGTTTTCCGCTCCTGACCGATAATCAAACCAAAACGGAGTTTTAGAAAGTTAAAATCATTACAACAAGCTTTGCGTGTCCGGGGGCTGCAAAAACCGCCGCGTGTGCAGACAGAGCCTGATAAGGTGTGTGATGTTTCTGAATTTCATAATGTTTTCTTTTTTCTTCTTTCTTTAAATCTAATATTTATGGCCTCATTGTAGACAGAATCCAAGAAAGACCTATTCATCTCTCGGTAAGATCACTTATCTCAAGCTGTTTTGACATTTTTCCATTCATCACATCTACCAGCAGAAGCAAAATTCCCGTTTCAGCCGGCTAGGTGGCACGTGACACTTAACAATACCTTTAGCCGTTGCGTTATCGCAGCGAGTGACACAGTTTAAAACAGGAAGTTCGTTTATTGAAAACAAGGCTCGATTATTTTCATGACTTTCACCGTAGCAATATAGACTAGTACTTTCCCCCTGTACTTTAACTTAACAGCAAAGGCTAAAATACAACGGAAACGTTCGAGAGCCACGTTGTTTCGGTTTCTACGTTTTGGTTTCGAGCGTCATGCAGCTTTGTTGGCTTTCGAACCAGAGTTATGCATGACAAATAAAAGGCTAACAGTGGTACAAAGGCATAAAAACAATTTGACTCGTATATTTTGTTTCTAAAACGATTTTCGGTAAATTTATGGGCAAGGGGATCAACAAAAAATTGTTAAAGATGTCTAATTGTATTTTCAAGTATTCACCGATATTGCTTTTATTAGTTTTTTTTCTACGTGTGTATACAGTATGCTAGAAATGTTTTCGATTAGACATCGCAGCTTAGGTAACAGACACAATTTTCATCCCTGCGAAATAAATAATATATACTGTTCATGTATCTTTTCACAATGTTTCCACACGCATATCGTGGGAATGCTTATCAGGAATGGAAAGATAACAGAAACTGTATAAGGTTTGCTTTTTTTATGCTAACGTTTTTTATTTTTATTGCTTTCACTTTTGAGGTCTTTTTCTCCGTCGATCAAAACATAAAACCTCTTTCAATATACTAATATCAATAGGGAATCTTTGTCAGGTTTCGCTTATTAATCGGGTCCGGCGTCACCCAATCAGATTAAACTTCCCGTTTTTCCTCATCCGGTCAGTAGTGAAACATCTGAAGGCTTCGCGGAGACGAGAGAATTATCGCTGATCTCACTGGCGAAAAAGCAATTCATATCAACTATGTCATGTTTTATTAAAAACACAGGATGTCGAACTGTGCCTCGCTGAAAACATTGTCACGAATTTTTAAACGGTTTTGAGTTAAGGTTTCACATACAGCTAATCGCTCCATATCGCCTCTTTAATTGAATACCTTTCCCACAAATGTGTTTATATGCTCGAAATAATATCGGTTTGAGGGTCTATCATTTTAAATATGTGGTGTTGAAGCGCTTAAAACATGAACATATGAAACAAAATCTACTTCCGGNATCAATAGGGAATCTTTGTCAGGTTTCGCTTATTAATCGGGTCCGGCGTCAACCAATCAGATTAAACTTCCCGTTTTTCCTCATCCGGTCAGTAGTGAAACATCTGAAGGCTTCGCGGAGACGAGAGAATTATCGCTGATCTCACTGGCGAAAAAGCAATTCATATCAACTATGTCATGTTTTATTAAAAACACAGGATGTCGAACTGTGCCTCGCTGAAAACATTGTCACGAATTTTTAAACGGTTTTGAGTTAAGGTTTCACATACAGCTAATCGCTCCATATCGCCTCTTTAATTGAATACCTTTCCCACAAATGTGTTTATATGCTCGAAATAATATCGGTTTGAGGGTCTATCATTTTAAATATGTGGTGTTGAAGCGCTTAAAACATGAACATATGAAACAAAATCTACTTCCGGTGGGAGAGCGATATAATTTATCAATAATAAATTTATTCTTTATTTAAAAAACCAGGAAGTTGGGCTGAAACGAGGTTGGGTTACAACGCTTGAGCGCCAAAGCTCAAAGGAACAACTTTTTTATGATAACGAAACCATTATTATTCTAAGAAGGCTGAAGCAAATATCTTTCATTCGAGGAAAAATACCACATTGACAAAACGAAAGCAACTGGAGTTTGGCCTTTCACTTTATTTTTCCGTGACACGCCGGACAAAAGTCATTGGGGTGGTGATTTGTATGCATATTGCATATTGTAAACGGCTACTGCAGCGTAGTGAGCACTGAATTCCTGGTTCCTGTGTGAGTCATCGTCTTCCTCGGACTAAATTACTAGAACAGTCTCCCGACTGCGTTAACAACATCTACAAATAACTTGGACATGATAGGGGTCTGCCAAAATCATGTCGTTACCCATTTGGTTTATCAGCGCCCTCTTGGTCTTCTCACTGACTGTTAACTTGTCAGTTGCAGTTTTTCTTTTTCTGACTCCAGCGATCGTATTTCCTTTCTCCAAGTCAAATAGCCAGCTCTCCCGTAAGATAATGAAGTTATACGAAGAAAAACCTCGACTAGTTGGAAAACTGTGAGTATTATTATTGTAAGTCGTTATTTACATTACAGTACTTCTCGTTGTAATATTCACTTCTGAAAAAGCGCTGCTCGTCTTTCTGAAAAGGGTGTAAAATTATAAACACGGACTTCCGAAAGTTGAAAAATTGTTCTTCCATCGAAAACGTTTCTTCACAGTTAAGTCCTCTTTTCCGCGTATAAAGTGTTTTGGTTAACAATTTAATAACGAGAAGTCACGCGTGAGAAACTCTCGTCACGCGTGACGACCACACAGACAACATCGAAAGTGCTTTTCCCGATAGATATTTCCGCATTCATTAATTTTAGAGGAAAAAGCCTCTATTTTAAGTCCAGAAAGGGTTTAGAAACGTAAGGTGTTTCACTTTCACAAATTTCCCGATCTACTGTCAGCTTGATAACCACTTTTTCCAAGAACAGATGCACTCGAGTTTCAGAGATGATTTGATTCCATGGAAACACTAGATGATAATATAAAAATAACAAAAAGCATGCAAAAGCCGAGATGGTACAAAGATTCTATTTTGGAGCTATAACTTTCAGTTTTAGAATATCAGTGGAAGTCGAGTATTATTACTAGAAATAGAGCCTGCTTCAAGTTTGTATTAAAGAATCTCACGAACCAAGGTGACTTCCGGGATAACTAGGGCCTATGTTTCGGTACACTGATCCCACTAACATGCGTGCGGTCCGCCATGATTTAGTATAAACCGCGTGTACTAAAGCTCGCGCCTCGTGTACTAAAGCTCGTTTTCGATTTCTAGTCATTAACAAAGCAAAGAGGAAGCATCATAAGTTTAGAACCAGCGACTGAAGATATGACACCCATTGAAACTCATCTCAATTTTTCAATTCATGACTTTTCATTGTCTACAATTTATAATAATAAAAAACGTGATCGCTTAAGATTACGCGGGTGTTTTAATTGCTTTTACCGCGTGTCATAAACTTAAAGAAGACGAATGCTCCGTGATCATTTTTGAACCAATATCCGTAAGTTCTCGGAATAGATAACGTAGTTTACTAGTAGCTTACATTTTTTTCTAAGAAAGGAGGCTTGCCAATATTTCACTGACGATAATTAAAAATTGGAACTAAGTCGATACTCAGAAAATAACGCAAAAATATTTTATCGCCATATAATGTGCATAATAGCTAAGTTATAGCGGACGTTCTGCCAAGCTCAGTACGCGTCCCATTTTCTTTGACAAGAGAGAATGATCTCTCTTGTCATTGATGAATAACGTCAGTGTTTCTCAGCTAATTTAATGGTTACCAATATCCCATAAAATTCTTGTTTTAGTTCTAGAAACCATTTTTGGTTATTCTCTCATTCAAATAACAAAACGTAAATTGGAACCGAAAAAAGGCATGTGGGTGTAACTATAGCGTGTGAGCAGACGGGTTTCAGTTTTGTGGGTGGGCTGGTGAGGATTGCGTGTCGGCATTTGTCCTAACCAATCACACTTCCGTGTCAGCTGGAAGATTTTTCGACACCCCCTTTTGACGTTCTGTCTGATGCAACGATTTTACTGTCAATCAAAATTCGCTTGTCCGTTACATCAAACTGGTAACGTTTGCTGACTAATGCTATTGCGGTTAGCTGTACAGAGTAACAAAGTCGAGTCCAAAACTTCCACAAAAACTCAACTTTTGATTTACTGTTTATTATTTCATTCATCATACATTTTGTTATAAAAAGTTTTTTCATAGAAATGAAAGATTACAAACGGAAATAAAATCCCCACGCCTTCTTTCAAAAAGAACGTAGAGAAAGCTTCCGCGGTGTGAAGGTGTACAGACCTCTTGCTAGAAGGCAAAACGTACTTTTAACTGATTTTGAAATCAAAACAGGGTAAATATCAAGAACACTGTGGAGTAATATAAAATGTTGCTAAAAAGATTCGCGCGTTGTGATTCGTCACAACTTCCTCGTAGAACGAGAAATAGCAGATCACGCGCGTGATGAAGAGAGCCGATCTAACCTTTCATTATAGCAGTGACTACTTAATCTCATCTGGCGACCAAGATTTGGTCGTCACTTATATGAAAAGATTGCTAACGAGAGATGGACGCTTTGACTAGGAAGACTAATGTTGTTAATTAAGTCCCATAGTAACAAACATTTATTCTCTTCTAACATATTCAATACACAGTCAAGAGAAAGGTTATAAGAATATTAATAAAATGATCACTGAAGGGAAAATGCTTTGTTCTTGCATCTAGAGTCATTGTAAGGTAGATCCTGTCTTGAAATAATGTTACCTTCGAGGTTACAAAAAGTATCGTGTGTCTGTAAAACGTTTTAGGAGGGAATTTAACAAGGTTTTGCATTCTTCTTTTCCTCAGGTTACGAGACCAGATCTTTTCTCTTCTCCTCTTCTCGTGCGGTTTGTACAGCGTTTCCTGTAAAATCACGTATGAAAATCCTCTACGCGACACTCCTCTGTCTTCCCTCCTCATCTTCTCCGTTTATCTTGGCAACTACGTGTACAAATTTTTCCAGGACTTTTTGCTGAGAAAAGAGCTTCCTTTATACAAGATCAATCTTCTTCATCACTTCGTCACCGCGACATCATACGGAGTTTTAATAGTATACAGACAGAATGCCATCTCTGGGGTAATTGGCCTTTTATTTGAGGGTAGCGTGATGGCCTTCGACTTCACGTCACTGATTCGCTTGTTGGGTGCAAGTAAATCCGGTTTACTCTTCTTCTTAACTTCTGCGTCTAGTTTTGTAATCACTGTCCTGCTGAGAGCGATTAGTCCGGTAGCTTTACTTGTACAAACTCTCTCACACCACAGTCCGCTGTCGTTGGAGTATGTCCCATTGGGATTTTTCTTCATGAACATAGTGTTCTTCGCCATGATAAACGGATGGCACATAAAGGTTTCTTCGGAGAGCTTAAAGAAACGCTTACTAGCAGCTCGTCTGTCATATTACTACAGCAGAGGAGAACACAGTGATATAAATTCTAACGGTATGGAGCTTAATAACTTCACCTCGCCGGCTCACTCGCTACCCCACACCGCATTGCCTGTAATTATTCCAACAGACGCGAATTTTAGACTTTCTTCTCCTGTGTCTAACGTGAACATGAACAGTGAAGAAGTTTCTAACATTGCAGTTTCGCGACGTGAGCGGACTTTGCCTCAAATTAGTCTGATCATTAACGACCATGCTGACCATCATAACGAGGGACCGATTGACCAGGTGTAAAAGACTCTTGCAAATACTTTGGTCATGCTGTTACAAAAAAATTGTCCCCGACAGAGAACCTGCTTGGCTGGTTAGTGATCACGCAGACCTTCTAAACTAGTCTTATTGGAGAGAGAAATACATGAAGGCAAACGAACCACCTTGGCGGTCTCCATTTTGACCGGAAGACCACTCATAGTATCTTCTTTGTTCCAGAGATATTAGCGCGAGTGAAACACGCGAGCTCGCGAGAAATTTCCACCTGCGAGCGGGCACTGCGAGCGTCTTTCGTTCGCCACGAAACTTTTTCAAACTGTTACTGGAAAGCTACCATGATACTACTTTTTAAATGGTAGTTTGGAGAAGGAATAAGGCTGTGAAATATTTCAGGAGAAACGCGATGAAATTAAATATCTTGTGTTTCTTGAAGAGATAGCCAGAAATGTGAAAGAAAATTGACTGTTTGGGGGACTGGAAAAAACAGATAACCTGAACGTTGCGCTGGCAATGACAACGGCCCGCTCTTTTCGATGTGGCAAGGTTAGTTTAGTCCTGGAAAAAGGACTTTTTCAGTGCGGTCGTTATGCGAGCCGCTAGAGAGGGAGGAGAATTTTCTTGTAACTGCACTTACATTTTTAACGCCGGTCTTGAAAACATCTCGCTAGTAAATAAATATGTATTATGTATTTAGATTTTAGCTAGGAATATTTATTTGAAGATTCTTGCATTGATGCTGCCTAACAAAAAAATACTTTTATCCACTTTATTAAAAAATTATAACAAAAGAACTGTAATAAATATATAGAAGAACTGGAGAAACGTTTCTGTCTTTACTATTACTCACAATCACCGGGAGAAGATAATCGGATCATGATAAAACTCAGGAAGAAATGACTTAAATACCAATTCAATCACGTAAACAAATAAACAGCACGTAAAACGATATACGATATCAATTACAAATATCCTGCGAACAGAGGTTTTTCCCTTGCATGGGAAGTCGAAGTCGAAGTCGAAGTTACGAAGTCGTTCGCGTCGCTTCTCAGTTGCGTAATTAACAAACTACGCGACAGACAAAAGACGCGAACGACCTCGTAAATGTTAAAAGCCATGCAAGAGAGAAGCCTCTGTTCACAGGGTAGTTATAAAAGTTGGTAGAGGAGTTAAATAAACTTTCTTACGTAACTCGTTGGAAATCATAATAACGCTTTACTAAAAATAATGGTCGTCGGTTTTTGTATCACAAAAGAGATGAGGTTAAAAATTGCTTTGTTCATTTCCATGCTCTTTTAAAAACATGTGGATAGTTATGAAAAAAAACTTTTCCTACAGCTGTAAGAAATAGGCAAGACGTGCGCTCATTAACATTCAGTATAAATTTTTAAAAGACTTGCTGTCATTTATCGGCTTGTTCGATCCTGACATCCGGTTGTGCTTAAAGAACTCCTTCGAAAACCTTTTTAGGTTGTCAAGGATCCGGATCGAGGCTGACGTAAATGTCTTATGAAGGCGTTAGAAATTAAAAAGCACGTGCGTAGGAAGGACTCAGTTTCGATTTAAAAGGAAAATTGTTTCTTACATTGAGGGGCATGATTTTGTATGTCTACAAAACGGAATTTAAAACGAAAGACAAAGAATTTGTTTTTCGTTTTAAATGTACCACAAGCAGAGAAAGGAAGTCTAAGAAACCGAAGAACATACATAATTCACGCATTAACCCGAAAACTGATAAACGAGCTTCAAATTGGCCGGGAAAAAGGTCAAGTTCACGTTCATTTTTAAAGCATCAATTAATATTATTAAACAGCCCACGTACGCATGACACATCAAAATTCCTACATGGGTCCTAGGTTTCTAGTCATGTTTCCATATTTGGTTTCGTCAGTTTCCTTTTTGCTCAAATAAAGTCCGCTCTTCTGGAAATTACGAGACAAGGGAATCATAAGCAATTTGCAATTCTGTCCGTAATAGACTTGGAGTCAAGATAGAATTTTGATATATCGAACGCGGGCAATTGTGTTTCTAACTATAACCAGCCGCGGTACTAGGCTGTAAAGTCGTGCTATAAAAACACCAAACCTCGTGTGCGAGACAAGGCAACCACAGGATTTGACGAATTCGCCTTTTTACTTTAAGGACAAGCCAAACTTGCAGCGAAAGAACAAGGGAAAGGAATAAGACAAAAGATAATCAGTTTTCTAAAATGTTTTCTTGAAGATATGGGTGGGACACGCTTTTTACTTCCCTCATTAGTCATATTGAAGTTCAGAACACCCGGGACTCGCATGTGGATAGCACCTACCCTGGGGCAATTAAGGCCATATTTTTAATACATGCAAAAAGTAGGGAGCTTTAACAATGACGATTTCGGCAGCGTCACTACTGAAATGACTTCGCTTTTTACAAACTTTTTCCTTATTATTCCAGCTGGCTCAAAATGTCACATCAGGTGGATTTGCGGACAGTTGAATTCTCGAGGACCGCACCCAAGCTTTGAAAGAGAAAGAAAAATTCATCGTTTTATTCATCACGTGCTCCATAAAACGTTGCATGAGGGAATTCACTGTCGTCGTAGTTTCGAGTAGTCGTGCAGTGCCGGCAAAGAAATGTACCAAAAAGTGTGATGCACGTGCAGAGTTGTTGTTTTGCTTAACTTTTTGACGTTTTCAGTTGCCGTCATTGGTAAAGATCTCTGTTCCAAGGCAAAAATTCATCGGGGTAGAACTCTTTATCAGTTTATTTTAGAGGTAAGCAGTAACATCCGTCGTTACTGTAGGTTTAATTCAGCTACTTCCAAGCTGAAACGATTCTAGTTGTTGTTGTTTTTCAAATGCAACACGACGGAAAAACGTGACCAACTTTCATCTGTCTTATCCAAAAATTGACGCGAGTGATTAAGCTCTTTCCTCTCGTTAATTTTACCTAAATGGACAGGTGTAACCGGCAATCTATCAGAAAACTTGTTGTTGATCAGAGAAGATGTCTTAGGCCTCGTTAACACGTATCCGGATACAGTCAAATTAGAGACATGAAGATTTACCGTGTCCGCCGACACGTAGCCCTATTAAAATACGGGTAACCGAGGACTTCGTTAATTTATAATTATATAGAGGTTCGATAAATGGCAAATAGACGTTCCGCTGTAAAATAGGAACTTAACTTGCGTAAACGATGGAGGTTTTCGACATCGCTATATCGTGGATCGCTATATCGTGGTTCCACTGTACGATGATGTCCTGTTAGGCAAGCAATCCTATCGCCATCGTTTTAGCGTTTTCGTGGGTAGACGGGCGAAAACGAGTATGGTCGCGTATTTGTTCCGAAATCGGAGAGAAAAGGCCCCAGTAATGGTGATAATATATGAAAAGAAAATCAAAATAGCAAACGATTCGTTGGCCCTTCACTATATCGAGGTTACACTTAAAAGTTTGACTTAAATTTCTCTTGTGGGTTATTTTGGAGAGAACAAACTTGGTCAGTTAACGGTTCCAGCTTTTGTCAAATTTGAGGAAAGTCTTACACATAGGACGCGTCTTAAATAAGACGCGAACTTTCCGTATAAACGGCACATTTCGTCTAAAATAAGACGCGACTTAGCTAAGACGCGTCTTATTTTAGAACAGCCCTTAACACTTGTTCTTAGATAAGACGCGTCTTAGCTAAAACGAGAAAAACTTCGTATAAATGACCTTCGCGTCTTACATAAGACGCGAACGAATAGTACGCATGCGTTAATTTTTGGCGCGCCACGTTGGATTGCCGTTGCTACGGGCAACATTCACATGAAAACGAGTCAAGAACAGAAATAAGGCGCGAACCATTTATACGAGCTGTTCTTGACTTAGATAAGACATGCCCGTATAAAATTTATACGAGCATGTCTTATCTAAGTCAAGAACAGCTCTGTACCATTTAATGGTACAGTTCGCGTCTTATGTAAGGTGTAAGGTGTGTGTATTAAGCGGGTGTCCGTAAAGTGGGCCTTGACCGTAAAACTTTCAGGGCTCACTTGTTGCTGTGACTTAAATTTAAAAAAAACCTCCATTTTATGGCATTACATCGCGTTTGATCGAAAGGTAACTCCAGTGTAGGCTGGATGAGCAGTCAAACCTTTATTACATCTTGCTCGGAAAAAAGGCTTTGTCACTGAACTCTGTTAACGACAGATTATTTGAAGTTGTGGGTTTTCTCAGTATTGAGGACAGGTAGCTCTTGCTATTGCCATAATCATGTGCGAACAGGTATGAAAAAAAAAATAACACACACACAAAACAGAGGAGAAGAGTCCGACAGAGGCAGAAGGAAAATAGGGGTGGCTGAATAAGATCAGTGGCCCATGTACCTCCGAATTAACTGCTTTCAGTAATTTTTCCAAAACAAAATACACTGTTTTTCCTGGTTCTACCAATATTATATTTTTTTCTTGGTCCTTTCATAAAAGTAGTTCCGGGAAAGAGGTTCACCCTCCCAGCCGAGTCAACTTTAACGACGATTTATAGAAGAAAAACTTCGACCCTTTTGTCCGTTCCAAAAGCTGACAACAGCTCAAATTCCAAGGCCAAAGAAGTCACAAAGACAGGAAAAGCCATACTGTATTTTCCTTTCAAAAGTCCATGGTACTTAGAAGAGTGTTTGGAACAACACATCTTTTCAAAGAGGACAGACGGCAAATTGTTGTTGCTCGAAATATCTAAAAGTCGTAACTGTTCGTCAGCCCTTTTTTGTCTTAACAAGCAATACTCCTTCCACCTCACGGGAAACTGAGGCTCCATTTATATGGAGAAAACCTGCCCCGTGTAGAAGGATCACCCTCCCAGTCCAGTAAGCCAGTAAACCTTCGAGAGCATTTATATGAGACAAAAGTTGACCGCTTTGCCCGAACCAACAGAGCTCGGGCATGCGCTGATCGTCTAAAACAGCGCTGGCGCATGCTCTGCTCTGATTGTCTCGCTTTGACGAAGTTTACACAGCCGGGCGAGCCAAAGGGTTAAAAGTGAATGGAGAATAAGTTGGCCCGTCAAGAAAATCTCATGGTTGACAATGGTTTAAAAGCTCAAAAGAAGCCAATGTAAAAAAATCCTTGAATAAATTAAACTGATGACCAATAACTTAATCTCTTGTTTCCCTAAATGGTCGGATTTCTTTTGGGCTAGCAAACGTCTGCCCAGACACTATTGTAAAGTGGAAGTGTTGGGACAACTTTGATCGCAAGACCAGGTTAGAGCGGTTTTCACTTGACTGTCGTAAAACCAAAACCAAAGTAAATACACTAGCCAACCAAAGGGCGTAGTAAAACCAAAACCAAACCAATTTCTCAATTACTTTCGACAGTCAAGTGAAAACCGCTCTAACACTTCTTCCATTAAATACAAGCCCTGCCTTTCAGCGTCCATGAGTATACTTGTATTCTGCTAGGCACTATGCCTTGAACACTGTGCCTTGTTTTTGTCATTAAAATCCTTGAAGGCGGATAAGGTAAGTTGTTTTTTTATTATTATTACTTTTTACATCATTCCAGCTCTTTTCATTTTTCGCTCCATTTTCTTTTGTTTCTTTGGATCCACCACCGTTTCATCAGGTTGTGCAAATATCCAAGGACCCAGGATGTAGACCCATAACAAGTACATAGCTCTACAAGGTACCTAAAAGAATAAAAATTACAAGGACCGTGTCACGATTGTCTGGTTCATTGGGTTAATTGGGAGTTTGATAACACGACAGCGACGCCAACGAGAACTTAAAAAAAGCACTAGGTTGGATTGGCAATACAACAGCTCTGCACGTGCATCACGATTTTTTGTACATTTTTTTTTTGTCGTCAATGCACGACTTACAAAGTGAAAAAGCAGAGTTTCACGTGTAATGGGGGACGTAAACAAGCGACGACGAAATTTTAGGAGGCTGCAACCCTTTTAACTGCTGTAAATGTACCGTCTTCCAAATGTGAATACACCACTACAAAGCCAAAACGTTTTTGGGTCTTTTTCACAGCAATAAAATGCGCCTCCTATCCCTTTAAGGTCCTTTCACGGACCCAAATGACAGATTTCCCTACCCTTTTATATACTTCAATTAGTAAAATCCCAACCCATATAGGGCATTAGGCTGATTTAGCAACAGAACGCGAACGCCATTTGACGACGGGAAAGCGCGCAAAAACGACTAAACTCGACTTCCGGTGCCTAATTTGTGGCTCTGCCATTGGTCAAGCCAGTTGTTTGATTTGCGCGCGCCGTCGTCAACTGACGTTCCCTTTCTGTTGCTAAATCAGCCTATTATAGGATTATAGGGAGTGCCCCCAAACCAACCCTCCCCCCCTACCCCACTGGGTCATACATACATACATACATACTTTTTTAAGAGTGTTTTCCAGCATCAATGAAATACAAATTACAGTAACTTCGACTATATTAAAGGAGGGATAGAGTTCTAAAGTGATGACGTGCCAAAAATTAACTTAGGATTCTATTTAGGACTTGATTACAAGAACCTGCTCAGAGGTACTAAAAAGACTTACTCACCAGAAGCATAATAAGCCACATATAGTCTGTGAATATTGCAAGTCCTTGAGTTATTGCTGTTAGAATTATTAGGTCTTTAACATGTCTACAAAAAAGTTTAAGAAGCTTACCATCAGGGACAATGTAGCTTAGCTTACTACAAAACTTTTCATGCATAATTTTTTAGTTAACGGATTTTAGAGTGATGCAAAAGACTGCACCACTATTTGTGGAGGTCAATATTATTGACTATAACTCTTCCATTAAAATTGAAGTTAGCAGAAATAATTAAATTCCAATGACTGTCCCTTTAAAGAAGCATCTGTCTTATGGAGAATCAAAGTGTACTAAAATGAGTGCAGCATCATTCAAAGTAGTTTCGTAAGGAGTATCTGTAAACTATCAGAGAGAGTTTTAATAGACGGAATTCATTAGGAAATTGAGTAATTTTTAGTGGACAACAACCTTGTACCAGAATAATTTAAAGCACATTGCATTCTTTTTACAGTCTCCAAGGGCTATAGACGCAATCAGTTAAATGTAATAACACCAAAGAAAATTTCTTATGGGAGCCCCAGAAAACAACTTTCAAAGGCTTTCAATTTGTCAAAGTGAACTCTTACCCATGAAATTTTACCTCCATGTGTTTTCACAATTCCTGTGAAACTTGAAAATTATTTAGTTTCTTGTGCTCCCCAAAAAAATTTTATTTGGTGTTATTACAGAAACTGATTACATCTATAGCCCTTGAAAAGTGTAAAAAAGAATGCAATATGGCTTAAATTATTCTGGCACAAGGTTTGTGTCCACTGAAAATTAAAATTACTCAATTTCCTGATGGATTCCATCTTGAAGAAAAAAAAGAAAAATCAGGAATTCTCGTAGATGCACAAGTATTGGTATTAAATTAATGCAGAAGAGGTCCCAATATTAATTTTGGTACATGGCAGATTATGCAATGTCCTTTGCATCTATCTCCGACAGAAAGCTTACTGTTGTTAGATTTTAAACAACACTAAAAAATTTCTGAGGGTCTCCTTAATGTTTCAAATTAAGGTATTAGAACTGTTATAAAGTCAAAAATCATGTGATCATGCTTATAAAATCGCTTATTTGAAATGTACTCTTAACCTGAACTCAAATTCCAAAAATGAAGCATTTTCGTTAAATAGAAGCCAAGAAAATGGAGGCCAAAGTTGGTATCTAAGAGTGCTATTTTGGAAATATTAATAATCACACGGCTGAAATCGATGCGATACTCTCCATACTCATCCAATTTTCACAACCCGGCATTTAAATTTAAATTTTATGATTTTGTCTGCATGATGCATTTCTAAATAAATAATGCAGAGATTTCTTATGGATTATGCAATTTCTTGTGGATGCGATATTCAGAAGCACTGTAAAATTCTTTTTACCATATACTCTGCAGTCCTTGTGGGGGGTGCAGGGGTACGCCGGATTTCAAGTAACAGGGGCGATTGAAGGATTTTGGGGGGTTTGAAATTTTTGATTCTGGTATTTTTTTGGGTAGGAAAATTTGGCAAATTTTTTTGGGGGTGGCTTGATAAGTAGGGATTTTTTTGGCTATTCAGAACAATCTGAAGACTCGTGATAGTGCCCGCATATCTCGGCCACGTTGTTCTGCGATTAAAGTACAAACAAACTCGCTTTCCTTTCTCGAGATTTTTAAGGCTTCGAAATTCGGAATGGGATTTTTTGGGGGAATAATTTTTGGTCCAGGGATTTTTTTAAACATTTTATTGGAAGCGCTAGGGACTTTTTTGGGGTTTTGATATTTGGTCCCATTTGATCATCCCTTTTGCTTGAAATCCGGAGTACACCCCCACAACACCACCCCCAAGCTCTGCAGTCCTCTCTGCAGTCATGTATTAATGTAAATTAATGATGAGATTTCTTGCCGATTATGCAATTTCTTGTGGATGTAATTTTGTAGAAGCACTATAAGAGTCTTTTAGCACATACTCTGCAGTCCCGGATTCTGTATTCAGGTCCATGCCTCCATCTATAAGAGCTCCAGATTCAGAATAGGTTGGTTTTGCCATTGACTCCATAAACTTGTAACAGCCAAAGTAAAGAGCAGTGACCATACATAAAAGAACCTGGAAAAAACAGTCGCTTAGCATCTTTCAACATTATCATGATGAATAACTAAAGTAGTAAAATTCCATCCCCTCAAATGACAGCCCATATTTTCTCAAGCTTATCCCAAATGAAACAGTGCAGAATTTCTGTTTTCCCTATGTAAACACAAATTGTCCCAGGACATACTATAAGGACTAGGAAATAGTTTGGTATGTTCACTCAGCCAGACTTCGCAGAGACACCACAAGGCCACCACAAATGCTTATGCTGCTAGGGGTATAGAAGGGTAAATTTGAGACTTTGCAAGACTGTCAGCCCCAGGTTCCAAAATTTGTGACCAAGACTTGAACTTTTTTATCAAATCTGAGTCACGACTCTAACTGCCAGAGGTTTTGAGATTATGGTGCAAATAAAGCTCATAAAATGACTGAAAATGTCAATAGAAGCTAGTGAAAGCCCACCAATATACTACTTTTTGTTTTACTGCCTTATTCTTGTACTAGCTCAGTTCGATAAGCTGTACCCATGAACCTTAAAAAAATCGACTCCTGGAAGCCAAATGGAAAGAAAAACAACAAATCCGGGACTCAGAGACCCGTCGACGAAAAAAAAAACAAGATTTCGAGATTCAGTCAAATTTTCTGAGACCCACATTTTTCGAGGTACTATTCTATGTGCCTAATGCTGTGGGCCTATTTTAGTCTCTTCCAACACAGAACCTATGAGAAATCATCGTCTATAACTCTATAATTTTGAAAGGAAGTACGATTTCATGATAAATGAAGGGTGAAGCGGATATCACAAAACAGAAACAACTTAACTGGGAGCTGCAAGATGTAGACTTTTTTTTTTAATTTAATTAAAACACTTTCAATTACAAAGTACTGACTCACAATACTTACTTACAAACAATGTATGGTACTTACGCTACTAACAAAACTATACTCTACTTACAAAACAATACTTAGACTTAAATATAGACTTACCCATGAGAACCAACTGGAGTTGAAATTAAAAAATGTAAATCTGAAGATGATATATGTCACCTATAATGCAAAAATAACAAAGCATTAGCTGTCGTAGAATCAAAATGGGGACTTTAGGAAACTACCACAGCCATGGCAACAGGAACATCAAAAAAGCAATAGGTTTAATGAGCAAAACAACGACTCTGCACATGCATCAAGCATTTTTGTAAATTTCCTGCTGTCCCTGCACAACTCATCGTGAAATGACCAAATTTTAAGTTTATTTAAGGATGGCAAGGCAATAAATTTTACTATCTCTATCTAAACTTGGATGTGGTCCCCTATCTTCATCTCCAACCTAATTTCCCTTCCTTTAAGTAACTGGGAGACTCGCAAAAAAGTTTGAAAGGATACAAAGTCTATTTTTTAGTAACGTTTTCATTGATGTCACCGATGTCAGATTGTAACTCTATAAATAGAAGAAGACAGACCATTTTAATATTAATGGGAGGATTTTGATATTTTTAACTCCCAGGATGCCTTGCTCACCTCAACACTTATCATAACCTTGGCATAGAAGTCCAATGTTGAATTATTTTCTTCCAGGATTTGTTTCTGTCCCTTGGTGGCTTGTTTTTTGGGCTGAAAGACATGAAATTAGTTTATTGAGATTTAGCATTCAATAAAGACTAAGAGAACTAATTCGGTGGGCTAAGACAGCATAGGAAACTGGTATGGCCATCTAGAGTTTGGCCATGAGGTTGCTTATCCAGAATCGAATGCGTGACCTCTTGCTGTAAGTTTCGTCCCACTCATGCCCTCATCTTTCACCTCTATGAGTCACCAAAGAAAGTGGCATCTTCTTACCAGAGGGACCACAAATAAAGCAAGGTAATATTCAGATAAACACTTAAGTCACTGGCCAATGGAAAAAAGTTTCATGAGTCATGAGTCATCCCATGAGTCATGTCAAGAGTCTCTGGATTTTCCAGTGCTGTCAAATCTCCCGGATAATCCAGGAGACTCCAGATTTTGGACCGTATCTCCCGGTCTCCAGATTAGAGTCTGATATCTCCTGGATAATCGCCAAAATTGTTATTTCTTTAGACTCAATAGTTTGCGTTGTTTGCGCTATTGTTAACATGGAACGTTTCCCTATAAATTCTGGTATGCCACTGTAATTTAAGCAATAATGTGGCTAAATATGAACTGTTTATGCGCTATATATTTCGATCAGAATCAACGGGCATTTTGGTACAAAATTTAATGACGTCTTTTGTCGTGCGATATGACGTCATCTATCATTCCTTTCCTATCAATTCTCAATATTTGATGACATGTGGGGTTGACAGCCCTGATTTTCCTATATCAGGGGTTGGCAGGTCTGGTGATATTGTGTGTGAGGAAAATTAGATGTTACTTCAGTATTGAGGCTTAAACTAATAAAGGGTTCATTTAGCTCTGAATGAGGCACTAGCCGGTGGGAATAGTTGTTCACTCTGTCTAAGGTCAACATTTTGCATCGGATCGGGAAAAAGTAATGAAATAAAATCAAATTATGAGTAAACTTAACCAAAGATCTGCCTATTATGCATGGTCTGTGTACTGCTTCTATATTGAGGCTCAAGCCTTGTGATATGTTACTTCAGCAGATATAATCACAAAGTGATAAATAACTTGATTTCTTACTGCCACATCATGCTAGCGTGCGATTGAAATGGATGGGTTCATGTACCAAATAAAAACTCGAGGTAATTAGAAGCAGTTAAAACGTCGATTGAAACAAAAGTTAAGTTATAATTCGACTCAAGTTGGTCTTGACTTTCTCTTTAAACAGAAAAATGCTTAACGTCAAGAATACCGCGTATCATGCTAAACTTACCGCCATCTTGAAAGATACTAGTGCCAGTCCTTTAGCAGACGGATTTCACAAACGAGGGTAGAGGGCTCGGGTGGGGTGTTGGAGGCAGCGGGGCGGTGGGGTGTTGCTTTCCTGCTAGCGGACGACAGGAAAATGAAGAGTGGGGTGAGAGAGACAGATTCTCTCCTTTCTATTTTCTTTTTCTTTCCCCGTGAAGGGTATCCGGCCACCTCGCCACCAAGAAATATATATCTTAATACTTATCGAAAGGTCAAGTTCTTTCACTTTAAATTTACAATGAAATTTAAGGTAAGGTTCAAGTGACAATACTAACCCACTATCATAAGATAGGCTGTTGGATTTTAAAAAAATAGCACCTCCCACTCGAGCGATGCAAATAAGCCGTATTGCTCGCAGGGTAGGATCACCCAAGACGGCTTTGAAAATCGAAATCTGAAATCAAGAGTAGTCCGAGAGCATTCCCTCCTTTTGCTCAGGGGCAATGGAAAGCCTGAATCAAGAAAACTTAATATTTTAACGCCACTTTTTCTCTTCCGTAGTAAACTTGCAAATAGTCCTTCGTGGACGTGCGACCCAGGAGGGGGGCGAAGTTATGTGATGTTACGTAGGACCTCTTGCCCGCCAGGGTAGATGGAGGGGGCGGGGAAGAGTAAGGGAAGGAAGGAGAAGGGAAGGAGCCAAGGATTTCCCCTTCCTCGCGCTCTTCCTCTTACGCAGGCTACCGCCTGGTTTTTTTCGGGACTTAAGTGTTACTGATAAACCTATACCTCGTATTAACGATATTACGCCGTATTACCAGCCGCTGTGTGGGAAATGAACCAGAGAGCGAACTCGAGCCTTAGGTCGACTTGGTGCAAGTCTTTCTCTCTGTCCTTGACGTTTTAAGGTGGTCGCCAGGACACCGTAGCCTGGGACAAGGCTCCGTAGTGGGGGAAAAAGGGCAAAAAGGCAAAAAACGGGGTCAAATAGGAAAAATATCGGCGAGCGAAGCGGTCGTCTCTCGGCTCGCTTCGCTGGCCGATTCTTTTCCCCTTTTTCCCCCAATGCAGAGCCTGGTCACAGGCTAGGAGCCCGTAAAGGAGAGGTGGTCTCACATGGAAGTTCGACTGTAATATGACGGAAAACTTTTTTCAACGTTTTATTAACTTCACGTTCTTTATACTTTACGACATTCTACGAAGTTTTTATTCAATGTGCTTGTAGGGTAAAATAGTTACTCAGTGCAAAATGCATTTCTCTAAAACTCTTGGTTAATGAACTTTGCATGTCCATGAGAGGCGAAGATGCTGGGATGATATGATCCCAGGCTACTAGCCACCATTTTAAAATAAGTTACCTGATCCTTTTGGCAAAAAGACTGAGAAAATGAGACTCAAATATAATAAAAAAACAAACATTAAAATGTCTTTTCCTGAAATAATGGTTTGCAAAAGTAAAACTTAAACAATGAGTCTCCAGTTATATACCAAAAGTAGAGGAAATGATCTTTAAAAAACAAAAATGGGAAAAAAGTTATGTCGATTAGCGTTAATGTGCTAGCAACAAAAAACGTTGAACAAAAAGGATACTTCAATCACGATCGTGACGTTCTGTGACACTCCCTAGCTCTCGTTCCCGGAGCCAGTCGACTTACCGTAATTTGTAACGAAAGGGCTCCGAGGACGAGAATGGCAGAGGCCTCTTTCGGCGGGTGGTCGAGTCTCTATTCCTCCCCACCGCCTCCCCGACGAATAAGAATGAAAAGACGCCTCTGCTAGCAGGAAATGTGTGGAAAAGATAAATAACTGATTTACACGGAGGCTCGTCACTCATTTACATACAATCACGACATATTATTTATTATCATTAACTGAATTGTTAGCAGTCACTCTCTTTTCATGTGAATCATTTGCCTCCTCAGAGACGCATCACCAAAATAGAATACAAAGAAAAAAGAGACTGCTTACAAGAGAATGTCATATTAGTCTAAAGTAGGAATAAAGCGCCAAAATCCTTGTTCTGGGCCCTTAAATGTGTACCAGGATTTGAGTACGTGCCATGATTGGCCTGTTACAAAAGCCAATGTGGATTTGCCAATCAGGTTGAAAGGAAATTCGAAATGCACCTTCAGTAATTTGTTGAGTCTGTTTGGGGCCCGAAACAAGGATATCAGCGCTGCTTCGCAGACATTGCCAACTTGGCTAAAATTTATATTACACTACTGACTGTTACCTACAAATTAACCTGCATAGCTGGTAGTTTTGTTGGGGAAGGTGTGAGCACGCAAATGAACAAGGAAGCAGGAAAAAAATTCTCATTGCCTTTTTCCCATTCCCCTCCCAGGTTCTCATTTGCACATGCGCTCCAAACAAAACTGCCAGGTGTGTTTTTCACTAGCTATGTGCCTTCCCTACAACGACATCGCAATCCCATTAGCAGAGTTTATAAACATAACTTACAATGCCCAATACCAACACGCTTTAAAACATAACCTGATTTAAGCTCTTCTTGATTAACCCCATTGGTTTCTGAGAATATTTAAGGAAAATTGCAATTCCACAAAGATGACTAATTAGAAAACAATATAGTAGTATGCAAAAGTACCAGTACTGTTAAAGAGGTTTTAACTGAACGCATAAAATTTTGTCCACACACTCAGCAGTTAGAACTACCCCCCAAAAAAACATAGCACTATATGAAAGCGATGCCTGCAAAAACAGCTGCTTCTCATCATTTCCGGCTGTTGGAGATTTTTGCAAGAGAAATGCCAGCATTTTGGTCTCAACAATTCCATACTGAAGCATTAACTCATTGTTAATGTTGCCATAAAATTTTGGGCTTTGTTGCGAATAAATAACAAGACAAATATATTCCTAAGAAATAAGTGTTTCTTGGTAGATTCAGCACAATGATCTTTGCAGATTATAGAGCATTTTCACATGTCGTCGCGGTGACCACATTGGTGTTCCAAACCAGTCCTGTTGGAGTTGATCTCTTTTCTTTTGTAAATGCTTTCTCTTGTTCCAATAAATTTGCATATATGCGCTGGTCACGTGAGTAAAAACACTTTATACTTGAAAGCAAACAATTAATACATGCTCCAATCAGAGCTCCTCCCCAGTTTCTGCAGAGATTAACGTCACCAGTATAGAATTTTGAGCGCCAGACATCTCTCCTGCGAAACATCCCAGCATCAGGGGTGACAAGTTGTGGCTGCATTTGCAGGGTGGTGAATTACTGCTCAAGAGGTTTAATTTAAATGTTTAGGTATGCACCAGACTCTGGCAAAAACAAATTTACTGATATCAAATTATTGATCCAAAACAATTTGGAAAGAGCTTTTGGCCAGAATGCTTTCTCCCCGGTGGTATTTACAACACCACAAAACGTAGTCCACTATTATTACACTTCTTGTGCCAATACTGTTACTGATCTAAAATTTAAGTTCCAGCTCCACAAAGGGTTCTCAAAACAGCATTCACAAGATCTTGGAGCTAGCTAGGCCTCTTTTGCTTAGCTACCTACCATTATTAGGATAAAAACTACAGCGTTGTACAAAATTTTCCCAGCTGTAGCACTACTATTATTTCTAAAAATTAGTTCTTAACCAACTTATAACTATATACCATACGATGTGACCATGTATAAGCTGTTGAAACATTATATGTACATACTACTTCAAACTTTACACTTTATCGTCAATTCTCCTGGTTTTCTATGAGTACTTCTGTGTCATTGTCATTTATGTAAGGAGGTGGAGGTTCATCCCGTTTAACAGGATCTTCTTCTGAATAGACTGGGGGGACTTGAAAGGTAGCTGGTGCATCATCTAATCCAAATGGATATTCAGTAAACACATACGCAGGTTGTGGAACTGCAGGTTGTTCTTCAAACTCACGCCCTTGAGGAATCTTAAAAGTAATTGACAGAAAAAAAGAATTTACCTTATTAATTAAAGGGCACCAGAACAGAAAACCCCACATCCATTATCAACCATTTTTCTCTGTTTATTGGTAATGAATGATATATTGCACATGTGGGGTCAGTATGGCAACAGGGTAAGCCTCCTTCGATTGGGATAATCCAGGGGCTTCTCCTAAAAAAATTAATTCAAATTCCCTTAAAAAGGGCAAATTGAAGTGCATTTTGAGCAGCCATGAAAAAAATTTCAGCCACAAGGATAATAACACCAATATTTACCAATACCCGCTATATTTCAAAAATCATGTCTTTCTTTTTACTAAAAAAGGCAAACCGAGAAACAATTATGACAGAAAAATTATTTTCTGTGTAGTAGCTGGTGCTTCTGTGACAACTACACAATGGAGCTTCTGGAGACCCAACTGATAAACTAACCTGCTCTCTTTGTTGTCTTGTTGCATAGCACTGATGTCGTCTTCGACTTCTTGCATAAAAGTAGAATATCCAGAAGATGAGAAACAGGACTATGACAACTATTATTATTCTGGAAAAGAAGAAGACATTGAATTATTAAATAAAACTGAACATTGCTTTCTTTAACTTAGGAACATTAGTTTACACACAAATTTCTTCTAATACCAGTGGGTATTCATGTTGAGTTTGTTTGAACAGAGTATATTGCATAACTGGAATACTTTTTCCCAAACAGGGCAAAGTCTACTCTGAGGTCACATGACATCTAACTAAAAACAGTATCCAAAGGAACATGAAGAGAAGAGGTGAGAAACGAGTAGGTGCCGAGCGGGAGAAATCGCCTTCATTTACCAAAATAACAAAAGAAATGAATCAATAACATTGGCGAGCAAATAATCGTTATATATATTTGGAAAATTGATGGAAAAGGTTACACGCGTTTGGAAAATCAAGCTTTCTCGCCCTTGAACCTTTGACAATGATTCATGCAGACTCCACGTCACTACTGATGATTGAATTCAGAAGTATTCATCCATGTTTGGCTTTCCCTGGAAAAATCCATCCGTTAAGAATCCATTTTTAATGGTATATAAAAAATGACTGCTCTGATATGGCTTAGGCGCTGTAATGACGATTTCAGATTGTAACTAGTTCAACTCTACAAGGTTTTGTTTTGAGTATTCTGGATACGCTACTCACTTTCTGTTTCATTCAAGGGCGTGCCTTGTGACATACAAATCAGCTAAGAAATGGTATCTAATGCACATGTGCATCAGCTGACAGTGTTCCTTTAGTGCTTTCTGGAAATTTTTATGGCTGGGAAATTCTGCATGGGATTCTTTGGGGGATTAATATTTTGGTCTGGGGATTTCTGGGGTTTTATTTGAAGCCCTGGGGATTTTTTGTGCTTTGATTTTTGCCCCCACTGGATCATCCCTGTTACTTGAAATCCAGAGCATCCCCTCTGGGATGTTTAGTTTACCATAAAATTCCAAAAATAAGCCCCTCCATGTATAAGCCCCCTCCAAATATAAGCCCCCCTATCCAGTAATGCAAAAAACCCTCCGTTAAATTGCCCCTCCAAATATAAGCCCCCAGGGGGGGCTTGTACTTGGAAAATTGCCCTCAAATACAAAATAAAACAAAGCAAAAACGGCAAAATTTACTTCCAACTATAAGGCCAGCCCAATCGATTTTGAAACGCAAATTTACTGAGAATGCACTCTAGGGATTCAGGATTTTAAAAGAAATATGGACAAGATTTGGTCTGATTGATTTGCAAATTTTCTACAAAAATAACCTGTGTCTGCATAGGGAAGTCAAGAAAAGAGGAAAATCATTTGTCTCAAATTAATGAAGTCCACCCTGACACACACTTATATTCACCATGGTTGTTTAACCATTTACTGGGCAAAACCGCTTGGTTCACTGTTTCGGCAAATGGTACACAAAATTTGGGACTGGTAATTTAGCCCTGGAATCGCATTTACCATTTGTACAAATCAGTTCCATTCAACAAAAAATGGCCACGAAGGCCTAAAACTGGTGTCAAACATGGCTTTGGAGAAATGGAACACAAATTTCTGTTTGGAACATTCCGTTGGGAAATACGCAACTATCTTTTTGATGTTTCGTCGCTCCTGGAAATTTTCTGCTGGAATGGTCCAAAAAGTTATGTTCTATTTACTTTCTAACTGGATTTCCCTGAACATTTTGTAAAATATGGTAAATAAATAATCCATATCCCACTCTTTTATCCAACACTAAAAGTGAAAGTTCTAGCATGTAAATCAGGCACTATTTTTAAAATGCAGTCAAACCTCCTGTAAGCGCAACCTGAGTTGGTCACTTATGACAATCGACAAACAGGGGGACTCTTCCGAGAAAAGGTCCCAACACATCTACCTTTTGGAAGATAATTTATAAGGCCCTGTTAGGATAAAATACTGACAAGCAACACAGCCTTGAAGCAGCAACATAGGCAGTGTTTTCAATAAGTGTTTCTGGGAGCCAACGAAGCACAAAACGTGCGCAAATTTCCACACGTTTTCTTGATGTACGGCAAGGACAGGCAGAGTTCATGACATGTCCGTGACAAGGAAAACACAAAGACCGCTGCTTGACCCAAAGAGACAGGTAGAAACAACAGAGTATTCATGACCTGCTGCCGAATAAAAAAGCCAAAATTTAATGATGTCTGTTTTCTCTTCAAACACTCTAATATTTGCTCCAGAATGCTAGAAATATATTCTAACAGCAAGAGATGAAAAACGATAGAAAATAATCAAACTGTCAGGCCAAAATGTGATCACGTTCACTTATGAAAGGTTCTGCTACAGGGATTTGACTGGGTAATTTTGGTGTTTTGGATAGGTGGTTGCTAATGGGAAGTGGTCACTGATGAGAGGTGACAGAGGTAGTTGCGCATGGAGGTTTGACTGTAAAACATATAAACATCTCAGGATTAAGAGAGAGGGGTAAAATTTCAGTAAGTTTGCCTAATTGGCGACTCTCTGGACTGGCTGGAAAAAAAAAAGACTGGTAGTATAAAATCAACAGTAACAATATAAGGGCACAATGCACTTACACGTAAAACAGTAAATCCATGCTCGCTCCAACTCAAAGAGATCTCTCAGTTTCTCAGTGTTCTAAATGGCAAAAACATACAGCAACTCGTTCATGATAGAAAACATTGTGTACTTAATCTGATCTTCGGAGATCGAGTACTTGCGATTCAGCAAATAGGTAGAACAGTGGGAGAGCATTGGGTTTATTCGGTGGTTTATTGGAGCAAATTATAGAATGTGTTGACGACATTGATCAGAATTCACCGCAATGAACTCTTCAAAACAAAAAACTAGGCGTCGAGTACAATCACAGGAAGTAGAAAGCATGTAAAATTGTGCAAAGCCTTAATCTGATCGTGATATTCAGAGTGCTTAGTGATTCTTAACTAAAATATTATCTCACGTTGAATATTATTTACAGGCCAATGAATCTTTCTATCAAAAGACATGTTAAGACAAGAATAGTGTCGTCTAAAAAACGCGATAAAGAACAGGATATTGTGGATGAAGAATTAAAGAGAAAAGGAATTCCTTTAATGAAAAGGTTTAGGAAGTAAACTGAAAACAAACACTCACAAAATCTTCGAATTGCATAAAACATAAGCCTAAGTTTAGCTAAATGCAATCATGCGTAAGAAGCCATATTGTCGCCGCTAATTTCAATCGATTTACTAAAAGAGAAGTTTCACTTTTGACTTGCAGAACAATCAGAATAAACAACCTACCTTCTGGCATGTCATGAATCTCGAAACTGTCACATTCTAGAGAGAAACAAAGGTAAAAATCCTTTAAAATTTCAACCATTAACGCCCGTGAAGCATGAAGAACGCTGAAAGTGAAAGTCAATGGTGAATTCCCCCTACCCCAGAGGAAGATAATGTAGTGCTACTTGGCCCTCTCCCCTCCGTAGTGCTTATGACTTTTCTCCTCTCTCCTAACCTCTCTCCAGACCTCTCCAGCATCCCTTGCCCACAAAACAAAACTAACTTCGCGTCGAGGACTTTGTACGTCTTTGGGAGAAGCAGTAAAACTCATCCTTACGGCAGCAAGGTTGAAAAAAGAAAAATGAATACAGATGCAGGATAAAAGTTATATATGCAAGATTTGAATGTATAGCAAGCAGAAAATGATCGATAAACATGACTAATTAAATTCCAAATACACTTTACCATTTGATTCTGATTTATTTTATTTGCTTTTCGATCTTCTTTGACGAACTATTAAAGGCCCGGTTCAGACGCCGATCTTTTCATGAGCTGAACCTAATTCGAATTAAGGCCGACCCAAATTATTTAGACCGCCTGAAAAGGTGTACGAAAAGGTGTCCTCCGCCATTGAACTATCTAAGGGGTTACAAGTCTTTCTTTCTTTCTCATTTTTTTTTTACTTTTATTTGTTTGTTTTTTCGCATGGTGGCTAGATTAGACCTGCTATTTGCGGCTAGAGCAGTTTCGTAATTATTTTACTTTTTAAAGTCTTGAAATTTGAATAAACTTGGGGCGGGGACGAGGGGCGGACGAAGCCCATCCTAACGCCTGTGAATCGAGTTCCGGCACGTTTCCCTCGTGAATTACTTATGACATTTCAAAGAAGAAATAAATTGTATAACCGATTACAACGAACGTTCTTCAGTTATGTTCTTTAATCAAGATCACAGCGTGGATATGCATTACAGGGTAGAATAACAGCGTAATAACATGATATACAAGTACAAGTTTTCACCAACCTTTCATGACCTTCTTACCCCTAGACCAAGCTTTTGCGAGAATTAATATTTGTCTATCTGTTAAATCTGTGAACGAAATCCTATGGCGTTACCATTCACATGGAAAAGCCTTGACAGAACTTTTGCATGGTTCACTATTTCTTCGGATTTTACAAAAAGAAATTTGAATTTTTAATTGTGATATTTTTCTTTGGCCACCATTAGAGGTGAGAGGGTTTAAGTTCGGGTAAGGTAAAATTCACAAATGAGGGTAAAAGGGTAGCATGCGGTGCAGTAGCCAGTGTGCAGACCCCTCTCCCCTCCACTCAGTAAAACTCGATTTTTACTGAGGGGAGGGGAGGTTGAACACAGGCTAGAGGTGCAGCCGCACGCAAAACTAGCTCACTCAAAACCTGGACAATGTAATTTATAAACAGACTATAAATACCGGCGGTATAGACGGTCTTTGACGCGGCGGGCTAAGAAATTTAGTAACAATACAGCCATTTTACTAGAAAAAAAAGGGAATTCAAACACTTAACGAGCTGTTGACTAGTTTCGTATGTACACAAATACTTCAAGCATGACGTGGAAAGTGTGGTTGACGCGTGAAGAAAAAATACAGTGGACATTGGTCCACTATAAAAGACTTCTAGCACATGGGGGATTGGCAGTTGCTGTTATTAGCCAATCAGATATTGAATGTATGGATCACATGAGATTGTCGTCGCTAAAATGAAGGTTACTAAGCAACAAGTTATCAGAGAACTGTGGGCTAGACTTAGTTTTATGGAAGGCGTCATCTTACTGCAACACTCTAAGAGTTACTTATTTAACAAAGAATAGAAACTAAAAGCACCGAGGCGCGTGTTCTGTGGGATCAAATTCTACTTTCTGGCAGACCATTGAGGCTTTAGGGCAGAATGATAGAGACGCTAGCCATCACTGCTAGGAACGAAGGCACAGCCTAAGGAGACTCTGAGGCAAAACTCGCTTTTAAGACATGCAGCCCACCAGTGACCTCTGATTAAGTGGCCGTTGTTGTTTTTAAAATCTGTGATCCAGTCTGCGAGCAGGCTCTAAATCTGTACTGATTTCTTCAATAAAGAACAACCGATCGATGCTCAGATTTAAATAAAAACAACGGAAACACAGAGGGGGATTTGCCTGTGGTATTATAGGCAGTGTCATCTAGAATCCCAAATGAGCGTCTTATTTTGTTTCATAGCTTCAAAGGAACGGTGCTAAACTTATGAAAGAACACCTCGTAGAGCCGGATATAGGGCGGGCATGATCGCAGACTGTTACAGCTAAGTTAACTAATGAATCAAGCTTTGAGCTGCTTCTACTCTTTAAGCTTTTTGTAAGACTTGAATATCGTTCAGTCGTTTCCAGTTATCGAACAACTTGAACAATTTCCGCAACTCTATCTCCACATCAGCTTAATACACACAATTTAAAGACATGGTTTTTTAAACCTTTAGACATGGCCTTCAAGACTGGTCTGTTGAAAAATGGAGGAAAAAAAGACAAAGTCCACTGATGAAGCAATCTTTCCACAAAACTTATTTACTTTGCAATTGCGAGACCCCACTTCAACCCACCCCTGCCAATCAACGACTGTTAACCGGAAGTTTCCTCGGTAGTTTCCTGTTTCTTTGCCGCGGGTTCTCCGTCATCTTCCACTTCCTGTTCCCCAGTGCCCCCCTCGTGTTTCCTTTTCCGTGATTCACTCTCAGTAGTTTCGTCTGCAGCCTCAGCGGCTTCTGTTGGCTCGGATTCCATTTCTTCCGGTTTTTCCTCTTCGGTTTTCTCTTGTTCAGCCTTCTCTTGTTCTTCTTTCTCTTGCTCGGCCTTCGCTTGCTCTTCCTTCTCCTGCTCAGCCTTCGCTTGCTCTTCTCTCTCCTTTTCCGCTTTCGCTTTCTCCTCTCTTTCACGTTCTCTCTCTTTTCGTTCAGCTTCCCGTTCAGCTCTCTCCTTCTCCCTCCTTTCAGCCTCCTCTTTCTTCCTCTTTTCCTCTTCCGGGTCAATCTTAACAAAGACGAATGCCAAATACATTCCTGGCAAAAAAGAAAACCGATTTACTATGTGACTTTAAATTTTCCCCCTGGTAAGGAATCCGGATTGCGGAATCTTGTAGAATACGAATCCGGGTGAAATTTTCTCGTGTAATTAGGAATCCTGGGCTTTGGAATCTGGAATACAGTTCAAGGAATACGGATCCCACTAACGATTGCAATCCGTAATCCAAGTTCCACTGACTAAGAATCCGGCCAGAATCTAGAACATGGAATACGGAATCCGGAATCCACCGCGTGGCATCCAGAGTCCAAGAATGTATGGGATTCGCTTTCTTTCATCAAAGTATAACAGAAGAAAACAACAAATTATAGTGTCAATCTTGACCTAAAATGAACAAAAGCTTACAAGAAGAAACCGCCTCAGAGATGGCCACAGTTTAAATGATACATTGCAAAGGATACACATTAAAATTCGGGCAAAAAATTTGCTTTAACAAAACTTGTGTGACATTCCTCTACCTTCGGCACTTACCAATAGCCTCCCACTCAGATTTGGACATTGTTCCCTGTAATATAACAAGATAAAAATCAGTCATAGCCTAAGAACGTTAAATAAATAGTCTTTGCTTTGTAATACAGTCAATGACAAGCTGGCCGCCTAGTAGAGATTTTGGAAACAAATAGTACAGGGTGAAAGTACTGCCAAAGATATCTCATTTGAATGGTAACACCAAAGGATTTCATCTACACACTCAAAAGTTAGAACTACATACTCGATAAATAGTACAGTGTGAAAGTACTGCTAAAGAGGTCTCATTTGAATGGAAACACCATAGGATTTCATCCACAGATTCAAAAGTTAATACTACATACTAAATAAATAGTACCATGTGAAAGTACTGCTGAAGAGGTTTCATTTGAATGGAAACACCATAGGATTTCATCCGCACACTCAAAAGTTAGAACTACACACTCAATAAATAGTCTCTTATTTTTCTTTTGAGTCACGGTAGATCACTTTTTCGCCCGTCGCGCGAAGCTCTGAGCCAAAAAGGACGACCGCTTGCGGTGTAACAGAGTATACTAGTCCAACTTGGAATCCTCATATCACAAAGGGTGTTGCGACCGTGGAATCGGTTCAAAGGTGAGCAGCAAGATTGTGTATAACGACTATCAGAGATCCACAAGTGTGTCTTCCTTAATTAAAAAAACTTACCTGGTCATCACTGCAAGAACGAAAAACACTGACTGATCTATCACTTTTTTATACGATCCAATATAATTTAGTCGCTTTGCCCTCTTCTAGTAAGTTGCCTCTTAACACCTCCTGTACCAGGAGAAAGTTCCGTAGTATGACATACAACCTTTTACCCGCTTTTGTTGATGCCTACAAATACTCTTTTTTTGCCCGATGTACACCTGTGTGGAACAGGCTTCATCTACTGCCATTTTCGCTCCGTCTTTGCCCTTGTTTAAGTCCACAGCCGAAACCTATCTGTCATCATCTACTGCCTAATTATGCCACCTATTGCCACTATTAGCGTGTGCCATTGACAATTAACCGATTGAAGATAAAGATTTAGGCCAGCGTAAATCCCTTCTGACAAAAGACATCAAATAGCCAGAAACCAAGACGCGAGACGTTTGTAGTTTCGATCTGACGTTAGATTTTAAGCATTTGGCCCCAGATCATTACTTACAACATGTTTGAGGTTCTTTTCTCTGTGATCTCGGTACTTGCTGGTTGAAGAGGATTTCTCTTGATTCAGCTGAATACCTTCTAAAAAGTCTTTTGCGTGAGTGTATGCATCTTCAGCAGTCGAAACCAAGCTTTCTCCCTCTTGTCGAGGGGGGTATGTCTTAAAAAGACAAAAAAAAATCAGAAATAAGATACGGATTACGGATCCCTTATCTTGAGTCATACAACTCAATTACAAAAAAACATTTTCTTTGGTGACTTGTTATTGATACAATGTTTATCTTCTGTTGACTGATAATCAACCAACAAAATCCATTTTACAAAGATTTAAGCTTAACAACTACCTCTAGCGCTTTCATTTTGTAGAGCAAGGAAGTTGATTCACTTGACTTCTCTCGGAAAAAGTCGTGGAAAGTCTTTGTATATAAAAGCTTCATGTCATATTTTTCGGCCATTCTGAAAAAGAAAGAGATTGTTTGGTGAACTTTCTTTGTTCAAGCAAACAGTAACAAAGGATCAGATGGTAGAGACTACAGATTGAAACGCTGGTTGTTAACCATTTACAAAACATTTCCGGAAAATCTGGTCAGAAAGTAAATGGAACACGATTTTTTGGGTCATTCCAGCAGAAAATGTCTGGGAGCAGCAACTGAAAAGCTACAATCAGGGACAAAAGTAGTTGACACACTTGTTTAAAACGGGTGCTTTTAGCAAACATTTAATTCATCTATTATTTCATTTTTTTTAAACGCCGTAAATCCCCTCACCCCCCGAATCAATGTTGTCTGAAGTAAAAAAAAGACTTGAGGGTCCAAAATTCAACATTGATTTTGGGGGGGAAGGGGTTGGGGTAGACAGGGGAATGGGATAAGTATATCCACTATGCAAAAAGGGGCCATTTTACGGAAGTGTGCCAACACTTTTGTCCCTCATTGTCTGAATGCAAAATTGTGCTACTGCACACAAGTTGAGCCGTGCATGACACTGATTTTAACTGAAATTAAAGAAATCAAAGACATAATTATGTTATTGGTGGTGGGGGTGACATTGACTTATTCACGACCGAATTATAGGGCCAATTGGAATTACGTGATGACGTAATAAAAGGGCTGCGATATCCAGAATTAACGTCGATATGGTTTACAAGCTAAAAACTAACGCTGAAACTCGCGCACATGTACAACTTTTGATGAATTTCAAGGGTACGCGTACTGAAAATGTTTTTAATAAAGTGAATATTTCTCGTTCTTCACTTTATCCGATGGTTAAGGCGCAAACAATCACGGGTAGGGTAAGGATTGACACGTAGTGGGGATAGTCACTGGCCGGCCACGGAAATATGGAGCGTTAGTGCGGAGCGGCCGTCACTGCGTTCAATATCGAAACTACGGAAAAGTGAAGGTAAATTCATGGCCAATTCAATAAAAAACTAAGGACAGCGTAGCAAACATTGCAAGTGTCCACGAAAACAATTACTTTCAATCCCACCTCGTGACACCATGAGTGACATGATAACGCAACGCAAATAGCGTGACATGAGCGCATATGTCTGTGTATTTGGACTGTATTTCTCAAGCGAAACCCTGTGTTTTTGTCTATTGTCGGCAGAGAAAATGAAAAGAGAGCTTTGAAACGTGAACTGGTATTTGACTCTCAAAGAAAACGACAGCTCAAACTGAGGAAAACACTGCTTCCTTCGTGTTACAACGGTTAACCACGTTTCGGAAAACGAAAAGTAAAATGAGTCTGTTATGACCTCTTAATGTCCATATGTATTCTCGTGGTTAACCGTTGAAACTCCTTATTTGCACCACATCGCTGGAATTTTTCTTGCCAAGAATACGTATTGCGAAGTACTTTCTACATAGCGGAATCTTCTTTTGCCTTTCGTGAGGAATTAGCGCATAAAAAAGGAAAATTTTCCAGCGCACGGCCGTCATTGATCACATGTTATCCCGCTTTCCTTGTCATCAAGTGAACTTCTGGGCAAAAGTAATTGCTGTTTTGGCGATGACGCAAACTGGTGTGTCTATCTTGAAAACAATTTCTTTGGTATTCTGTGATTTACGAGCTGGGAAATGAAATAGTTGTCCATCCAACATCAATAAAAAAATTATGCCACTGAATAAATGGCAGGCGGTCATCTAAAATCATTACAAAAGTACATTCCAAAACCTGGTCTAACCTGTTCGACGCCTACCTACGCTAAAGGTTTGGATCACTTAGGTTTGAAAAGGTCTCCAAAAAAAACACACATCTATATATAGGACATAGCACAAACGGCTGGCCCATCATTTATGAGGTTCATAACCTGTATATTGTTCACGTCCTTTCACTAATGGCACAAGTCAATGTCAAAAATAATGCATGTCCCCTCAGTTACTCTGCAGTACTTCATTCGCTTAAGTTAATCATTTACCAGAACAATTTCCATTGCACCTTAGTGTTTCCATCCTTTTTCCACTATTGATAATACTTGTGAAAACATTACATCCGCTGCAACGGCATTGATCATAACACAAATGATTTCCTCTCGACCCCACAGGGTATCAGGAACGCGCGCGGAAGTACAAGATTAAGTGATGACATACGCTTCGTACATTTTACTCTACGTATACTACAAATCAGGACGAAACTTTACAAATTGTTGTTTCTAAAAAAAACAATTTGGCCCATAGAGTAACGTCATCGCACAAAAATTCAGCAGCGTCAAAAATCTAGCCGGAAAACACAGATACATATTTCAGACAATCAGGGACAAAAGTAGTTGACACACTTGTTTAAAACGGGTGCTTTTAGCAAACATTTAATTCATCTATTATTTCATTCTTTTTAAACGCCGTAAATCCCCTCACCCCCCGAATCAATGTTGTCTGAAGTAAAAAAAAGACTTGAGGGTCCAAAATTCAACATTGATTTTGGGGGGGAAGGGGTTGGGGTAGACAGGGGAATGGGATAAGTATATCCACTATGCAAAAAGGGGCCATTTTACGGAAGTGTGCCAACACTTTTGTCCCTCATTGTAGTACTGTTTTTCAGGACGGAATGTTCCAAAACGGAAATTCGTGTTCCCTTTCTTCAAAGCCATCTTTGATACATGTGGTACTAGCTTCAGAACTTTGAGGCCACTTTTTGGTGGATGGAACTGACTTGTGCAAATGCTAAACACATTTCCGGACGAAATTTGCCAGTCCTGAATTTTTCATACAGTTAAACCTTAAGTGCCAATAGTGACCAAGATAAATTTTCTCCTAACAATATCCATACACTGTCAACAGATAAGTTATGAGAATTAATAAAGTGATCACACAAGAAAAAAATACCTTGATCTTTTATCAAATTCTCTCAACTCATTCTTTCAGGAAATGTATAAAGATCAGTTTGGAGAACTTGTATGTGGATACTGGGGCTTTAAGGGTTAACCCAAACTGGGAACCGACCGATTTGCCTAAGTAAATGGTAAAAAACCACTGACCATCACAGACTAGCTGCTACACCTTCAGCATACAACAAAAAGCTACAAATCTACACGAGACTTATTGCATTAAAGTACAGTGAAATGGGCTACGAAAATATGGAACTTGTTCTGCAACATTTCCGCAAAAACAGTTGAATGGCGATGTTAGGCATTCTACCACCCGCGTTCAAACCTGTCTGGCAACAAATCAGGTTGTTTTTGCAGGTTGCAAAAAGCTGTTGCAGAAAGTAGAGAGTAGTTCTACTTTTTCAACAGAATCTGAACATGTTGCACATTTAACCGGCCCACGGCAAACTCATTTTGCAGCAAGTGACGCAACTCCTGTGTATGACACAACTCCTGCATAATTTTATCCAATCAAAAGTCAGTATTTACGCAGCATGCAAAAGCTGATTTGCCGCAAGACTGGTTTGAACGTGGGTGGAAAAGCACACAACATCACTTTTCAACTTGTCTTGCAGCAATTTTTCGAAACAAGTTGCCCATTTCTGTTGCCTGTAGCTTTACTACTTCTTAACACTTACTTTTCAAGCAAAGGGAAGTACACCAGGAACTCTGGACAATCGACAACTCCTTCCAGATGAAACTCGTACTTACAGCCATATAAAGGATATTCTCCTTTTTTTTCAAAAGTAACTTTATAGACATCATTACCAAAGGACATATCTTCAGACTTTTCTAATCGACGACTGAAAAGAAAAATAAATTATTCAAAATACTGATCTACATGAAAATCCATTTGCTGAAAGAATGTAAAGAACACTGTAAGGACCATTGCTGTCTATTTGTTCTTTACAATAACATTGACAGTTTTTAACACTCATTCTCAGTGAAGTTTCTTGAAAAAAATTTAGTTCATACCATCATTACATCATTTCCCATAATGAATCACCATTATTACATCATTTCCAATAATTAATCACCATAATCATTACATCATTTCCAATGATGAATCACCATCATTACATTATTTCCAATAATGAATCATCATCATTACATCATTTCCAATGATGAATCACCATCATTACATCATTTCCAATGATGAATCACCATCATTACATCATTTCCAGTAATGAATCATCATCATTACATCATTTCCATGGTCTATACTCCAATAGAAAATTAATCCAATATACTCCGCCAATAGACCATAGAACTTGACTAATCAACATGTGAGTAATCACTCAGTTATCATAGAATTCACAAATTATATCTCTGCTGAAGTATGGTGGATATAGGATCTTATTGAAAGCTCTGGCTATGACATACCATTAGTACACATGTAGTAAGAAAAATAGTTGAAACATTTATTTGTTCCTAACAATTACAAGTATTTGACAAAGAAACCAACTTTTCCCCTTAGAATCCTACAACAATTAACATTATTAGAGTCAAGCCGGGTCAAGCGTACCCTCCAAGGTTCCATTTTTGAATTTATCATTGGAAGGTTGAATCTGTTGGTAGCTGTTGATGTCAGATTCACCTCTGCATTCCTGCATTTATATGAGTAGTGAATTCCTAAGCAAGGTAGATAATTTCTACCAGATCAGTTTTCTTAAATTTGATGTGAATGTCTTCAAAGCAGTTTCATCAATTCAAAGATTTTTCAATATGACTGAAGACAGAGAAGTCATTGCAAAAAATTCACCGCTCATTATGCATGCAGGAATGCAGATCAGAATTTGATAGATCTCCATTGCTCATTACGCATGCAGGAATGCAGATTTGAATTTGATACCTGTTGTGGCAGCCACTAATAAGGGATTCATTTTTCAAATAATCAGTTAATTAAAATATAATGTAGGGGGGTATGATTGACCTGACTTGGCTTTCATCTACCTGGGAAAACCAGTGATGACTACTAAGAAACAGTAAAAAAACAAATAAAAGGCATCAACAAAATACTTACACTAGTTCATAACCATTTGGAGTAGTTCCTATAAAAAATCCTCCGACTTTGAGCCGTTCGCAAGCATTCTTCAACATCATATCAGCTTGCTCATAACTCTCAAATGAGTAATGAAATGAAAACTGGCAACTGGTCAGGTCAAATTGTTGATCTTTATCCTTGTACTTATCAGCAAGTCGTTCCTGTTGAATGCAAGTCACACGAATATGTCAGGGCCTGTTAAACTTGTGGTCTGATGGACCAGGTAAAGGCAAGGAAAAGTTAACAAATCAGCAACAGTTTTCCATGATGTATACTCTTGCTGACCATAGATTTATGACATCAAAATGTAAAAACTCAAGTGGAAACTCAAGCCACAGACGAGTGGTTTCACGGCAAGGTTTTGAACATTTTGACACCATCTCTATACTCAATAAGAGTATCTAGACCACAGAAAATTTCTGTCGACTTGTTTTTGTGATAACATTAACAGTTTTTTAATAACATTTCTCTCTTGAGCTTCTCAGAAAATCAAGAAAGAGAAAAAGAAATCGTGCCACCATAACAACATTAACTTGGTCTATACCATAAGCAACCATAGCTTGCAAGTAATGAGTGCACCAGAAAGAAATTGCACATTTGTTGTAAAAACTGCTTTTGATAGAAATGGTCTATGAAAATGGTTCGCCCTCCGCTGCTTTCTGTTGCATGAAGCAGCTAGGAGTATTTCTATTGACCCCTGGACAGGATGCAAGTCCATGGCAATGTTATCCCCAGCTTTAAATTTGGCTATCCTCCTTGGTGAAGTTAGGCACTATGAGAGTAAAGTGTGTTGCCAAGAACACAACACATGCAATGACCCAGCCAGGTCTCAAAGTCAGAGCTCTTGATTTGGAGTACCACACACTAACCATTAGGCCAACATGCCTTCCACCTGATAGACCAAGGGACAGGGAAAGCCCTGTCAAGTTTGAGTATTTTCCTCTGCAGCTGCCCGGTTAGCTCAATTAAAGAAGCACTGGTCTGCTGAGTTGGAGGTCATGAGTTCAAACCCTTTCTGGACTGACACTCAGAATGGGCTGCCTTTGTAATGACATTCACAAATGGCTCTAAGGACATTCTAGTCTTCTCAGAAACCATAGGCCCTGTCTTAAAGCTCTTTCACTGTTCTCCACCTTGCTGTTCATAAATAGTAGGGGGTGTAGACCCCAGTGGTGTGGAAAACCTCCTCATGGGCTGGATTGGTAATAAAGGGGTTGATATCAACAAGGAATGCAATTCTTGTTCTCTGAATTAATTCACCAACAAAAGCACAGAGTCCAGGAAGGTGAATTTCTTTATTAGGTGGGTCCATTTTAGCTCAAAGGATAAGATTGCCTGTGCCGCAGAGAAAACTAAAATCTGGTTTGTCTGTCTGTGAAACAGCTCCCAAGTCCTTGTTCTGGGCCCATACCTGTGTACAAGGATTCGAGTACACACCATGATTGACCTGCTAATAAAGCCATTGTCAATTGCTAATCATTATGAAAGGAAATTTGAAATGCTCTTCTGGTAATTCATTGAGTCTGTTGGGGGTACAGAACAAGGATCCCGGCCCTGATTTGCAGACATTACTAACCAAGGTTAAATCATGTCTGCAATGCAGGCTAAGGGTAGACGACAAGAAATATGTGAGCTCTAAGTTGAATGGAAAGCACATAATCGGAGCAATTTGAAATAGTTGAATAGATTCTACCTTGCTACAATCTGCAGTGATGAATTCAGGTTCAAAAAGAGGGTCGCGGTAACGCCGGCTCTCATGTGTCTTTTGAAGCTCTTTGTATCTCTCCTTACACTGCTCTACGGAAACTTCAGCAATGTCTGAGGGAAAGAAATCACCAACACACCAAAAATTAAAATGAACCAGAAATCACATCTGCTGGCAGAAGATGGGTTAAGAAGGTTAAGAATATAGATGTCTCGCACTACGCCCCTGTATAAAGCTTTTTTATTTATTATTGTTATTCAATTTACTTATTTATTTACTTATTCAGAAATAAAAATAATGAGACCAACCTGCACATACAAGAGTCTTTATTCTTCCCCTCTGCCACTTGAGCAGGTCGCCTCCCTTTCCACAGCAAAGATCAAGCACTGATATATCCTTGTAATTCACTCTAAGTAACATGAGGAAAACATTTTGAGCAATAATTATTTACCAAAAGCAGGGTTTAAATACCCTTCCAATAAATTCTTTGAACACAAGGCAACAAAGAGACAGAGGACTAGAGATCACAGCAGGTGAGTTATTGAGTTTTTTTCACCTTTTTTGGTGGGACTTCAGTATTGTTTTTAAACAGCTCGAAAAAAGCCTGAAACCTGCCTAAGAAGGTTGGTACGGTTTTTCAGGGTGCTCATTGGGCATCAGAGATTGGAGAATTCCCCGTTTACTTCACAGAAGTCTCCAGCAAATGTTTGGCAGCCTACGTCTACTTTCTGTTCAGATGTGGAGCCTCTTTCAAAATACTCCTGTAACGTTACACCCTTTCTCCTGCTACTAGAATTCTTAATGAAATCCCTGGTTTTTGAAAACAACATTTCAGTCCTTGAAAATGCCAGAATAAAATGTCACTAACCTCCAGAACTTCCAGGAACCATAAGAACCACGTAAAACTGCCTTACCTTTTGATTTTGTCCAGACTGTCTCCAATGATTATACTCTTGACCCAATTATTAAAGTTCCTTAAGTAAAATATGGGGCTCTCTTTCCGGCTTTCCTTGCTGCCTTCAGGATGTTCATTGTAGTGTTTTGCTACTTTGTCACCTAGTCCCTTGGTGCTATCTGACGCTTCCTCCTCTGTTTGTTTAGTGTCTCCATTCACACCCTAACATATCATAATGTGTACCAGTTAATACAGCCTAATAGCCAGGTTCTCACCTATTAAAATTTCAGTCTCTTTCAGTTTTAATTAAAGGTACGTTNTGAGTTATTGAGTTTTTTTCACCTTTTTTGGTGGGACTTCAGTATTGTTTTTAAACAGCTCGAAAAAAGCCTGAAACCTGCCTAAGAAGGTTGGTACGGTTTTTCAGGGTGCTCATTGGGCATCAGAGATTGGAGAATTCCCCGTTTACTTCACAGAAGTCTCCAGCAAATGTTTGGCAGCCTACGTCTACTTTCTGTTCAGATGTGGAGCCTCTTTCAAAATACTCCTGTAACGTTACACCCTTTCTCCTGCTACTAGAATTCTTAATGAAATCCCTGGTTTTTGAAAACAACATTTCAGTCCTTGAAAATGCCAGAATAAAATGTCACTAACCTCCAGAACTTCCAGGAACCATAAGAACCACGTAAAACTGCCTTACCTTTTGATTTTGTCCAGACTGTCTCCAATGATTATACTCTTGACCCAATTATTAAAGTTCCTTAAGTAAAATATGGGGCTCTCTTTCCGGCTTTCCTTGCTGCCTTCAGGATGTTCATTGTAGTGTTTTGCTACTTTGTCACCTAGTCCCTTGGTGCTATCTGACGCTTCCTCCTCTGTTTGTTTAGTGTCTCCATTCACACCCTAACATATCATAATGTGTACCAGTTAATACAGCCTAATAGCCAGGTTCTCACCTATTAAAATTTCAGTCTCTTTCAGTTTTAATTAAAGGTACGTTTATTTTATTCCATTTTTATCTTATTATCATTTATTATTCATTGTCTCCCTCAGGAACAAGGAAAAATGTGAGCAATTAGTTGTCATCCTTTAAGTGGTATTTTAGTACATTCTTGTCACCTTTTTGAGGCAGTTAACTGTTTATGTTGTCTTCATACACCAGTAACATGTGAAATCTTTCACCATTTTTTCCCGCAAAAACAGCTGAACTGCCGCACAACTGGTACAATAATTACTGGTAAACCAGTAGTTTAACCTTGCAGCCCACAAGGCTAAGAGTCAGTGATTTTGTTACCTCTGTGTCCTGCATCCCTGATGCATAAAAATCCCCAAAGACGCAAACTAATTCATGACAAGCATCCCATAGGATGCAAAGAACGATCAATTTATTTGAAGATTTTTTTGGTAGAATATCCTGTTCATGTGATTTCTTTTTTCAGTAAACTGTAATAAAGAATTTTGGCATCTGTCTCCAGGTTAACTGTCTGGTTACATAAAGGCCCAAGCATTTTCAACTTAGGACTCCTTGCTCTTTTGAACTAGGACTCATTGATTGGTAACAAAATCACTGTAAGAATCCCGTCTGGCTGGAGGCAAACTAGTTGGCTTGAAAAGCATGACCAAAGAGTTGAACTGGAGACTATTGAGAACAATTCGAGGTACACTGTAGTGGTTAGGGTGGAGATAGAACGTAGGGGCTCCAGATTATAATTCTACTGCTCTAACCACTTGGCCAAACTTACCTGGTCTCCTTCAACTTTAGCCTCTTCTTTGTGTTCATCTGAGGCTTCTTCTTTTTTCTCTGCACACAAAATTTCAGGGAAAACAATAAAATCAACAAACATTTTGACAAAGATTTAGCTAACAAGATGGTATTGTTGGTGCTGAAATCAGATTTCTTGTATTTCTTGTATTTCTTGTCTAGATTTCCACTAATTTAACCTAACCCATTTGCCCCTGAACACCTGTAACCGCCCACACGGATCCATGTCCCTTATACCGCTTGTGACTTCATCAGTTTTTGTCCGCTAACTTGTGCAAAGTGAAGAGTTTTTTTAAACCATACCAGAATGAGCACCATTCAGTCAAGGACACCGGAGAAAAAGGCAAAGAAACCTGTAACAATAACCTGAAACTTTTCAGGAAAATCTTGTTCCACTATCCACCTGCCTTTCCTTTCATCTAATCCTAAGATCCTAAAAGCTTTCCCAAAAACATTTCCCACCAAAATGAAGCCTACTAAAGGCACAGCAAAAGAAAAAAATGAGGCAAGAAAAGCGACAAAAGAGGGGAGGAGAGAAAGTGAAAAGTCAAAGTCAAAATTTGGTTTTCTGTGCATGCCTGAACTTTGCAAGCTAATATTTTGCTTCTGGGACAGAAGGCGGCCAAGTGTACAACCTGTAAAGGGCCTTATGGTAAGTTTTGGCTCTTTATAGCACTACAGTGACCAGAAAACTGCTCGACTAGCTTCAAAATTACATTTTTCAGCAAAATTTCAAGGGGTGAATGGGTTAAAAAAAAAGACCACATTAAAGTGAAGCCCTATCAAGCATTCCTAAAGGCATAAGATTTAAAATTGACAATGAAGGTGGATTTCCACTGTCGCACATCTTGTTCAACTTTCACGTTTATGTGTGACTTCTCATAAATTACCTCTTTCTGATTTACCCTTGTACACACATAAAAATTTTGCAACAGTGTAAATCCACCCTAGAAAATTTAAATATTGTTACACCAATTCCAAATCTTAAACTTTGCCCCTTTGTTCTACTTTGACGACAGCTACCTCACTAATCCAATCATATAAGTTAAAAACTTAGTAGTTCCGAACAAAACTTGACCGTCAAGAAATTGACTTCCTACTTGTTGACGATTAAAGCAAGTCCCGTCTATACATCCATCGAGTTTATCTAGAGACAGTCTGTAGAACGGTTCATCTGACACATTCAAAATTCTTTCCGAAGTTTGTTATTTGTTGTTTGTTTTATCAAAATACCATTGTAACCTTTTTCGCATTACTTTACTTTCCTAAAATACCACTGACAAATCTCGCACAGCTTGCTTATGAACCATCCGATAATTATACACCGGAAAAAAGGCTTTGTGGGGATTTGGGTATGAACTTCACCACGTGCTATCATCGGCTGACATCTATTCTTTCTATAAACTTTCTTATTCTTTTATTGAACTTGGTTACTCGCACAACTTACCTTCTTCTTCTTTTGATACTTCTTCAACTGGTTTTTCGTCTGCAGGTTTATCTTCAACTGACATTTCAGCATTCGTAAGATCGGCAACTTGCTCGCATTCGGAAGAGACAGCCGCCATTTTTTACCCGGAAAGGAAAGGCAGATGGAGAATGGGACCGAGTTCTTTGATGAGTGTTTGGAAAGCGTTGTTGTGTACACTACAGTCAATTGTCCTTCCCAACAAAATTTAAATTCATAAATGCTGGATGTTACTAAAGTCGTCAATAAAATTTTACAAGAAATACTTTTGACTTCCATCTGCAAATATTAAGAAAATACATATATATTGAAGGACAACACAACAAAACAGACGATAAATCAGTTAACGGAATTTTATTCGACAAAGCAACTTGTCAGCGGTCTGTACCATTACGACTGTTTTTTCCAACATGGCGGGTAAGGTTTGAAATTTACTTGCTCTTCCTTAACAATTTTTCCTCTTTTTAACCATTTCACCTTTTTGCAGGTTTACAGTCGCTTGATTTAGAGGAGGATCTTGCTGTTGGAAGGTAATAATGTAGTTTGATAACTAACCTTTGAGAGAAGTATAAAATTAGCTTGACGGGCCATCTGGCTTAGTGTCATTAATTTGTTCCGACTTGATCGTTATTTTTTCTTCAATCTTTGGAAGATCTTAATCCTGTTTTTTGTTTTTGATTCAAAAATTGAGTGCCCATATTGCGACAATCGCCTTAAAAATAGAAAACCTATCGTATAGACTCTAGTGTTTAATTTAAGTAACAATATTTAAGCTTGATATTGAAACTTCAGCTTACTTTACAGTCAAGACAGCTGGCCCCAAAATAATTCAGCTTGGTTTTCAGACTTGAGGCTTTAAAAATACTAATGATAATAATTTATAAATTTACTATAGCGCCTTTTAACATATAAATGATCAAAAGCACTTTACAGTCTAAAAGTTTATTGAGCTGGTGTTTAGTGCCAATGACGAGAAATTCAGTTTTATTGTCATTTAGTAGCAACCTTCCATCAATCAGCCATTTCCTTAAGTCATGTATGCACCCCTCCATAGCATGCAGCAGCTCATCTTGTGCGTTATGATCATGTGCTCTGAAACTGAGGTACAGCTGCGTATCTTCTGCGAAACAGTGAGCTTGTGGGAGGTGTGCTCGATAACCTTAAGGAGCGTTGAAATGTAAATGATGAACAGCAAGGGTCCCAGACAAGAACCCTTAGGTATGCCACAGTCAAGTGAGAACTGTTGATGGATACTTGGTGGCTCCGATTTGATTGATATGAGCTGAACCAGTCAAGCACTTTCCCATGTATGCTGACATCCCTGCGCAGTCGCTCCAACAAAATATTAAGATCAACTGTGTCGAATGCTGCGCTTAGATCAGACAGGACCATCAGGGTCACATGCTGCTAGTTCATTTTCAAGAGGATGTCGTTCATAACTTTGAGCAAGGCTGTTTCAGTGCTGTGATGTTGATGATAGGATGATGGCTTGATATGTCTTTTATGTGAAATCACTCGCCAAATTTAGTTGGTAGATAAGGCTGTTTGTTTCATGTCATCTTTCTGATCTTAATAGCTAGTTTTTTTAATTTAATTTAGAATTATTGCTATTTGGTTTTCATTATCATTATTTTTCATCAGATCCAGTCGAGCTGATGCTAAGTTTGATACAACGGTTGGCCACATAGAGGACATTGTCATGGGTAAGTATATTTTATCATCATTCATCACATCAAAATCAGTTGGGTGAATAGTATCCTTGAAACAATTCATTTTGACATGCTGACGCTGTTCCTCATTTAGGAGTAGTTTATCCATTTTTTTTATGGGTATTATTATTAATTCATGCTGCATGAAACAAGGAATCAATCTAATCCTTATACAGTCAACTCTCACCTTGCGGACACCCTGCTATAACGGACATCCCGATAATACGGACAGCAGCTAAATCCCCAGCAAAAACAAATTACAGATGTTTGACTGAAATCGACTCTCACTATTACGGACACTCGCTAATGAGGACACTAACTCGAGGTCCCCACAGTGTCCGCTATAAAGGGAGTTGACTGTATCCCCCTAGAGATTTAAAGCAAGATTACACTGTCTTTTTACCAGGTTAACAAAGAAAGTTCAGTTTATCTTTGACAAGTAACAGCCCTCAATGTAGCAAGGATTATTGGTCTGATTTAAATCATGACAATTCACATATTTCCCTTCGACAAATGTTATTAGTTCAGATCACAAGTGCCCAGTATTTTTTGCCTTCTCTTTAACACATAAAATCAATGCATTTTCTCAGAGGAAAGATTCCAGACAATGCAAAAAGACTTCAAAGAAAAGTATTACCATCACTTTACAGATGAAGAGGAAAATAAACTTATATACATGGATATATTCAAGGAATATGTAAGCTATTGTTAGTTGATTAACTCTACGTCAAATTGATTTAACCCAATAAATTGCTTTCAGGCTACATTTGCTTGAAACCTAAGTGGTTTGGTCTTTTGTTTCCTTCTAAATGTTAAGCTTGTTCATTTTTTTCTTTTTCATCTGTTTTAAGGAAATATCCATTCTCTTTTTCTTGTTGTCATCAGTTGTCCCAATCTAGCTAGCAACATTATTTTTTTTCCTTTTAGCATTCTGAAACCCATATAGCATAAAAAGGCAATAAATGAAATGATTGAGAATCAGACTAGGCTTAAACCACAGTATTAGACTAGGTTGAACTACAACATAGATATTCCAAACCAATTAGCTGTATCAGCCCCTCTCCCTCGAAAGATGTATTATAGTACTAGCTAATGTTTAACATGAACTACACACAATAACCATAACCATTTAAGTTATGATCTGGGTGAGATGGGAAGTGATTTCTTTTGTTATAACACAATAGACTTTCTTCACATACTTTAGGAATGTTTTCATATTCACACAGAGAATGTGTAAACCTCCAAAAGGCAGTTTACAAAATAAATTGTGTAATCTATTTAAACTCCATTTTTAAAGGGTGTTTGTTTGTGGCTTAATAGATTTCAACCAATCGTAAGAGTTGCAAACAAGAGCCAAGAAAAGTTTACAACTTTGCAAGTTCCTTTCATAGGATTTCTGTGTTTCTTAGACTCAGACAAGATTTTGTTATTAAGAATTTGGTTGGAAAACAAGGGATTAATCATGTTTTGTAAAATTTCATGTTTAAACCAATCTGAACTGTAGTAGAGATATAGTGAAGTTAACACGTTTTTGCATTCAGATGTCTTCATTGCATTTGGTTCTTTTCTTCTTATCTTTGACCATAACTTAAACTATCCACTGTGTCTTTAGGTTTCACAAATAGAACATCACATACAAGATGAGCTTAAAAAGAGAATTCCTGGCTTCTCCATGGAAGAATTTTCAAAGTCGTTGGAGTAAGTTATTTATTGTCCTTTAACTCATGTTAATTTTGTTGTTATATAATAAGTGACAAAAGGTGGTGTTGACTAATATTGTACTACAAATTTTGGTTATATTGTTTAAAAAATTATAATGTTATTATTGTTTGACATATTTTTTTGCTTTGCCATACATAGACGTCGGCACGACCAAATTGGGGGAGATATATTGGAGATGCTTCTTAGTTTTACAGATTTCTTGGCCTTCAAACAAATGTTTCTAGATTACAAAGCTGTAAGTATTGCTAACTGCTCAACTGCTCTTATTTAGTTTTCCCCTTTTCTTCATTTCAGCTTTTCTATATCTTTCTTGTATTCTGTTATTTAATTAGACTGCAAAACAGGGATCATTGTATATGTCTGGGAAACTGCCCACCTACCCCTCCCCTAGGCCAACATTTGGCCTTAAGTGTGGAAGTAAGTGATAATGTTGGCTTATCATATAAAACTTTGACGTTTCATCGTCGATCTGCAAAAATGTTTCTTTCGAGTGAGAAAATGAATCGTCCATTTTAGATATTCTTTAGAAAAACCCAGAAGGTTTATTTGGAAGAAAGTGTTTGTAACAAACAAAACCCGAAGCAATGCTGCAGTCCTAACTTGTTCCCTTCACTAAGTTTCTGAACTTCCTGCGAGCAAACAAAGCAACAGATTTTTCTGCCAAAAGTGCTTTGAAGGACTACTAGTAATAATCAAAGATTACGGAATGCGAGCGACAACGATCGAAGGCCAAAACGCTTTTGCTTTAGGCTGTGCTTTGCATACGTTTCACGTGACATGGTCAAAACATGCGTGATCAGATTACAAGTGAGTGGAAGGCCTAAACGCGCATGATCAAATTGTGTTCTGTGCATTCTATCCATTCTTAGTGGAAGTCCAAACAAATACTGACTACATACATGCGACGCATGTGTAATAACAGCCTTTAGGATTGCGGGTTCCTCTTGTCGCCCGCAAAAATGAGAGCCCACCAAGTGACCTGCAAATAACTGCCCCAAACGATGGTCTACTCATGCGCAATGTCGTCCAACTGTGTTTGGCTGCAAATAATATTCTGCCCACGCGTAAAGGAAATCACGCCGCTCTCCTTCTTGCGATCGCACTTGAGTGAAAATGGCAGCTCGTTTTGCTTCCCGAGCATATTCATTGAAAAACAAAGACGGGGATCAAATGATAAATAGCCTGCGATTACAGCCGTTTCTGCTGCTCGCCGCAGGTTTCCTCCTAGCATACGCTGGGTTCCAGAGGATATTTTTTTCTTATCGTTGGTGAAGCCGCGTCAACGAGGCGCGAAGCGTCTCGGGAGCCTTATCAAACCGTAAGCACGGTTTATTTCATATTAGGTATTTTGAGAACAGACCTCTGGAGCCAGGGTACTCCTGGCAAGGCTACGCAAAATATCTTGATTTGTCAGTGTCTCGTAGATCAATTATTTGCCGAAGTCGAAGGCTGGGGCAAATAATTGATATACTCGCCATTGACAAATCACGATATTTTGCTCAACCTCGTCTAATCATCAGGAGCCACGTCGTCACTTAAAATGGAGAACTTGCTCAAAGGCTAGCGTAGCGTGGAATTAATTTTACATTGGCCGTGACTGAGAAAGATTCTTGAATCTTGAAAAAGTCCCAGCAATTTTCCAGACCTGGAAAAAGTCTGGAAAAATGGTAAAAAGTCGAGGTTTCTTTGAAAACTACAACAAGTGCTTTATAAGTGTGTTTCTTGGTTTTGGTCAAATCTCATTCAACCTCGACCGTGCGTTTGCAGTGAATCGTAAAGAAAGCTTTGTTCCGGCGTTGTTGAAGGTCTATATTGATAACCCATTTGATAACCTCAAGTCTGGAAAAAGAAATTATTGCTTTGGAAAAAAAGTCTGGAAAAAGTCTTGAATTTTGGATCCAAAAATCCATACGAACCCTGAATAGCATACAACAAAACAAGCACACTGATTGAATTATAACACAATTATTGAACTTGGTTTGCATAATATTGTGATTTATCAGTGTCTCGCAGATAAATTAATTGCCTCTGCCTGAGGCGTCGGCAAGTAATTGATCTGTTTCTTGTATTCTGTTATTTAATTAGACTGCAAAACAGGGATCATTGTATATGTCTGGGAAACTGCCCACCTACCCCTCCCCTAGGCCAACATTTGGCCTTAAGTGTGGAAGTAAGTGATAATGTTGGCTTATGGGAGGGGTAGGTGGGCAGTTTCCCAGAAAAGTATAATGATCCGAAAACAGTCAGGGGGGTGGGGTTATCAAAATCACATTTTCAAGGCACAGAACACTGGTATATTGCCCACCAACCTTGATTCCAGGCAAGTATCCTATCAATCAACCATGCTCTCAAGTGTGGCAGCCTAGTTGTTTATTCCCAAGTGAACTAGAAGAATGGCATTCATGGCTATCTGAAGATGAAATAGCAGCTACATTTCTGACTAAAACTGTAGGAAAGAAATGCAAGAATATCCAAAACATATTGCTCGATGGATGTTATCTAATTTTTTAGGAGTATCTGCACGGAAAAACATCTGTTTATATCCCCAAACCATTCTGACAAATAGGCCAAGGTTTTGAAGAAAGTCTATGAGGAGCTTGTTAATTAATAACTTAGAAATATTTTGAATAAATAATATAACAATTATTGAATTTGGCTTTTGTTTGTTGTGAAGAATTATGCAGATCTCAGAGGCTCTTATCTTCGACCTGTGTAACATTTCATATCATACTCTGCCTTATTAAATAATTGTTAATAGCTGCTAGTTAGATATTACAAGCGCATGCACTAATAATTGTACGTTATAACATAGCTTATAAACTAGTCAAATGATCAGAATTAATTCCATCATGGTACACCGTACACTTTGGATTGTAGGCAAAAGAAGGCACAGGAATGGACTTAAGTGACTTGTTAACTATCACGTCAAGCTCAGCTAACAAAGATGACTCACAAGGCATGCAAATCGACCCTGATTCACCAAGAGAAGGACCATCAAAGCAAAGATAGTCTTTGGAGAAACAGTTCTTTGACTTTGTCCATGTTCTTGGAGTGCAGTGTCCCTGTCTGTAAATAAATATGACTCACAACTTGAAGGCACCACAAGTTTTGCAAACACAGTCTATAAATTATATTGCATTCAGTGTCAATAACTTTAGATTCACATGGTGACTAGACGTTGTTTTGGTAAAAATACCTAGCTACTATGGGTTTCATTAGACAGGTAAAACAAGAACAAACAGATCACAACTGCATAAAATTATATATGTGTGCTGAAAAAGTTGTGCCATGAATTCAGATGATATAAGTTTTGGTTAATTTCTAATCTGATGCTCCAGAAAAAAATTCATACCCTCCTAGGTTAATACTTTTTTCCTAGGCCCCTATTTTCCTCGGAATTTTCAGTGACGCTCCGTGGGGTAGATATGGGTATTTTCTTGGAACAAGTAAGTGGTACTGTTTTTACTATTCACAGAGAAAAAAGAAATAGGTTACTTTCTTGATAGCATCCATCCTAAGCCTTCTAAAAGGAGAACAACAAACTCGTTCCTCTCACATCAACTGATATTTTTGTTTAAGAAAATAACTCCCTTTCTCTTCTTTTAGAATTTTAAGTGTAACAAGAGCCGTGTTGTACAAATTGATGTTTTAAGAACATTAAACAAAAGTATTTATAAAGATAAAGTTTTTTCATATCACTTCCCTGCAATTGTTCGTTTATTTTATAATTCTTAAACAGTGAGTAAAAAACTCGTTTTATGTACCTCACTGTCTGGTCTTGATCTGCCCTTCAAAGAACTTTGTTCTTTGACCCCTTTGACCAAGTTATAGCGAGATTATCTCTCAACAAAATCCTATGGTGTTACCATTTATGCAAAACCTCTTTGACAGAGCTTTTCTATAGTGCTATTTATATTTCTTAGGGTTTTTCAAAAAGAAATTTGATTTTTTTTGGCGACTATTAGAAGTGACAAATCATTTGTTTTTCTTTGTTTCATTTTTCCTGCTTAGTCTTGAAATATGGATTAATAAGTTAACTAAGTTTGCCTCACATGACCACACCCCTAATTTGTCCACGGGTGCAAAAGGTTCAGTAACGTAAAAATGGACGATCTGGCAGTTTGCGGCGTGAAAAATATGGCGATTGAAGATTAGTGGCCCTATGAACGAGCCTTGAGTCACAACTATGTACATATAAAACTTTGACGTTTCATCGTCGATCTGCAAAAATGTTTCTTTCGAGTGAGAAAATGAATCGTCCATTTTAGATATTCTTTAGAAAAACCCAGAAGGTTTATTTGGAAGAAAGTGTTTGTAACAAACAAAACCCGAAGCAATGCTGCAGTCCTAACTTGTTCCCTTCACTAAGTTTCTGAACTTCCTGCGAGCAAACAAAGCAACAGATTTTTCTGCCAAAAGTGCTTTGAAGGACTACTAGTAATAATCAAAGATTACGGAATGCGAGCGACAACGATCGAAGGCCAAAACGCTTTTGCTTTAGGCTGTGCTTTGCATACGTTTCACGTGACATGGTCAAAACATGCGTGATCAGATTACAAGTGAGTGGAAGGCCTAAACGCGCATGATCAAATTGTGTTCTGTGCATTCTATCCATTCTTAGTGGAAGTCCAAACAAATACTGACTACATACATGCGACGCATGTGTAATAACAGCCTTTAGGATTGCGGGTTCCTCTTGTCGCCCGCAAAAATGAGAGCCCACCAAGTGACCTGCAAATAACTGCCCCAAACGATGGTCTACTCATGCGCAATGTCGTCCAACTGTGTTTGGCTGCAAATAATATTCTGCCCACGCGTAAAGGAAATCACGCCGCTCTCCTTCTTGCGATCGCACTTGAGTGAAAATGGCAGCTCGTTTTGCTTCCCGAGCATATTCATTGAAAAACAAAGACGGGGATCAAATGATAAATAGCCTGCGATTACAGCCGTTTCTGCTGCTCGCCGCAGGTTTCCTCCTAGCATACGCTGGGTTCCAGAGGATATTTTTTTCTTATCGTTGGTGAAGCCGCGTCAACGAGGCGCGAAGCGTCTCGGGAGCCTTATCAAACCGTAAGCACGGTTTATTTCATATTAGGTATTTTGAGAACAGACCTCTGGAGCCAGGGTACTCCTGGCAAGGCTACGCAAAATATCTTGATTTGTCAGTGTCTCGTAGATCAATTATTTGCCGAAGTCGAAGGCTGGGGCAAATAATTGATATACTCGCCATTGACAAATCACGATATTTTGCTCAACCTCGTCTAATCATCAGGAGCCACGTCGTCACTTAAAATGGAGAACTTGCTCAAAGGCTAGCGTAGCGTGGAATTAATTTTACATTGGCCGTGACTGAGAAAGATTCTTGAATCTTGAAAAAGTCCCAGCAATTTTCCAGACCTGGAAAAAGTCTGGAAAAATGGTAAAAAGTCGAGGTTTCTTTCAAAACTACAACAAGTGCTTTATAAGTGTGTTTCTTCGTTTTGGTCAAATCTCATTCAACCTCGACCGTGCGTTTGCAGTGAATCGTAAAGAAAGCTTTGTTCCGGCGTTGTTGAAGGTCTATATTGATAACCCATTTGATAACCTCAAGTCTGGAAAAAGAAATTATTGCTTTGGAAAAAAAGTCTGGAAAAAGTCTTGAATTTTGGATCCAAAAATCCATACGAACCCTGAATAGCATACAACAAAACAAGCACACTGATTGAATTATAACACAATTATTGAACTTGGTTTGCATAATATTGTGATTTATCAGTGTCTCGCAGATAAATTAATTGCCTCTGCCTGAGGCGTCGGCAAGTAATTGATCTGCTCCCCTCTAAATAATCACGACATTTTGCTTGACACACATCATCCCGTAATTGTCCATTATCTTTACAAAAGAGTCTTTATGCTTTACAGCCATTAAAAAATTAAGAAAGTAAAAATATTTATTGCTTCATTTCGTGAATCCACTACTTTATATTCTTACAAATTGCGGCTTCTTTATGGTACCCAAACTAACTAAAACAAATTGGAGATTGGTTCTTCGTCGGCATTCACAACACTCAGAACATTCTCGCTGCAAAAACTTTTCGCAGCAGGTCGTAAAACTTATTTCGTCAACTGAACCTTATCCTCCTCTGTCGTTGTTATTCTAGGCTTTATGAGTCTTACTCTAAGGGTTTTATCCAATTCTATTAATAACTGTACGTTTGTTAGTATTTTTTAAAAATAATAATAATAAGGAAATTGACGAGATTTCAATAAAGAGATAAACCAAGTAGACGGCAGAGATGACCTCGTGACCAGAAAACTTTTAAGTTCACATGATGTTTCAAAAGTTGATGTTTTGTAGACTACGAGTCAGTGCCCCATTTTTCCTCAGGGAAAGTAGAGCAAGCGAAACGCGAGCGCGAGGGAAAATTACCCCACGCGAGAAAAGGCTACACGAGGCGTGTCGCCTTTTCTCGCGTGGGGTGATTTTCACGCCCGCTCGCTTTTCGCTTGCTCTACTATCCCTGAGGAAAATGGGGGACTACTCGAAGTCTAATGTTTTGCCAAGTTTTGACCGCAATGCTGGACATCAAAAAACTTTAATAAAGTACCGTTGCAGCTCTAAGAAGTGGTTCTGTACGAACGGAAAAACAAGGACAGCCAAGAAAATGAGATTTTCTCAATACTTAGTAAGGCTACTTAGTACTTCTAACACGTGAACCAGAGTCATTTTGACGGGAAAATGCATTAACCGCCGTCATTCTACTACGAGTTTTAGTGAGAACGTCGTTGTGACGAAAATAAGTTACCAAATGTAAGAAGCTATGAAATTATGCTATCAGGAGAAGGCTTAACCTCCCGGCTTCAATTCAAATAACCTTTCTGGTCAGGAAAGTACAATAAAGTTTCCCTGGGTATCGATTTTTTGAGAGAATACGCGAAAATACTTTAATTCAAGTCCTCGTCCTCGAATCTAAATCGAGACCTTTAGATTCGCGACCGAGAACGACTATGAGTGAGAGATTTGCCTGAAAGATTTTTGGCGTATTCTCAAAAAATCGAGACCCCAGAAAACTTCATTGATTTTTGATTCACCAGAAAAGTTAGCACTGTTATCTTCAATAAAGGAGGTTAAGCCCCCTCCTGATGGCAAAATGACAAAACTTTAAGATTTAATAACTTGTTTTCGCAACTACGACATTCTCGCTAAAACTTGCAGTAGAATGACGACGGCTATTACGTTTACCTGCCAAATGACGTTGGTTAATGCGCGCACTTCTTGTATTGAAAAATTTCGTACTCGTATTCGCTCTCGTCTTAGAATCATAAAGTCTCTAATATCTCTAATCTGTCCATTTGAATGGCGCATTTATCCAGTTATTTGCAATCCACTTGTGACCCTCCAGAACATCGCATCCGCCATGTAAAGAACGCTCGTCTTGCGCTCCCAACAAACCAGTCACGTTATCGACCACGTGATTGTACCACATGATCGCTGTACCTCTAGTGGGACGAACCACTATATTCGCATCATAGCAGTGAGTGCTTAAATTTGACAAATCCTTTTCATGGAACTCCTGTAAAAGATGAACGGAAAAACGATTTACTTGATGAACAGACAGGTGAATGAATGAGCAACTAAATGAATGAAAGAACGGAGGGCCTACTGATTGACTGTGAACATGAACAAGTGCATAAAATAAAGGACGGTTGCATAAAAAAGTCAAAAGCTTGTAAATACTGCTCAAAATTCTACTCAAAGCAATTATTTCATAGGTTGGAACGCCTGCCCACAAACCTCGTCACATATGTTGAAAAAGAAAATGAAATCCGGGTTAAAATTTTCACCCCGGGCGAGCCCTAATCACTCGGTCATCTAACAACTGAGCCCAGAGCTCAATATTGTGGGAAGAAGGAAAAAGAGTAGACAGGGAAAGGATAGATAAGCTGGTTGAAGAGGTGTGACGTGGAAAAACACAGCTTTCGTCTNAAACGATTTACTTGATGAACAGACAGGTGAATGAATGAGCAACTAAATGAATGAAAGAACGGAGGGCCTACTGATTGACTGTGAACATGAACAAGTGCATAAAATAAAGGACGGTTGCATAAAAAAGTCAAAAGCTTGTAAATACTGCTCAAAATTCTACTCAAAGCAATTATTTCATAGGTTGGAACGCCTGCCCACAAACCTCGTCACATATGTTGAAAAAGAAAATGAAATCCGGGTTAAAATTTTCACCCCGGGCGAGCCCTAATCACTCGGTCATCTAACAACTGAGCCCAGAGCTCAATATTGTGGGAAGAAGGAAAAAGAGTAGACAGGGAAAGGATAGATAAGCTGGTTGAAGAGGTGTGACGTGGAAAAACACAGCTTTCGTCTCGTGTTTCAACGAATTCTATAAGTTTCGCAGATCGCGTTTCTCACCGTTTGGTCGAAAATCTCTTTATCAGCGACAGGAAAAGCCGTCTCGCCGCCACGGGGAACATCGTTGAGGTAATATAATATCGTCAGAAACCTGAAAGAAGAATTAGTTTTTGGCACAAAAGCGAAAACAATCTTTACTAAGTTTATTACTGCGACTATTGTAAGCCATTTCCGAGTTTCCCCTAGCCTCTGTTTTAAAGCAATGCCAAGTGTAAAGCCATTGAAATGAAAATGATTTTCAGTTTTCGCATGAAAATAAAACTCCTTTTTATAAAAAAGGTTTTGCAATTAACCTCGCATTGAAAGTGAAAGTCTTGGAACTCGGAAATTGCCTATTGGCTGATTAGTGGTCACGTGGCCTTTACTATAATCAATCGTGCTGCAAACACTCCACCCAGAAAGGCATGTAACAGGACGTGTAGCGCCAAGCCGACAGCCTCTTTACTGGAGGAGATCTAGAGGAACTCAAACCACGAGATGGCACTTTTGTTCATAGTTTTTTGTTGACCATTCGCTTATTTAGTCTCTTCAATAGTCTATTCCAGGCCTTCAGATGGTGGTGTGCGGTGCTAAGTCAGCCACCCCTTGCTGTTTTTCCTACTCACAACTCTTTGTGTCGTCCCCACAGTCTGGACTCCTGGAACAGGCTACCTGTTCACAGACCTTCTATTAGGGAGCTTAAGCAACGACGACGTACGGCAACGGTTACGAAAACGTCACTTAAAAAGTGAATTCGCGCTGCTTCAAACTTTATCGCGTTTATTCCATCTCGTTCAATTCGTACAATTGTTGGCATTTTTTTCTGGAGTTGAATTCTAAAATACTGTATCGAAAGAAAGTCGTCGTCTTGTGTTCACGTCCTCCACAAAACGTGAAATTAAGTACTTTCACGTCGTAGTTGTACAGTGACGGCGAAGAAAAGCGCAAAACTAGATGCGTGACGCACGTGCAGAGTTGTTGTTTTGCCAATCAAAGCCTATTGCTTTTTTGTTGTTCTCGTTGAAGTCGCCGTTGCTTAAGCTTCCTTATATTTCCCTTCAAGGTCGTAGAGCACGCGTATGGAAATAAAAAAGCCACTTCCAAGTTCCAAAAACCCTCACTTTCAAAATGAGGCCAAGTGCACAACCTTTCTTGTGGAAATGAGTTTTATTTGCATGAGAATGAAAAATCATTTCCATATCAAAGGCTGAGCACTTAACCTCGTTTTGAAACAGAGGCCCGGTGGAATACGGAAATGGCCTATTGATTGACATCCGTACATATTACATCTTTTCCTGCCCTTTTAACAATATTTTGCCGACTTTTATAGCTGATCGCACAATTTCCCGCGCTTGGTTGTGAATGGGTTGAGAAAGCTGTTCTAGTGTACAAACTAGGAACTCATTACCCTCTCTTCCTCCTGACTTGGCAAAATTTCCAATTATTTGCAAATTTCGCATTTTTTTTTTTCACCTGCGCGCAAACCCGGACATATGTGCCTCTCTTGACAAGACAGTGTAACAGAAAATCTTCTTTACCGACACAAGCTGCAATTCGTGTCGTTTCCTCCTCCTGCATTTCTGCAACATATCCTGATAGAAGCATTATTATCCCGTGACGAGTCATAATGCGCGTGATAATGGCCATGGATTCCATACTGTACAACCTGAAAAACAGCAGTAGTGATGTTAACCTACAGTTGAGCGAGTTGGAATATTCACAATGAAGCTTAAAAAGACGCATTCAAGTGCTAGACGTTTACGTTTGCATTATTCATATTATCCACAGTAATAATAATAATAATAATGCAAAATAAACAAAATATACAAGAAAGTGTTAAAAAACATTAAGAAACTAAATCAATAAATCAATTCATATAAAAATTTTCCAGGCCAGCCTTGAAGCCTTGATGTTCGGCTGAGTAATCACTTCAGGAGGTAGGCAATTCCACAAGTTTATCGTGGCGGGGAAGAAACTCCCCTTGTACTTCGGCGTTAGTGTAAAAGTTCACAGCAATGTATCTCGCAGAATGGTACTGACGGGTTCTGCAGTAACGTAGTGGCTGGACATATGATAGCATCGGGATATCTTGAAGAACAGCATCAGCTTCGCTCTTTCTGGTCTCATCTGTAAAGGCTCCCAGTTAAGTTCCTGGATCAAACGAGTCAATGTCCTTGGTTCTCTATTCCAGCAGTTCTTGAAGAAGCGGGCCGCCTTACCCTCTACAGCCTGTATACTATTGAGTTTCTGTCAATTAAGGGTTGTCACTAAGATTTTAAGTTGCCAGGTGAATACAAAAGGAGGCAGGGAATCAAACAGCAAGGGTTCTTTTGGTTCTATTTTTCTTCTATTCACTTTGAAAGTAGCCAGGGACCACGTTCGTAGTAGCCGGGAAATCCCCGGCCCCCGACTCTTAACGACAGTCCTGAAATTAGTCCTTCAGAATGTAGCCTGCGTAACAAGCGTTTCCGTTTGGTTTCGGAGCAAAAAGAGACCGTGGAAGGGGATTTTCGGTTTTGATCGCGCGAGAAATTAAACGAGCCATTTTTCGCGCGGTCTTTGACTCTTGTTTCTCGTTCTTTGCTCCTAAACCGCACAGAAACGCTTGCTACGCAGGCTATTCAGAATGTTATAGTGGCTAAGATGTCCAAAAACATGATGGTATATAACATGCTCCATAACTTTACAGATCGAACACGTAAGGGAGACAGGTCTGTAGTCGTCGACGGTCGTGATCGCTCAAGCTCCCAACTATCTGCCAAAAAAGGCCGTTTGAACACATATTAGGACAGTTTTTAACCGCAAATAATAGACCATTATTTTTTACCTCGCACAACAATGGACACTGAATTTTTTGTTCAAAAATGAGCCCGACCTTTGCCAGCCCAGGGGCTGTAAGCGAAGTCACAGCTTACCTGCAATTCTTCACTGCGCTCCACAAATACCCTTGGTAATTTGGTCAACTGTATCACTCTAAAACGAAATGTGACAATTAATCAAAAAGTTATTTTTTGCAGCTGGTAAGACAGTATTCCAACACATACTGATATTCACCAAATAATAATATATAAAATTTCTGCTGTCAGGCAGTATATGAATAATTAATCTACATATCTAAAACTTACAATGAAAATCAATGACAACTCGCAGCCTAAATTCTCATCGCCTAGACAGCACATAGCAGAAATTCATATATCACAGAAAAGTAGTATTACATACTGTCTTATAAGGACGCTCATAAACACACAAAATAATAGACATGACTAAGACACTGGTAGCAACCAGCAGTAGCCAGTGTGAACAGCCATGACTAATGCATGCAAAAGTCATAGAGTAATAACAAAAACATATCAAGAAAAACCTGAGAATTAGCTATTTGGAAATGTTGGTTTTTGAGGAGAGGGGAAAACCGGAGTATCCAGAGAAAAGCCTCTTGGAGCAGCAAGGGAGAGAACCAACCACAGACTCAACCCACGTTAAGTGATGACAGGATTTGAACCCAGGCCACATCAGTGGGAGGCGAGTGGCCCGGGTCTCATCATTTTGCCACCCTTGCTCCCTAACTACTGCAGAGTTAACAGTCAACTCCTTTTTATGGGCATCTACTCAAGATGATACCTCTTTAACCCTTTCACTGCCAAATTTTACCAAAAGCAAATTTTAGCCAAATTTCCAAATTTCATTTTGTGAAATTTTGAAAAATAAATAGCACCATGTGTAAGTACAGGAAGAGTGCTTTCATTTAAATGGTCACATCATACGATTTCGTCCACAGACTCAAAAGTGTGCTGCCCAGTTCTCCAAATCCTGACCCTATTTCAGACCAAAAAATGTCATTTTTCACACCCATTTTCAAACCTGGCCTCTAAAATCCATACCCATTCTCAGACCCGGCCTTTAAGAAATTAAGTCATCATTACTTAGATTAGTACAGCAACAAAAAAGATTTCTTAAAATCCATTTTGAATTAGCATCAAACTATTTCTTTTTCTTTCTTACTCATTTGGAATTGAAACAATACATATGTTCGTACACTCCGGTAGTTTAGGGGCTTACACAACAATCAAACTAAAGATGTGTGTCCATGCCTTTCTTGTATATCCCTCAACACTGCATCCTTGCTTCCAGTCATCGTCAGCCATGTCTGTTGGCTAAGTCTGGTTCGGTATCGTGGATGATTATTTTCCAGTTTTTTCATGTACCGTTCAAGCACTGCATGGTCACCCTCCATGCATTCAGTCAAACTTATCTCACCTTGTAGAAATGAACAGTAAAAGAATGATAAGATCAAATTGAAAAGAACCTATGGTTATCTATAGTCTCCTGTGAAGCCATTTTTTGTGTTGTCATGCAATGCTCCAAAGTTGCAGCACTGCATGAAAACACAAAGAACAGCTGCAAAGGAGACTAATGGCCAGCTCAGTTTATCAAAAGACACTTCAGTGACTGATTTGTTCACATTTATCTTGTGCGAATGATGTACATGTGGTTGAGACTGAATGGAGCCTAGAATGACAGAATGGCAACAACAAATGCACCCATATCTCCTTCAGACTTCAAGCCTATTCCAGGGATTCAGGTAGTAGGGTGCGGCCCATCTAGTCAGAGAACGGGAAAAAAATAAGGCGGACAAGAGGGAGAGGAAAGAAGGAGTTTTTCCGGCTCACATCTCTTTGCACTGTACACCCCCGGAACGGGCTATCAGACTTCTCTTGTTTATACTTGTGGTTTGTGTTTTGTAAAGTACAAAACACTCCTGTTTATGTATTAAAACCACATAGTAGGGACCTTTAGATTGGAGTGTACAGGTTTTTAAACCAGGCTCCTGTGCCTAAGTTAAGCACACCCTATCCTAGACTGTGTACAGATGCCCCCTTCCGGGGAGAGAGACTCTCTCTTATTTTTTTGGAGGGAAGGGGGCATCTGTACACAGGCTGACCCTATCCATAAATGTTATTTATGAGCTTGTTAGTCAACAAAGGGAAAAAGTTATAGACTGGGGGATATAATGAACTCAAGACTCCAAAGTCATACTTGCACTCAATTTCATACTCAGTGGTAGTCAGATTTGAAAGTGGCTATAAAACTATTGTTTTAATCTGTAAATACTGATACCTATTAGAGACAAAAATAAATGGCAGTTCAAATGCAGGTCACAGGTCGCAAGTGCAGGTTACAGTACAGGTGACCACGCTACGGTAAATAAACAACACTAATTGTGTCTGCTAGCCCTAAGCATGATCCAATAGATCGATAGAACAGTGACTTGCACGTGTGACCTGTTACCTGTAACAGCAATCAACTGCAAAGTTATAGGGGTGTAGAATGGTTCCTCCAAAAGAGCGGATCTTGGATAGTTTGGACCCGATCTCGAAATCTCTGAAGTGTTGGTGATGGGTCTTGAAGTCTCGTTTTCGGGTGATTTTGTGTCTTGGAGTCTCAAATTTTTTCAACTGTTGGTCTCAAATTTTGAAACCAGGGTCTCGCAGTCTTGCAAAGTCCCAAATTTGCCATTCTATATCCCTAGTTATGTCTGCTAGCTATCTGCCATGCAAAATTAAAAAGTTATTGTATCAACATACCATCTCCATCTTTATCAAAGTTTATTTCCCTTAACCTGATAAAACAAAGTAAGCCAAAATTTGCTCATCAATTATTATTAGACTGCAGTAGGACTTAAAAAAAACAATTTTCAAACAACATTTTAACTAAAACCCTAAGGATGTTATTGAATTATTCAAAATTACTTACATCAAATCAATCTCTTGAACTGTTACTAAAATGCCATCTGTCTCGTTTAAAGATTTTCTCACCTGAAAGTGATGGTCACTGTCTGTTAACTATATATCTTATCACACAATACAATATCATTATAGAGCCTGATTGTATGGGTATTTCCGACGAAATCAAAATCCTAATGATCACTATTGATGCATGAGTGACGATCTTAGAGATTAAGGCCCAATCACTTTACCATTCCAATCAAGTTTGACAATGTTAGTTGTGCAATGACGGCAAAGAAACCTTCCACAAAGTGTGCTGCACTTTCACACTTTTTGTTTTGCTCATTAGACCTGTTACCTCTTTGAGTTGCATGTTTGTTTTGTCACAGTGATGTTTGCACTGAGTTTGCCAGTAGCATTACCATGCAAAACAATCCTTGATGTGTGACAATTCTGCCTGAAAAACCAAGGACTTGATAGAATATGCATGACAAAATTGATGTCTGCGGGTAGCCATACAGAGGCTCCATCATTATAAAATCATAATATTTTTATTGATACTGCCTGGTGTGGGAAGTAAAAAATTCACATGATTGAAAGAGACAGTTATAAACAAGTTAAAGGTTACTTATTGTTTAGTTTAGCTGTATATCCCTGTATAAAACACTTGAGGTCACATGATGGGCAAACACTGATTTGATGAAAGAGGTAGATCATAATATGATTATGATTTTATGATATTTGATATGTCTGATTATATTATAATCAGACATATCAAATATCATAAAAATGTAATTTTTTCCATTAAACATTGCATTAAAGTATCTAATTCACATATTGTGTTCACTGCGATGATCACTTCTTTATTTTCATTTCATTTTCACAGTTCATATATGATTTATTTCATATATCATTAACAAAAACTTTAAATTGATAAAATCACTTCTAATTAACAATCATTGTCATGCAAAAAAATTGTATTGATTCTTTTATTAAAAATTCATTCTAATTTCCAGAGACAAGAAAAAAGCAAAAAATAGTTTACAGCATGGACTCATATTATGTTATTAGTGAAAGCCCTTGTTTGCATTGTATTAAATATAACAAATATTGTTATACTCGAAAATAATTACTTATCATACCTCCGATGAAGAAATCTTGCCATCATTGTTTTCATCAGCTGCAAGTAACTCTTCACAGTCTTCTTTTAATTCCACTTCAGTTGAAGCTACAAGTTTCAGTGTTAGATACCATTAACCTTAAATGTCTTCTTCCTCAAGGTTAAGTGGGGTTGTGGTATTCATGACTTTTAAGAATACCAAAGCAACACTGGACTCTTTTTCAAGCAACTTTGAGGGCCACAGGAAGTGGAGAATATTCAGACAGAGGGAAATATTCAGGTTTATAGCAAAACAGTGTGGTTGATGAAACACAGTGCTGCTAGGCACGGCCGAAAAAGGGGAAGAACCATCACTTAATGCAGTCTTTCTCTTTTCACTGTATGTAAAACTAAACATGGCCATGGGAGCTGGGAAGGCTTAAGAAGGGGCCTTCAGCATTATTCTTGTAAAAAGGACCATATTTATTAGAAAGGGGCTTAATAGAGGATTTCTGGTACATTAGGTTTGATGGTCTTACAATGTTATTTTACTCATAGAGTAAAAAATTGTGACATCAGAAATATTATTACTAATGCTAAAGAATTTTTCATAACAGCACTAAACATGCAAAATTTGCTACTGTCACAGCCTGCCCTTTTACAGATCTTTAGTACAGCATATTGAGACTATTCTACAGAGCAACAGTGGTTAAATTTGTATATGTTACAGGTCAAATTTGATTTCAAGTTAACTTTGAATTAACCTAGGTCGACTCTCAATTTCCTTCGTTTCCTAGCCCTGATTCCTGAAATAATTAGGACTAGGAGACAAAGGAAATTGTGAATCAACCTGGGATAAAAAAAACTTTAAACGGGATTTAATTTAAACCTGTAACATATACACAGCAAAATTAATATTGAGTGAGAAGCTAAAAGGACGTGAGGGGGTGAGTAGGGAGTTGAATCAAAGAAACCCCAGTCAGGGTTCATACAAAAAATTGCAACCATCTTTTAAAGACTTTTCAAGCACAACATTCGATTTTCAAGGACCACCCACCAGGAATGTAGTTTCACAGATTTTACAAAAATGCATATTCCTAGTTCATTCTAACAGGACTTAAAGGCTTGAACTGTTTGCTCGGCCAGTTTCTCTACATTTTTCAGTTCACTTAATATCTTAAATTGATAGTTTATGCAAATCACTATCTGAGCTATGATTTACATTCTGTCTTCAACAGCCAAAATGCATTAAAAAACACTTTCCAGGCCACTACATTCAAAGCTGAAGAAAAATCAAGGACTTTTCAAGGACTTGCTTAGAAATTTAAGGACTTTTCAAGGATTTCCCCTTAAATTCAAGGACTTTTCAATCTACTGTGTAAACCCTGCCATTTAAGGAGAGGTATCAATATTTTCTGGGATGTTTAAATTAATACTGTTAATAACCTCACCTTTTGGGTCTTCGATATCTGGCAGAGTAGTACTTTCATACAAACCCATCTTGCCAGCGAGTTTTATTATATGTTCACATTCCTCTGTACTTAAAAAGTTGGGTATTTCTAGTGGAAATAACATAAAAGTATTTGAAGTGGCAGATTAAAAAAACAATTGTCACATATTGAGGAAACCAAACAAAAGCTTGAATAGGAGGCATCATTTTGGGAAGGGTATTACTAAGTCTTGAGGACTATTTTCCAAATTGAATAAACCAATGAAAAATAGGTATTGGCATTTTGAAATTGATGAATATTTCAAGAGTAAAATATATGTTTCCAAAATTCTTTTCTCACCAAAAAGAAGTGGTCTCAAGCTTTTAGTAATCAACTGTCGGATCCTGCCATCAGTGAATGTGACGTTCTGTACATGGCCAACCTGACAGATGTGATATTTTAAAGAAAAATAAAAACAAACAACCTTGAGAACTTAAAGCAGCCTAAAAATTATTTTTTGAAATTGCTTAATGACTTATCATATAATTGGTTATCTAACCTTTCATACCTTAGATTCACATCGCAACACTTAAATTAAGACTTACAATTGGCTTACAGAGAGATTGCATGGAAAGATTTATCAGGATTTTTAAAAGCACACTGAATTTAAGATACAGGAAAAAAGGGGGGATATAGTAAGGACAAATAACACGTTCAGTAGCAGGCTGTATTTAGGAAGGTTAAAGTCCTTGAAGGAGATATTCCATCTTACCTGTACACCATTAAGTCTTCTAAGTTTCGGATATGGCGCATTGCATGGCTGGTTCGGCGCGGAGCAGGTTTCAGTTTCTCGGCTGCCATCAAAGGCCAGAATAAAAACACCTTGCCAGATCGCACTGACAAATAAGGTAAATATCACCAGCCAGGGCTGACACATCGCTTTGAATCAAATAACAGTACCAATAAATAAATCTCATGATAACGGAGGAATAAAGAAAGACGGCTACTGCTTGAAACAAGTTTTTGCAGGATATTTGACAGATTTGACAGGCGTTCCAACTAATCTTGTACCCAGGTCTCCCACGGCCAAAGGAAAAGGTAAGACAGAGTGAGATCTGGGTACAGGATTAGAACCTCGTCCCCAGGGTCTTCTGGGAAGGAATAAGACAGCTGTGTATCGATCCGGAAGTCGTCAGCTGTAAATTAAAACATAGAAATAATCACATTATCCACTCCCCTCTGAACTTTTCAGGGATAATTTAAAACACTGGTTGAGGTCTTTAGCCTAGCCTCCCACGCTGACGTTCTTACGGGTTCGTCACGCAATCATTCCTGACGAACCCCTAAGAACGTTTGCGTGGGAGGCTATTTTTAGCCAGGTGCACATGGTTTGCAATGAGGGAATGGAGGAAAAATGAATTATAAAGGTCTCCTATGTAAAGATGAATTGAGATTAGACAACCACACAAGGGACTATTTTAAGAACTATATGTGGCCCAAGGTGTGTGATACGGGACCCAACCTCGTCCCCAGGGCTTTTCCCTCAAAAAATGGGTGGGGCCCCACCCATTTTTTGAGGGAAAAGCCCTGGGGACGAGGTTGGGTCCCGTATCAACAGTTTACAGTTTATCATCCTTATCTGAGACAGGAGGCGATTACCCGGCTCCTGTCCGAGACGGACTAGAAGGTCTAACCTTTTGCAGAAGCCATTAATCAAAGGGGTATAAGTCTGTTGTCTCCTGCACAGAAAGACAAGAGCATATCCAATATCTTACGAAACTACAACGGAAACGGGAACGGCTAAAACACATAGTGCCAAATATTTAAACGAAGTCTAACTTAAGCCGCGGTTTAACGAATCTTTGAAACTCCAGATCTCTTCTTTGGTGGGTTGTTTTAAGAAGATAAATGCTTTTCTAGTCTTCTCTATATGCTTTCATAAAACTTTTCACAGTAAATGATGTTTAGATAAAATCGTTTGGCAAATTGAAAAAATGACTAAGAACGCGGTTTTGTTAAACACTGGCTACATTACGTTTACATCTTTGAAGCAAAACAACAACTCTACGCGTGTAAATTTGTAAATTACTTAACCGTCCAACTACGACGTGAAATGTCTGAAATGTCTATGAATTTTACGTTTACTAGAGGTCCTTGAGAACAAGAACCGCAATTGAAGGTGAAAAATTTTACTACTATCTGACACCAATCTTATGAGGAATGCCAATAGGGCCTCCGAATGGTACGCTAGCAATCTGCTACAAGGAAACCTGAGCAAATATCAAACTATGACTTTAAAGCATAACAAGACAGAAAGTAACACTCCATTACACTTTCAAGGAAACACCATCGAATCTTCTGACTGTCTTAAGTTGCTAGGGGTCACCATAGATGAACAGTTGAATTTTAACACTCACATTAATGAAATATGTAAGAAGGCGAGTCAAAGAGTAGGTGTAATGTTAAGGCTTAAAAAACTTGTCCCTACCAATGCTAAATTAACTCTGTATAAATCAGCCATATTGCCTTACTTAACCTATTGCCACCTGACTTGGCATTTCTGTAGTGCTACCGACAAAAGAAAGCTTGAACGGGTCCAAGAAAGAGCACTACGCGCAGTTTTCCTAGATAAGCAATCAAGCTACCAAGCATTGCTGGACAAAAGTGACCTAACGACTCTTCAGAACAGAAGACTGCAAGATATTGCTATCCTTATGTATAAGGTGAAACACAAACTATGCCCCATCAAAATATCCGAGCTATTTCACGCGCATTGCTCACCCTACAACTTGAGGACGGCAGAGTTCGCCATTCCCAGATTTAGGACCAATAAATATGGTAAACACTCGCTCACCTACCTGGGACCAAAGTTGTGGAATAAGCTGCCAAGCGAAATCAGAACTCTCCCATCATTATTTAGTTTCAAAAATTGTATTCGTAAATTTGATCTAGGTGTAATGATAGACGACGACAATTGCTCTAATTGCATCCTTTGTAATTCTTAATCTTTATAAATCAATTATTTCATTAGTTGATAGTTAGTAGGTTTTTTAACTATATTATATTGTTAGGTAACTATAATTGCATCCTTTGTAATTCTTAATCTTTTTAAATCAATTATTTCATTAGTAGATAGTTAGTAGGATTTTAACTATATTATATTGTTAGGTAACTATATTATATTGTTAGGTGTCCCCAATTAGTAGAGGGGTTCTTAACCCCATCGGCTTGACATTCCAAGACACATTAATAAAGTTTACGTTATGTTATGTTATCTCTTTCTGAATTCAGACCCTTCCTTCAGCTCCAACCAAATCCCGCTTCTTCAAAGTAACTGGGCGACTTGGAATCATCCCAAAAAAGTTTGAAAGAACACAAAGTTTATTTCTTTGTGACATTTTCATTGGTGTCTTAGCTTCTGGTAAGGTCCCTAATAACCTCTGTCCCGAGCGAAGGTTATATTAGTCGACGACATCATCGATCATACCCAAGTACACCCGTACTCCGTCTAAAAACGGGAATGGGGCTGGACTTCCACTCGCCGCCCCCCTTCCCACACACACACCCTCTGAACACCTGAAACAGGCTAGTTTTTAGTTGATGGTTAAGGGGCAGATAAACAAGCCGCCATCGAGTAGTCTGTGTGCATTTACTTGCAAACCACTGACGGAAAGGATTGTTGTCTCAGGCGGATTCTGAATAATTCTTTACAACATTTGAATATCTTTTCAAAGAACATTCCATCTTGGAATATCAGAGACTCTGAAACCCTCCGATCATTATGGGAATAAAAATTCGGCGTTAGAACTTCTTTTATTAGTGAATGCCTGAACCCATTTATGAATTATAAGGTAAACTGAAATTGAAATACTTTCGCAAATCAGTAATTTAAAGAACTAGTGTATAATTAAACACTACGAAACAGTTTTATTTCGTCATTATTATTTCTGGTCTCGCGGAAAATGGTGAAAGGCCTTTCCGAGAGCTGCCCTAAAATGATGGCTACGCCAGATAAAAAGACAGGGATTTAAGCACGAGCTCAAAAACAAAACGGTAAATACCCAAGCCATTCTGTTCTCATCAGCGTGTCCCATAAATTCGAATGTTAAGTCAGGAAGGAAACATATTAACGACGAGCCCACTAAAATAGCTGACGTCTTCACCGCTTCGTTCTCATACTCCAAGCTAGCTGTTTGGAATTGTGACGTTGGTGAGCCCTCCAACGAGGCAATTTTTCTCTTACGTTTTTGAACCAAACGAAAAAGCCCGATATACCCTGCAACCCAAGTCAATATCATTGCCAAGTGAAGATAAGGCGAGACGAGTTTTCCCAACGTCGTGGCGAAGAAAACGCCCGCACATATAGACAGCAACCAAACCACAGTAATCGCAATGAGGACCTGTTTCTTTGACAGAAGACGATGGTGAGCAAATCGCAGTGAGAGAGCTCTCCACCTGTAAAGTGTTAAAACCACTAAGTTTGCAGTCGAAGCGTGCAGTGTTATTAGTGCGATCACTATTAACACTAGCTGAAACGTCGAAGCTTCGTCAGTACAGTATAGAATCGCGTGTATGTACATCGGTTGTGATATGGCACAGTTCAGAAGATCTGCCGTGGCAAGGCTCAAAATTAACAGATTCAATCCTTTCTGAAGGTTTTTGTTTTTCATGATGACAAACGCAACCAATGAATTCATTACAGTTCCAAAAATACTGAGTAGCAAGTTCAAAGAAGCGAGGGCAATGACTCGGCTTTTCTGCATCTTGTTTTAGAAAAGATAGACGCGACCAAATACGAACTGGGCAGGCTGCGAGATATATCTTTTGAATATCTTTGACGTTTTCAGGTATTAAAAGTTATAATTACTGCTTGGATTTCTAATTTCCTCACCAGATAAAACAAATCTTGCAATTCAATTTAATTCTACCTGAATTACGCAAATAAGAGAATTGCTTTCTTTATTTTCAATTTGGCAACGGGAAGCTGAAGCGTATTCCAATTTATTGCACTGTGGCCTAGATTTGAATTGAACTGTTAACCCCTCACCTAATTGTTGCGAACGACCAGTAATTTTATCGATGGTCAAAATCAACTCTGTTTCTGTTGTCGAGTTATCGTGATCGCAAGTAAAAAAAAAATGAAGTGTTCATTGTAGTACTCATATTATTTGAAAAGTAAAGAGAGCTTTGACATGAAAAGAACAAATATGCACACTTTGGTGACTAAAAATTAAAATTGGTTTGAGAAATTTTGCAGCTGCGTTTTGTGCTAAGTAGAACAAACACGGCATAATTAACGAGAAAAGGCAACTTCGTTTAACTTTGAAAAAGATAAAAGAAATCGAGTGGTAGGTGGGCATTAGCAAGACATCCAGGAAGAGGACTCACTGTCAACGAAATTATGTCATGATTTGACAAAAAGAAAAGTTTAATGGTCATCTTGAACAATTTAGCAGACACGATGCTTAATTGACATTCAAACAATGGGAAAATGACTTCTAGAAAATCATTGCTGAAGAAGAGCAAACAAACAAATTTTGGGGTAGCTAAGACTTCAAGACAACCCTCATTTTTGCGTCGGTCAAGAAGCAGTGAAAATGTCAACAAAAGTCTTGGAGGGCGGGTGAAAACGGAAAGTGTGTTAGTGCGCATCTTGCGAAAATCTCACACCAATGCTTCACGCCTTGAAAAGCCTGTTTTGAGAAAAAAATTGACAGTTCTGCAGTCTAGTTTTATGGATCCCGAACAGTTTCAAGCAATGAAAACTCCGGCTAGCCTGAATTTCATCCGATTACTTCGAGTCGTTATTACTCCCTCAATAAAACTTCGCGTGAACAAAATCCCGGCCGCCGAAACCACAACGGCGGCTCATGAAAAACCTACCGACTCTCCGCAATGATTCTACATTCGCAGTTCAATTTAGCATTTCAGCTTCCAAGACAAGGGCAATTTTGCTGTTTAAGATAACGATTAAGCTTACCGAAATGTTTGAACTACACGAGAGGGAATGCCAGAGATGCGATCCGCTGAATATCAAGCGACAATCCCGCTAAAATTTTTCATAATTATACATAATTATGCGAATGTTTAGACAATCAACCAATCAAAATCACTACCCGGTTTTCGGGTAGTGAGTGACGTCACTGGACGGCATTAACGGCCGGTCGATTCAGACGTTGTTGAGAGGAGAAAACGACTCGAACCAATCGGATGAATTTCAGGCTAAACTCCGGCAAGTCAAGGACGAGGAGGAGTACTTGCCCGTAAACAACGCCGGCGCTAAGAGTAAAAAAATGTCGTGAAACTAGAGTGGACACAAGTTTTACATTGAATGAAGTATCCTATTTCCTAGAGCAATCGGCTGAGCATTCGACTGATTAAAGCAGTCTGGAAGCCATAGGCAATCATCAGTCTCACGAACTATATCAGCAAACTATACCCCTTGTATTGAGATACTGCCTACAGAACCGACAATTAAATCACGTAGTGACTGTAGCCTTTCTTAGTTTCATCTGGTGCTTTGAAAGAGACCGTTTTCGTGAAAGGGTATGTACCACTGACCGTTTCCACAGGAATACCAAGTTTGTCTTAATGTACCCCAACATGAGTTACAAGTACCACGCTCAGTTGCGTGCAGTGGTGACCGTATATGTACTCGATCATAAACGCCGAGGCGTTTATCCAGTTTTTAGGGCTGATGCCGAGGGCAACATTTATTTTAAAACCACATGTCTAAAATCACTGACCGCAATTACAATAAATCATTTCTTAATGATATTATTCAAAACAGAAAGCGTCAAAAGTTAGTTAGTCTCTGAGATAGAATCGTAACTGTCTCACTGGATGGTACATATTTGAAAGTTGTTCCGAGTTTTTTTATGATCCTTCCATAAACGCTGCGTTCCTCTGATTGGGTGCGGCGTTTACTGGCAATTTAGTTCCCACTTGCCACGTTAAATCGACGATCGGACGGCGCTTAATGGAATATAAAAGGTATATGAATTTGTCGAGCTTTTTCGACAAGATACATAAAACTGACAGGGTTGCATGACTTTTAAAAACTATTGCTCTCCGATATACTTCAAGTGAGAGAGTTTGTTCATCTCCCGTGGTCCCCCCTGATAATCCCTGGTCGTAAACATCATTGGAAGAGTTTTTAGGAAGGCTTTTAATCGGAGGGGTTGTATCCGTGAGGCCTTATATATAACCGAAATAGAAAAAAATCCTACAAACAAGATATAGCTGTGGTTTACTGGGTTCTAGGAATTGTAAGGTAAGAGAGCAGCCGGCTGATTAAAACACGTTTTGCATTTATCGGTTTTTAAATAAGCTTCAAAACATCATAATGAATCAAATTAATTTCAACTCAGTTGTAGGGGGCTTATAATGGCTCGATTGTGCCTAGTGTGTCTAGCTAGATTCTGTACTCTGACAACGCTCTGTCAAGCGGCACATTCCCGTATTGGCCATATAAGGGATAAGGGATCGAGTACGCCCCTCAGCCGTGAACCATTGCATGCAAACCATCTAACCGCGGCAGTGTTAGCTCAGTCGGTAGAGCGTGTTGACTGCAGAGCGGGAAGTGGCGGGTTCGATTCCTGGGGCCAGACCAATACTCAGGGTCTTAAAATAACCGAGAAATGAAGGTACTCCCTTTGCACTGCAACAGGCTAGACCTTCGCGTGGCTCGGATGACCACGTAAAATTGCGCTCCCGTCTCCAGTTGGAGACGTATAATATAGTGTCCCCAATTAGTAATTTCGTGCTAAATACATTGACACTCAAATAAAAAGTGCATTTTTTTCTAGTACAATAGCAAGGTTTAAAAATACAGAATTTCGTACGTCAGATAACTAATCAACATTAATTTTAAAAAAAATGTTTAGGACCGTGAATAAGCTAAATGGTTTGAATGAGCGCAGATATAAATTACAAAAGTAATTTTGTAAGTTACGTGCTTGCAGATCGTGACGTCATCATCTTTGTTTACGAAGTACCATTCATATTTCGGAATTATATTAATGTTGGCGAAGTAAGTTGAATCACTCTCAAAACATTAATACAAAGTGTGATGGAATTATTACAAATTGCGACAGCTTAGTATATTACAAAGTGCGATGGACAGTTATTACAAATTGCGACAGCTTTTTTATTACAAAGTGCGACACGGTTTATTACAAATTGTGACAGGTATCACAAAGTGCCATGATTATTACAAATTGCGACAGTACAAAGGGTCTGACAAAATTTATTCCCTATAAAGAGGTTTCTATTTCATATATTTCGCTATTATTGGGGTAAAGAAAATCGTTCTTTATATCGAGGACCTCGTTCTATTAAAGTTCCACTGTAAATGTCTTTCATTTACTGTACGTTATCGACCACGACAAGCTGGGGTTATTAGAAGGTAGAACCTCAAACTTTACGTACCCGTTCTTGTCACATTAAGTTGGGAGACCCTGTGCGGCTCCCATATTCCGACAAAAAGTTGTGCTCCTTCCTTCCCAGTGTTGTATTTTTTGCTTCTGTGATGCCAACTCGCAAAAACCAACATTGAGGGGGGCAGAAAATATCATTGCTGACGCAACTAATGTGACGAGTATTGTAGAAAAACTTCTTCCATTGAAACAAGAATGCCTACTTTAATTATATACAAAGAGACCGAAGTCATTCAGTCATTAAACAACTTGTATGATTGAACATTGCAGTATAGTCAGGGGCACCCAACGGCAATTTTCGGAAAATATCTGTTCGGAAGACGATTTCAGATCTATAATTTTTGGAACATTTATTGTAAAATTTCTTGCTTGCCTGCCTCTCCTAGGATTTTCGAACATCTACAAAATGGTATAATTACCCATTTTTAAAGAATTTTTACCCTAAAAAAGGCCACCTAGAATTTTCGGTAGCCTTTTCCCGGCTGAAATTTTCGAAAAGGTAAGTTTTGATCCCTATAATTTTCGGATCACTAGACTTTCAGCTAGGAAATCTGAACAGATGAAAAGTTTTTAGGGGATAAAAATATGCCTATGTCTACCGTTTAAATACTAAAATACGTTCAACAATGCTATGTTAAGTGGTTTTGAACTATATCCTCGTTAGGTGCCCCTGTATAGTATTAACTGTTTCTTCATCATTTAATTCCTCCCACGCCAGACATGTCGAAAGTTCTGTGCAAGGACCTCTCTAAATTGATGGCTCCGCCAGATGAAAAGGCAGGGATTTAAGGACGAATTTAGAAACAAAACTGTAAACTCCCATGCCATTCTGATTTCATCAACGTGTCCCATAAAGTCGAATATTATGTCAGGAAAGAAACATAGCAGTGACAAGCCCACCAGAATAGCCGACGTTTTCACCGCTTCATTTTCGAATCTTATGCTTGCTTTTTGGAATTGTGCCGTCGGTGAACCCTCTAATGAGGCGATTTTGCTCCCCTGCTTTTTAACCAAACAGAAAAGCCTGATATACCCTCCGATCCAAGCGAGGGTCATCGCTAAGTGAACATAAGCCGCAACGAGCTTTCCCGGTTTGGTGGCAAAGAAAACGCCCATAAATATGGACAGTATCCAAACCCCTCCAATTGCAATTGAGGCATGTTTCTTTGAAACAAGAAGGAGATGTGTAAATGGCCGCGATAGAGCTTTCCACCTGTGAATTGTTATAGCCACCAGGTTTAAAGTTAAAGCGTGCAGTGTTATTAATGCAACCACAATTAACGCTTGCTGAAACATCGAAGCTTCGTCCGTACAGTAGAGTATCGCGTGCACATACATCGGTTGTGCTATGGCACAGGTCAGAAGACCCGCCGTGGCAAGGCTCAAAATCAAAAGATTCAATCCTTTTTGAAGATTCTTGTTCGTCAAGATGACCAACACAACCAATGAATTCATTACACTTCCAAAAATACTGAGCACAGTGTTTAAAACAGCGAGGGCAATGATTCGGCGGTTCTGCATCTTACTCAAGCCCCCCGCACGAACAAGGGCAAAAACTTTGATGAACAGGAGGAATGTCTGTGGCCGCAAAATACATACTACTAATCATAAGCTTTTACAGCCTGTTTCGATTAAAATTTTCCTTTCTGGATGAAAAAGATTATATTCAAATTAAGTTAAACTGATCATGAACAAGCGAACAGCACCTTCTGTCAGTCAGCTGGCAACGTTCAAAACGCATACAGAAGTTCCTCTCGTTAAAGAAAATATTTGAATTGAACTGTTCACCTCTCCTCAAGGTTTCTAAAGACGATTGATTGATTTTACAGCTCACAGTAATTTCCTTTCTGTTTTCGTGTTCATGTGGTCATGCATGAAATAATGAATTACCAGCACCTATTTATGACATAACATTCTACGTAAGAAGATTTTTGACATAAGCAAACAAATATACGTTACTCTAGTTAATGGAACTTTAAATTAGTTTGGAAATTTTGCAGCTGCCCTTTGTGATGAAAAGAAAAAAGCGGCACGGTTTAAAACAATTAACATACATTTCATTAATGCCCGGCATGCGCTTTACCAAACTGACAGAACTCCGCCTAACAAGAAAACTGACTGATAGGTGAGTACTATTTAATAGCAAGAAGGCGGACTCAACCTTGTCACGAAAATCGACAATTACGTAAATGTTTAGGGCCACCTTGAAAAATTTAGCAGCTAAGTTAATAAATTGATGCCAAAACAGTGGGCTGAAAACTCTTATATGGCAAATCGTTGTCAAAAAAGAGCAAATAAATAAGTTTTGCCCATGACGTTCATGCAAGAACAAACTTTAACAAAAAAAGAAGTTATTCCACCCTTTCTCTCTATTCCGAAAGATAATATAACGGAACTTGACAAATAGCCATGTAGACATCTATGTGGCAAATCACATCTTATTTTCAGAGAGGTTGCAACTGAAATTTCTAGACCATGTGTAGGTCCCTCATTTTCCAAAGGGATAGCTGAGAGACCGAAATACGCCAACGTACGTGAACTGAACAGTCATCCACGAGAAAGACCCTGTAAGACCCTGAAGAAGGAAGGCCGTACCTTCCGAAATATTGGTAAAAGAAATATATATTTCCGACTGTAAAATCAGCCTTGCTTCTTTTGTTCTGTATCCGGCCACAAGAAAGGTAGTCTGCTACACCTGTACACAGTCGTTTTTAGTGTCATCACGCAACAGTGTGTAGCAGACTACGAGAAAGGTAGCCTGTGTGGCAGCGCTAGGAAATAAATGGGCGCAAGAATATCGCGCCCGCCCGTTCTCTCTTGCACCCATTTATTTCCTAGCGCCTGCTACGCAGGCTACGAGAAAGATGACACGCGGAGGGAAGAGAGAAATTCAATGTCGTATAGCCAGAGTTCTTTCACTGTTCTTTGGCTTTTTGGCCCGCAGTCCCTAGGCACTATATTGAGCCTTCCTCGCAGGTAGTGGCGGTAGCGTGTGGAAAAATAGCGTGAGTAGCAGGTGACTGCCGTAATTTTAATTTTGGTGGCGGAGCCGCGTGAAGATTGGGAGCAAGTCACCACTAGCGAAAGTCCCTCGCGTGGCGGCTCGGCAGCTAAGGAAGTAAATCCTGTACCAACAATCCTACCAGCTAAGCATGGGTATTCACACAAAACAAGCCAGTTAACAATGGCTGCTAGCATGATAAGATAAAAGGACTAATGGGCCTCGTGATTTTTTAATTTTGAAAAGGTGATATTTTCCTATTTTGTACATTTACTCAGAATAATTTCTTTAAAATATAAGATATGATCTTGTATAAACTCGAAAAACAAGTGGAGCCGAACCAGTCGGCTATTTATGGCCGAGCATTGAGCCGATTACTACTAATCGGCTTCTGGCCGAGAAGCTGGGTGAACTCGGGACGATCGAGAAACTACGTCACTAAGGTACCCGGCGGACTGAACCCACGACATCTAAATAGGCCCTTTGCAGCTGGCCATTCACGTGGTACAAAACCGCCACGCTGGCGAGCAAAAGTCGCACTGGGACAAGACAAACAAAAGACATACATAAGTTTAAAATGGTAATTGTCTTTGTTTGTCATGTCCCAATGCGACTTTTGCTCTCCGGCACGGTGGATTTGTACCACGTGAATGACTAGCTGCAAAGGGCCTATTACAAGTCCGTAGCACTGACCGCTTGACCACGCTGTCTCCCTGTCATTAACCGTCCTTACTTTGTAGGTTGAAGAAATTCATCGCTTATCTTTACTAGTTTTAGTCAAATGAAGGGTAAATAAATGTATTTTTTAATTAATACAAAATGGTTCAGCTTTACTGGATTCGTCCAGTTCAATTGTTATGGTTCCTCATATGTTTTGGTCTAGCCAAGAGATCATAAGATCTCTTAGTCCAACAAATAAGTTTAGTTCTCTGATGTGTTACTTCCCAATCACCCACTAACTATTCAAAGTCATTTGAATATTCATATTCTGTTGGAATCCCATGATTATGCAATAGTTCGCACTTCGAATGCCGCCTTTCAGTTAATCGAGATTTCTCCCACCTTTGTTAAGGTTTAAAAGTTAATTTGCAATCAAGAAAGCGTCTTTTGCAAGTTACCGTAGGAGGGACAGAATTTGCTACCCACCGAGTCCTCCCTGCATCTTCGGGTGGCGCTGTGCCAAATTAAATACTGAATCCTTCATCGCTCCACGTCGTCTCTCACTTCCACCGGAGTGACGTACCCTTCCCTATTAACAAAGGATTGAAACAGAATATGGTACTAACCTACCCGTTGTCACGAATTGCATTAATAGAGACTGAGATTTAGACTCACGTTTACGGCAAACTGTGAACATCAAAATGTACCACGTGGCTAAGTTTTCCCTTTACTTGCCATCTAATCTTTATTTTATCTACAAACAAAATAAGCAGTTTCATGTTCTTTTTCATTACTTTAGAAAGTTTCACCCGTACATCTCCTAATTTGAGAAATTGTCAACTTGGATCTCACGTTTGCCGTAGACGTGATTCTAAATCTTTCTGATGACTCTTATCACCTAGCGTAATCTCTTTACTAGTAACCTCCTCATACAAAAAGCCCTCTTCTCATTTGAACAACCAAATTTTATTAAGCCATTGATTCCTCCCTTATTGGGCGCCTCCCTTATATAATTACTAAAATTGTATTTGCTACGTTAATCGATCAGTCACTAGAGAGGTTAAGTTTCACGTATACGGCAAATGTCAGATTCAAGTTGAGAATTTCTCAAAATAGAAATGAGCAGATAAAAGCAGCTCAAAACAATTCTTATGGATAAAAAATTGCGTGAAACTAGTAATTAAGGAGTAGAAATAATGAACTGGAAAAGACAAGTTAAGGGGGGAGGCTCGGTCACGTGGTACAAATTCGCGTTTGCCGTTTGACGTAAACGTGATACTTAACCTCTCTACTATATGGAGACAAAAGTCTTTGTGACAAAATCCTATCGAATGAATTCAGATCGAACACACTCAAAGGATCTACAGAAAGATTATTTGCTAAAAAATTGTGATGCTACTTTGGGGGGAGGGGGAGGGAAGCAGTGAAAGAAATTTTCACTGTAGAAAGAATAAATTGCTGAAGTTTTGAGCGAGTGCCTAACACTCTGACAATCAATCAATCAATCAAAAACTTTATTTCACTTCCAATTTCCAAAGACAGCATAAATTTATGCTAATATCTCCCAAGGAAAAGCAAAACAAATAGAAAATAAATGAATATGGCAATTAGAATAAAGTAATACTATTATTAAATATATTATCTACAAATTTAAGACAACGTAGACAAGGAAAATATTATATGCATTGTGACTACAGTAACTAGTGATAATTATTAACTAATTACATAAGGAGCAGCATTTATTATCAAAGTTAATGCTCTTAATTTTTGATTTCAAAAAATGTAATGACTCAGCAGTTCTAAGTACCTCTTGGAGCATATTCCAATATTTCCTGGCAGAGTAGCGAAAGGAGTGCAAACCATATTTGGTTGATTGAACTCTGTGAATACTAAGAGAGTGTTTACCACGCAAATTGTAAGAAGAATTTCTTTCTATCAGTGGCTCGTTAATATAACTAGGAGCCAGACCATGAAAAGACTTATATACAAGAGTTAACATATCATCTATTCTACCATTGTGCAGGCTAGGCTGATTGATGTTATCTAGGAGTTTGTCTCAGGAACTATGACAGTCATTTAAAATAAAATGCAAGCAGCTCTCATTGATCCACTCAAGTTTGTCACTGTTTCTCTTGCCGCAATAACGCCAGTAGTTGAGGCAAGAGATTAATGGCCCCTTAACCCCTGAACCTCAATGGTATTGAAACCAGTTATCATCAGCATATGGAACTAAAATAAGAATGAAAGGAAGTATGCATACTGTCATTCATGGTACTATTAAAAAACAAGGGCCCGAGTACTGATCCTTGGAGTGCACCCTTGACAACCCTTAGCCAATCTGAAAAGGTGTCCGCAACTTTAACCCTCTGAAACCTGTCGGAAAGATAGCTTTCCAAAAGTAGAACACTATCCTTAGATAGACCATAGGGCTTAAGCTTAGCTAGTAAAAGCCTACATGGGAGACAGTAAAAGGCCTTGGTAGGGCTAGAGCACAAAACAACAAGTAAGCCCACCCTTTCTATTAAGCCCCCATCTTCCATACACCCCATACCCTCCCTCAAAAATGGCTGACAAATATACCCCCTCAGGAAGTCTTAATAGTAGTTATTTAGAACGAGTATTGTAATCAGCATATGCCTGCTTTGATACAACTTTGCCACAAAACAATAGACAGAGTCAATTTCTATCATATAGAAAAACTTGATTTTTGACCTACTAAATTTGGGTTTATGCTCATGGAATTTACTTCATTTTAAGGTTCCCTCATTGGACCTTGTATTAAATATTAAAAAAATTTAATTAAAGTTTATTAAATTTTCTTCTATACTACAAATCAATCTGGGGGTACTCAGGAAAGTTTGAAACCGGGAGGCTTCGCCCCGAGATGAAAACTCTTACCCTTTTATATACCGTTTTTGACAGAAAATGTACCCCTCTTGTATTCCTTCTATTGAACAATGCTACCCCTTTCAGATACCTAGTTTAGAACTTTGCATTCCTGCTGTAAACGCACCTTTTTTAAAAATATAAACAAATCGCAAAAGCAGAATGTTTTCTCGTCTTTCTCATCACAAAATGAATCTGTTAGCCCTTCTGGGCCTTTTTACAGACTGAAATGACAGATTTCCATACCCTTTCATGTACTTCAAATAGTAAAATCCCTATTTTTTCATACCCCTTTCCGGCATTATAGGAAGTACCCTCTGGGCAAATAAATGAAGGCAGTGTGTATTTCAAGTGATGTAATTATCCATTAACATCGCTTTTCCTAAACTGATACACTGAAATATACATAATTTAAAATTGGGAATATTACACTGTTCATGGAGATTATTTTCAGTTTTACTAGTAGATATACTACCACAAAATTGACTGTGGGCTCACAGTACAATCCTTTAATTGCATCTGATATCAAGCAGAACTGCAAAGTACAGTGAGGAGAGGTTGAAGTTGCACAGCTTTTATGAAACTTTAAGACACTCAAACTCCGCTGGATCTTTCCCTTCTGGAACTGCACCTTGACTGAGCCTGAAAAAGAGATATTTTTAACAGGTATATTATTTAAACAAAATCCAATAGCAAATTAATATTAGTTCTCCCAGCTACAGTCTATCAAACAGCTGCTTCAATTTGCATGCATTGTCATCTGAGATATGCTTCAAATTAATCAAAGGACACATCTAAAAGAGTCAATAAAAGTAAAACCTGCATCTTCTATATCCAAACCCAATTCTAGTGCAAACTTTGATACCCTATTTCAGATGACAATGGGTGCAATCTATGACCAATTTTGGACCAAAAGGGCTCTAACATATCCTTTGGAGGCTACGTGGCTTTAAAAAGGAATGACACCCCTGGTTAATTTCATTTTTGGTGCTTCAGGCTGGGGGACTATTAGAAGTGGGGAGGGCCTCATTACAGGCTGGGAGCTACATAGAGAAAACACAGTTGGAAATCAGAGTACTCACTTGATAATTTTAAGAGTGTTATGAGAATGAGCAGCCTTCATTAATGATATGAATGTCTCGTCACTCAAAGTGGTAGCACATTCACCTTCAGCTGTTGGGTGAGCCTTTTCACCTTGAAACAAAATTTAAAATATTTTTCACATTATTATTTTAACTATTTTAACTGTGGTATGAAACTCTGTATATGGGACTCTCCAAGGGCCGTGAAAATCAGCTAACATTTTTTAGCAAGGTTGCCATGTAATCAAGGTTTGGGATCAAAAAAGTGGCTCATTGTTTTTACTAAATTATTTTGGGCAAAAGAGTACAGTCGTAATAGTGAAGTCGTTGAATATACAGGGTGGTCAGTGGGGACCACTGTCTATAACACAGATGTTCTGTCAGCAATTGTCTGAGATTTTAGGCAGGTACAGTTAAATATGAAGTTACTTAAATTAGTTTAACCTGCTTCTGCTTGAAGTTGTTCAGTATGGAGCACAGGGGTTCCAAGAGACAGTTCTTCCAGATTTGGCAGGAGTGTAATCGCAGGGACTAAAGCGCCAAACCCAGCTTCAGCAATCCTGTTTCCTTGGACATCCAATTGTCGCAAGTTTGGAAGATCCTTAAAGGCTGAGATGAGGATTTCTAAGCCATGCTCACTAATAAGGTTGCTTGTTAGCTGGAGTTTCTCCAACTGCGGCACAGTAGAAAGTGAGCTCACAAATGCAGTCAAACAAGCATCAGTAATCCTGCTTGATGTCAAATGCAGCTCTCTGATAGAGACCATTTCTGGAAGAAATCTTGCCAGTACTTGAAGAGCTTTGGCATCCACTCGACTGTCATTTAACTCTAACGAGGTCACTGAATGGCTGTTGGACAAGAAGTACACCAGAGCTCTCAGCTTGTACGGCGTGGCATTAAAGTGATCAAGCTCAACAATGCCCCACGGCATTTGGGGTTCCAGCTTGTATGCTAAGTGCCCTTGATTGGATTCGTACAGAGAAATTAAACAAACTTCAAAGAATGACTGCTTCAAGCTTTCATTCTCCACGACTTCCATACTTCCTTCTTGTAACAAGAGCTCAAAGAAAGGTTGGAATCCATCTCCCAGTAATCCAGGAGTGAACAAAAACAGGACTTGGTTCAGTTCTGATGATAGGCAGTTCATGATGTAAATACTTACATCTTCAAAAACTGACCTATCTTTCAAAGCCTGTTTGATTTTGTGGCTCAACCAAAGGGCGGCCAGAAACTCCTGATAAGATCTGTGTGAAAAACGGCATTTCTGGACTGGCTTGAGCCTTGATGATCCAGCTTCCTTTGAGAGGAATCCAATGTCCAGTGCACCCTTGTTGGTACAAATTTTCTCAAGCCTCTGCAGATCAAAAAGTAACTCATCATTCAGCAATCCGTTTAGTGAAACCTCACCCAATGATAGCAAACTTTGGAAGAGATCATCTGGAATGTCTTCCAATGAGCACAGATTTTCTGGATCAAAACTGCTCTGGTCATCCTGTCTTGAGTAGTATCTCTTTACAAGCAAGAGAGTTAGCTCAATGAAAAGAGACGTTACTGAAGAAAGCAATGCTGCTTGAGGCATCTCCTCCCACATTGCACAGATGAGCATCGCCGTGAGCGGAATTCTTGCAATGTGCTCTGCAACAGGATGCATCTCAAGTTGAGCGACTAAGCTCTCAGCCATGGGAGCATCATCTTGGAAGTACTTAAAGACAAACTCATGGATATTTTCACTGGTAAAGCCTGTGATCTCAATGCGGGAATCCATGAACCAGTGCACCCTTGATCCTTTCCCAGGTCTTGAGGTGACGATAACTGTTGCATTCCTGAAGATCTTGCCCATGATCAGATCTTCTACTTCTGGCAGCCGTGAAGGATTCACTTCATCATAACCGTCAAGGATAAAGAGAACGCTTTCTTGATTGGCAGTGATATACTGGAAAAGGTGATCTGCTGAATAGTAGAAGTCTCTTGGGAAAAGTAGCTCATAGATATCGTTCTTCAAATTCCCTTTCATTTGCTTAAGCTCCATAAACAGGACAAGCTTAAAATGCTGCAAATTTGGACTAGCACAAGCCCAGTCATACACCATAAGTGACACAAATGTAGTCTTTCCAACACCTGCCTGTCCCTCTATGAGGATGCGCCTCATCTTGGAGGAACCTGGCCGAGTATTGAAGATTTCAACATACGTCTCCAAGGGCTCTCGCTTTGTAACTCGCCCGGTCTGTCTCCGAGTGATCATCTGGAGGTTGGTGTAAATGTGCTTGATGTGGATAAGAAATGATTTGTTCCATGTAAGAGGCTGAAGCCAACCAATGATATCCTTGTACAGGTCAAATAATGTTTGCTGATATAGAGTCAGAGGAGAGCTACTGCCTTCTCTTGGCTGACCTGTAATAAACATCATTATTAGATCACGTTATGTCTGCCACTGGTTAGACCTACACTGTACATAATTATGTTACAGATCAAAATTAAATTCTGGTTCAAATTTTTAAACTTAGGTTGATTCCCAATTTCATCTCCTAGTCCTAATTCATGAACAAGTACGGCTAGGAGACAAAAAAATTCAGACTTGAATTTCATTTTGACCTGTAACGTATACACCCTTTCTCTCAAACCCAGAGACATTTTCCCAGCCAATCATAAGCAGGAATTCAATAGGTCCCTAAGAGTTAACAGGGGGTTCCCTATAATGATGTGGGGACAATTTCCCAAACCTTGTGACCCATGCACTCTATTAGTGACGAACAGCGTGTGCGTGTGGTATACATTAAGGAAATCCAAAACATTTGATAAAGGTGAAATCGCTTAGAGTGAAGAGCACTTTTCGACTTGTGGATTATGCATAGTGTAAGGAACAAGTTATTGTGGGCACTGCGATACGAAAATGTGTCACTCAGGTGTGGACATTTTTCGTAATTAGTCGGTATCAAAACGACAACTGTCATGGATTGATTGTTCCTGTACATGTTTTGCGATCAAGACTTGCTGAGCGTACAATTGTGCCCAAAGCTTTTGATGTTATGATTTTGTACCTTTCACAGGACAATAAGTTCTCTTCATGTGGACTTTTTACGCTTCAAATTAGGACTACGGATAACTTTGAGACAGAAGTTGACGAACTTTTGAAGCTTTATGACCAGTCAAGGTGATAAACATGACTAAAAGATCAGCACTCGCTCTTCTACTCCCAAGCTGGTCCAAGCTCACTATTCTGCTGTGAGTCTCAAGATTTTCTTTTTGTGCTTTTCTTACGACAAGACTCCCAATCTCATGGTTTTAAGGGAAATATCATTCTGAGAATGAAATGTTTAAAACTTTATTCAATAAAAACGGCAGTGTTTACTGTTGTTGAATTGTAATGAGGAGAATCAAATATTGATTCTAGGCACCCTTTGATTAATACGTGATATGCATTATTTCTCCTTCTCAGACCCCCGAAGACAGCTTCGCCTCAAGTTTGACTCTTAATACACCAAAAACAGCAGCCGATCAGGCAACTCAAAACAAATCCCTTGGAAAATGAATTAATTTACGACTAAAGCCTCTTATTGCAACTCTTACCTAAAAGATCAGCTCTCAATTCCAGACGATTGATTCCAGCGAATATGGCGGCCAAAAATTCCTTGTTATCCGGACTCAACAAATTCCTGTTTTCAAGTTCGTCGAACAACTCAAGGGGTCTTTGAATTCTTTCAAGTACCCCGACAGGAATATGCTGCTTGCATATAAACTTTAATTCAACAAGTTCTCGTTCGGTGATCTCGTTTGACAGTTCCAAAAGTTTCAGGCGATATGGATCCATGTTCATGGGCTGAGTCCTTCAAGTTCTTTGAGAACTAGTCATCGTCATTCGAATTCTTTCCTCCATTAATTCCATTGCTGTAAAACGTACCTTACCTTCCAATTCCCCGAACTTAAGTTTGGATTCGGACAGATGAGGACAACAGAATTTGGAAATGTTCTCACATTTTCAAGAGTACACAGTGGAACAAATAATGAGCGTGACTGGGGATTAACTGGCCACTCAGCATCTACCTTCCGGGTCCCCCTCAGTATACGTTTTGCAATTCAAAGATGGCGGCTCGTCGACTAATCTTAGGAACAAGTTCGAATTCATTTGGGCATCAAGGTTCGCTGTTAAGAAAATTGAAAAACACTAGAAACTTCAGCTTAAATACTAATTACCGTTCAAATGGGAGCAGTTTTCCCGTTCGAAGTGATTGTATGTTACCCAAAGACTGCTTCAAGAGCAAGACGGCCTTTATTACCGGGGGTGGTACAGGCTTGGGAAAAGGAATGGTAAAAATGCTGTCTGAACGTGGTGCAACTGTGGTGATATCCAGCAGGTATCTTTATTGTATTAATTTTGTTGCAAATTACTATAGTAGAAGTTTGATGCAGAGGCAGTTTTAGGATCTTTAACATCCCCTTGTAAGTCAGTGGGGGAGGATAGGGCGTGGGAACCCGGGAGAATAGAGGGCAGGAGGCCGGGCCACGGGTGGGTGGTAACAGCTTCAAACGGGTGCGGAGTGGGAAAAGGGCTAAAGGGAGGAAGCTGAGGAAATAGGTGCAGGAGCTGGGAATGTAAGATATGGGAGATGGAAGGTTTGGACCACCCTGTCCTCCCCCCACCTTTAACCCTCCTCTCCCCCACACTTTAAGGGTGCAACAAAATATTAAGATATTATCTGGAATTTAAGGTTGTCACATTATTTTGTGCCCAGACTACCTCTATCCCTGCACCATTTTTGATCAGAGACATGTCTCTGATAACCAGATTAATTGAATAAAATTTATGTCCTACACAGAGCACTTAATAAGTCCCTAGTCTATTTTTTGTACTGCAAGCTAATGTTATGGCCCGTTAGCTTTCAGTACAAAAGATAGTTTACTGGATACCAGGCCAACTCTCACACATTATGTTTGATTGTCTCACCTTCAAGGACGTCAATCTCACACATCAAGGGCAATTTTAATCTCGTACCCAGATCTCTACCCTGCGAGCAGAGGCTACATTTTCGCTGTGTGAGCTGGCATGTGAAAAGTAGCCCCTGCCGACAACCATTCAATTTTCTATCGTGCATGTGCAAAATTCATCATGCGATTCGCAAGCAAATCTGTCATTAAATGGCGCGAGTTTCTTGGGAATGAAAATAATTGCAACAACTCTGATCTGCTATGCAAGACTCACGCAATGCTCTAAACTGGTCAAAACAGGAAAAAGCCCATTTTTTAATTTATTTGTCCAGATTTCTGGACGGATTTGAATGGTTATTGGCAGAGGCTACTTTTTGCACACCAGCTCATTCAGCGAAAATGTAGCCTCTGCTTGTAAGGTACCAGATCTCTCGCTCATGAAGCCGAAGGTGAGATCTGGTCAAATAAGAAAATTCAGTTTTTTTGATTTGCTAGATTGTGAACAAATGATGTGAGTGTTGTCTCCTGCACGCGCTATGGCGTGTGCAATTGGTTCTTTACGAAGTCTTCAGTTCTGTTCAAATAAATAGTTATTCAGTTTTCCCTGAAAATACTTTAAAAGGCACTTAATTTTGACTTTGTGTCCTTACTGTATCACATGCAACACACTAAATTGTTGCCTTTTAAATAGCTTTGGAAGTGCTCAAAGGTTATCTGAACATCTTGGGACATTTTTGGCAATTTTTGACATCTTCAGATAATCATCGGAAATCTTTGGAAGTCGTGGGGACATTTTTGGAAATTCTGGACATTAAAAGGCAAAAATCTCATGCATTCGACGTAAGAAAAATTTGGTAAATATAGACTATGGACTGTTCGCAGTGTCAATTTTCAAAAGTGATGGAAGAAAAACTTGAAAATTACATTAGAGGAAAAGGACCAAAAATGGGACTATTAAATAGATTAAAATAATTAATACAATATTTATTATTTTAGGAAACTTGAAGTCCTTGAAAAGACAGCTGAGGAAATTTCCAAAGAGACAGGAAATAAAGTAAGCTTATAACATTAATTTTTGCCATCACAATTCTGCAATTTGATCCTTTAAACAAAAAGAGTGAGTAAAAAAGGCTTGCCTGTGATATCCTTGAACTATTTAATAAAAAATAATTATTAAAGTGATGGAGGAAGAAAAGAAATGCTATTAATGGAGTGACTGGCTGCTTATTTTGGGTTTCAAACCCGTCAACAATAGATGCGTGTGGGGAAGGTTCCTAGTGAAACAGAAAGGAGCAGCAAGTGAACAGAAGGTAACCATGACAACCTTGTGAGTGGCACCCACCAGGCATCTTCACACTGAGAACCTCAGTAGAGAAATGTGCAGATACTTACCAAAAAAACATGCGCAGGGAAGGGAGGGCTGGGAGCAAAAACAGCTAGAATTACTTCTTGCGAAAGCAATATAAAGAAAATGATTGACTTCAGCAAAAGCCCAAGATGATGCCATATTATATACAACTATTGAGGGAGGCCGCTAGCCAGCATTGTCTGGTGTTTAACCTCGCCTAAATTAGATTTAGCCACATTTTAGGGTGCCTTATATAGAGTCCATAGAGGATACACGTCAATCATCCATTTGAGGAAAAATACAGTTAAAACCTCTCCACAACATGTCTGTTTGTTACAGATAGGTAAGTGGCCACTGTTGTCTGTAGAGAAGTAGCTGTACTAGGGGAGAGAATTTGTTGGGACAAAAAAACAGGCACTGACACCATAAAGAAGTCTAAGTGAAGTCCTAAGGATGCATGATTTAATGCATAATGGAGCCTTTCTGCTGCATAATATGACCTCCTAGAAATTCCACATATATTTTTCCAATATTTTTTGCACCTTATCAAAAGGCTTTTAGGAAAGAGTGGCCATTGTAAAGAGTCATTCATTAGTGGAGATTTGAATGGGTATGTGCACAGTCCCTTGTGTATAACTGACCAAATTATTGCAGAAAACTGTAATATTAAACTGTAGATCTGGTTATAAGATTGGTACTCCCACACCATTAAGTAACCTAGCTTCAGTTTTCAGGTTTTACCAGTTGCTGCAGATGTACGGGATCCATCTCAAGTGGCTGCCGCCATCGACTTTTGTGAGGAACAGTGTGGTCTCCCTGACATTATCATCAATAACGCCGCAGGGAATTTTGTATCCCCATTTGAAAGATTATCGGCAAATGCATGGAAAACTGTGATTGATATTGTACTCAATGGCACTGCTTATGTAACGTTGGACGTTGGCAAGAGGCTTATTAAAGCACAAAAAGGTTTGATGATTTTGGATACCATCTGGATTTATGAAAATAAATATTACAAATAGAACATTTAAATATAAGGGAAGAAAAAGACTACAGTGCATCTCATATAAGGTTACAACTTTTGTTACTACAGGTAACACCCTCTAGGCTTTGCACCCTCAGCTTGGAGGCAGGAAATGTTGCTCGGGGGGTAGTCTCCCACGCAGACGTTTTTTTTGGCTTATCACGCAATCCTCTTAACCCCTAAGAATGTCTGTAGGTAGGCTACTTGGGGAGGGGGGTGTACTCTCTCATACAAAAGATAGGTATGCATAATTTGTTCAGAAGCAGTCAACTATGTTGATGGCCTGATTCCTTCGCCTGTAGTACAAGCGTTTTGAGGGCACATATAAGCACTAGAATTTACACAGGTTGTGGGTAGGCAACTCCTCACCATCCCCAATATGATATTTCTTTTCTTATCCTCACTCCATTGTCTGCAAAATTCCACATGCTCTCTTCAGTCTTTCTCTGCTGTCAAAATCAAATGTGGCAGCCAGTTGCCTGTATAGCATGAGACGCTTATTTCAAAACGAGCTGTCTGCCTTAAAGTAAGTGACACTAGCCACTTTAAGAAAGTTTTTACTTGACCAGGAGGGCTTCTGACCTGCCTATAATTTCCAGTGTATTGACTGCATGAATGCTTTGTCTCTAACCCAATTTTAGCTGCAAACTTTCTGGCTATAACCACCATTTATGCCAAGTCAGGTTCTGGGTATGTTGTACCATCAGCAGCTGCTAAGGCTGGAGTAGAAACAATGACCAGGTAGTAATCTCACTGTTGTATTGTTCTCTTTTGCCATCGTGCATCCAAGCAAAATAGTTTTTCACCAGATTAACAGTTTTACACTCATTTATAGGATAAGAGAATGCAATAAAAAAAGATGCCCAAAAACTGAAAGATGCCACACAGCTCATGCCAAACTCAACTAAGAGTGCATTCCATTGGGATGATCAAATCAGGATCAGTCATCTAAGATCGCTTAGATCATGGTAAATCAAATGAAGCGATTGGTCCTTTCCCAGGCAGGATCAGTGGATTCCTTTGACGTTTCATGGTCCTAGTGATCTTGGATCTTTGATATATTTTTTATATATATCCTGATTCAGATCATCCCAATGAAACATAACCTAGCTGCGATCAGGTGCTCTTTTTTTTTTTGTTGAACATGACATTTCAAATTTATGTTCGTTTTAAGATCACTTGCAGCAGAGTGGGGAAAATATGGAATGAGGTTTAATGCCATTGCACCAGGTCCTATTGAGACAAAGGTAATGACTGTTAATTTAGTTTAACTTGATAACAAACACAAATGTATCAATATTATAATAATACATATGGCCGCATTTGCACTGCAAGGTTATAGCTAGAATGAGACACACCAAGGCAATTTTTTTCTTTTTGTGCCTTAAGAAAATCACTTAGCTATTTTAAGAGTCTATGCATTAAAAAATAAATTAATCTTAACAATGATTTTGCCTTTTTTTGGTACGAATTTGCAGAGTCGCTAGAGTAGCTGTTAAGTTCTTAAAGTTACTTCCAGTGAGCAAAGTCTTGACATTGATGTTAAATAGGTAGCCATTACTTTCACCTGTCAGTGTTATTTATTTGAAATTCTTTGGCACATGTCTCTGACAATGGACTATGTCTCTCTCTGTTATCAATCATCACAGACTCGACAGTTATGAAAGACAAAGCATTCTCAATATTATGGAGACAGAGAAAGTTCAAGCTGGCCACACCCCTTTTGTCTATCCCTCAGCACGGTCACCAGCAGATTATTTCATTTTACAGTCAAACTTTGCTTAACAGACACCTCCTTACAGACACCTTGTAATTATGGACAGTTTGCGTTGTCCCTGAGAAAAGCCCTTCCTTACATTTTCTCTCAATTCAACCCACTTAATTTCAGACACCTCCTTAACAGGGACACTTTCAATGCCCCCCTCAGTGTACTTGGATTTATAAATACTTGACTGTACTTTCTTGACACTTGGTGTTTTCAGGGTGCTTTTAGTCGTTTGGATCCCACCGGACAATTCCGAAAACTAGTGACTGAACGCATCCCTGCAGGTAGACTCGCTGAAATCCCAGAGTTAGCCAACCTTGCAGCATACCTTGTTAGTGATTATTCCAGCTGGATGACAGGAGAGGTAACTTTTTTTGCAATATCAATACATAATAGTGATCACGAGCAAGCCCACGGGAGGGTTACTTCCTTCAATAGCCTATACGGGAAGGCTCTGCCCGAAAGGAGTACCTTTTTCAGGCTTCAGGTATATGAAAGGGTAGGGGTTTCACTAGTTGAAGTATATAAAAGGGTGGGGAAATCTGTCATTTTGGTCTATAAAAAGGCTCAAAATGGCTAAGAGAATGAGATGCATTTTAAGACTGAAATAAAGTTAGCAGTAAGGGAAGTGAAGTTCTAGGGATATGAAAGGGGTACCATTTGGCAGTAGAAGTACACGAGAGGGGTTTCTTTTCTGCTAACAATGGTATAAAAAAGGATAAGTGGTTGGACCTCAGGGCGGAGCCTCCGTGTACAAAACTCTTTAAAGACTCATAGACGGGGGAAAGTTGACAAGATGTGTGTTTTCACTGCAGGTTGTTGTATTTGATGGTGGAGAGTATGTTTCTATGGCTGGTGAATTTAATGAATTTAGAAAGGTACAGGCATTTTTATGTTTAAATGTTTCCCCCTTCTTTTCATCTGCACTTGATCAATAATTGATTGCTCAAATCCCTCATCTATTCGTTCTTTCAGGTTCCAAATGAAATGTGGGACCAAATGGAAGCCATGATAAGAAAAACAAAGGGCTCTTGATCATAGATTCATTAGACAATCAATGATCATTCTCTTGTTATATTTTTCTTGTGGTATGCTCTCATACGGTAATACCTTGTCATTGACTGCCTTGTTCACGACAGTTAAATTATTTATTAGGGCAGCAAGTTTATTAGTTCCTCTGGTCTGCTAACTTCAACGTTAAATTCCCATGTCCCAAACCAATTTGGCACAAAAAGGTGTCAAATGTATAATTTCCTACAAGTGAAAAAAGGCGACATTACCTGGATCCTAAGCTGATTCTTAGTGCAACAATGCACCGTTTTTTTTTTAATTTAAAATAAAACATGTATCAAAGTTGTTACTGCTTTCATTGTTGCCACATCAGGGTGGTACTGGTTGTTCAAGAGGCCGATACTATCCACCAGATAAATCAGTATCCATTGAATAAATGTTACTGAAACCATTATAATTGTATTACCCTGCACTGGATAGCATTTCACACAATTTAGCATTCAGGCTTATTATCATTAAAATTCTTAAAATTGTTGTGAGTTTCACATCATTTTATTTACTGGTATTCTTTTAGCTCATTTCTAGCTTGCATAACAGGCATCACTTGGAGCATGCTGTATGCATCTTGTGAATTGCTACTTGATTCCTAATCTTTGTAACTTCGTTTTTAATGCCTCTTAATAAAGTATGTTTATGTATGTATGTTTGTATGCACATTTACAGTTTTCGGTAGTTTAATGGAGTTGCTACATCAAAAGGTAGCATTGTGAACTAGACCTTCGTAGAATCTTCATAAGGGTAATTGTGTGGAAGACCAAAAAACCTTCATATCTAATAAGCCTGCCTAAGATTAAAGAGACAGTAAAAAACAACAACAACATTCACCCCAAAATTAAGAGTCAGCAGTGATTTTATTTACACAATTACCTAACACACAACAGAACTTACAGAAGAAGCCCAAAAATTTAATAAAAATTACTGCAATGTCAATAATTGGATTACAGCATGTTAACAAAGGAATCACTTTTTAATGTGCTTTTATGGTTCAGAAGCAATTCCAGAGATTGGATTTGACTTCAGTCGCTTTGCTTTCTTGATAGAATCTGCTTGCCACTCAGGTGTGAGTGTGCGAGGCTTTTCTGGACCAACTGATAAAGAAAAGAAAAAAGTATTAATTTGTTTCAACAGTGTTCTGATAAAACTTGACAATAAAATGTTAGAACAATAAGCAACAGCGAAGATCTCACTATTTCTTGGAAGTACAGACAACTCTTTCTTAGATGGACACCTTTGGGACCAGCAACAAGTGTCTGTCTTAGAGAGATGTCTGCCTCAGAGAGATGTTCAAGGCAAAGATAAGATCTTTAATGTCTGCTGTGTAGATCTGAATACCAATATTTGCACCACTATTATTATCAGAGAGCTTAGACAAAGGCGCTTGTTGAGCAACTGTCTGCAGATTGCAACCAGAAGAGGACTTTTGCATTTTTGGGCAAATCATCTAAATGAGAGTAAAGCCACTTAGCAATACAAATGTGGTCATGTCAAGGAATTTTAAAGGGAAAAAGCCACAATTCCAGTTGATGTTTGTCAATCAAAAATATCCATTATGATAGGTTTAACTCCAGCCTCTCTTTTTCAACATTCTCATGCGAGTTGGACTGCCTTGAGGAAATAACACATCTTTACCATAGCCATGTGGCAATCGCATGGAATTTATTGCAAGTGCACTTTCTTGTTCAGGGTAATCCAAGGATGCCTGTTGCCATTGCAACTTAAAGTAAAATATATATGTATGGACTGGTGTCCAGGAGAAAATTTTATGGTCGTGGTATATTATGGTGGTTGTGTTGAGGAGGTGACCATAATGAGGAGGTTTAATGGGGTTAACCTTTGACTGAGATCAATTTGCCACTGAATAAATAAGAAGGAAACCGAGCTGAGTTAACTTTTGCAAAGACTTCTTGGACTGTTACCAAGGACGTGGAAAAAAATTGGCCAAGAGCTGACCAAAGCATCCCCAGTAACAATCTCAGAAGTTAGGAGTGTGACGATTCATATTCCTTGCAACTCGATTTGATTTTGATTATTGCCTTTCAATTTCGATTATTTCGATTTGACTATGTAAATGTCTCTTAACTCTTATAACATAATGTGCAATGTAAACAACATGCAACCATAAACCCTCAATTTGAGAATAGTAAAGGGACAGGAGGATTCACAGTCACTTGGTCATTCGTCTCCACATTTGAGAACNCTGATAAAACTTGACAATAAAATGTTAGAACCATAAGCAACAGCGAAGATCTCACTATTTCTTGGAAGTACAGACAACTCTTTCTTAGATGGACACCTTTGGGACCAGCAACAAGTGTCTGTCTTAGAGAGATGTCTGCCTCAGAGAGATGTTCAAGGCAAAGATAAGATCTTTAATGTCTGCTGTGTAGATCTGAATACCAATATTTGCACCACTATTATTATCAGAGAGCTTAGACAAAGGCGCTTGTTGAGCAACTGTCTGCAGATTGCAACCAGAAGAGGACTTTTGCATTTTTGGGCAAATCATCTAAATGAGAGTAAAGCCACTTAGCAATACAAATGTGGTCATGTCAAGGAATTTTAAAGGGAAAAAGCCACAATTCCAGTTGATGTTTGTCAATCAAAAATATCCATTATGATAGGTTTAACTCCAGCCTCTCTTTTTCAACATTCTCATGCGAGTTGGACTGCCTTGAGGAAATAACACATCTTTACCATAGCCATGTGGCAATCGCATGGAATTTATTGCAAGTGCACTTTCTTGTTCAGGGTAATCCAAGGATGCCTGTTGCCATTGCAACTTAAAGTAAAATATATATGTATGGACTGGTGTCCAGGAGAAAATTTTATGGTCGTCGTATATTATGGTGGTTGTGTTGAGGAGGTGACCATAATGAGGAGGTTTAATGGGGTTAACCTTTGACTGAGATCAATTTGCCACTGAATAAATAAGAAGGAAACTGAGCTGAGTTAACTTTTGCAAAGACTTCTTCGACTGTTACTAAGGACTTGGAAAAAAATTGGCCAAGAGCTGACCAAAGCATCCCCAGTAACAATCTCAGAAGTAAGGAGTGTGACGATTCATATTCCTTGCAACTCGATTTGATTTTGATTATTGCCTTTCAATTTCCATTATTTCGATTTGACTATGTAAATGTCTCTTAACTCTTATAACATAATGTGCAATGTAAACAACATGCAACCATAAACCCTCAATTTGAGAATAGTAAAGGGACAGGAGGATTCACAGTCACTTGGTCATTCGTCTCCACATTTGAGAACCTGACAAAGAGCTTTTCCCACATGGTTTGCCTTATTTGGAAATTCTCAGGGGGTGGTTGAAGGACAATATTTTTACCAGGAAACACAAAAAGGGTGCACGAACTGCAATCGTCTTTGCTCGTCAATCAAAATTGTTTTCAAAGAGTTATGGATTCTGATTTTACAATATAATAACTCATGGACTCACACCAAGGGCACCCTGGAAAAGGTATGCAAAAATCTAACCAAACTCAAAACATGGAAGCAGAGAATTGTGAATCAAACCAAATGGTCATAACTGGGATTAATTGACAGAATTCGATTAATCGTTTACATATCTACCAGAAGTCCTTGCGAAAGCTAACTTGCCCCACTTCTTCTTGTTTTTAAAGTGGCAAGTGCAGACTGCACCTTTCCACAAAATAGATGCAGTGCTGATCGCCCTCCCAGAAAAAAAATATGGATTCAAATTAATGCATCATTTCACTTAACATGCACCTGACCGAGAGGTGCTTGCTCATTTGTTCCTATTTTTCTTACATGAGAAAACAGATATCAGCTTAACAATATAGTTGTACCTCCTGGCTAACAAGGTAACTTACTATACTTCCTGAGGAATGCAAAGAAGACCACAGATACTGCAAGCCCTGCTGATACTAAGCCAACCACTTTCTTTGCATATGGTTCTTGTATTTTAGACTCTGGAATAGTCTTTGCAAACTGGGATCTGTATACTAAATGGTGGAAAAATTGAAGAATAATCAAGGTTGATTCCTGTAACTTCATTTCAGTAAAAAATTTTCACCAAGTATATAAATATATTTTATTTAATTTTCATCAAGTACGTAAATCTATCCTAAATATAATCTATCGCAGGAATCAATAACGTATAAAAACTTACGATCGACTTTTTCCTGCTTTGAAAGCTCACTCCAAGGTCCTTTCTCCTTCGCTTGAAGAGCTTCTAATTCAGACACGTACTCTGGTCTAGTTGTTGGGACCGGCTTATATTGACGAGCAGCCGAAGTTTGAATTTTTCTGCAAGAAAGTCTAGAATAAACCCGTGGTAAAGCACTCATTCGCAGCAAACCCGCCATTGTACAAGTCGCCGATGAGCCAAAATCCAGCAAGATGGCGGACAAGAACCGATATCGCGCCTTGAATTATGGGTAATATCAATTTTTGGGTCATGTAAGAACTCACGTGGGATCCTGCGCATTACAAATAAGGGCAACGGTCAGTTTGCCTGTTTAGAGATGTTCCCTTCCATCAAGAAAGGGGGCCCTTTCCCGATTTTTTGCTGAGGGGAGGGGGCGTCTGAACACAGCCTAGGGTCAGGTCAGGTGAGGGTTTGTCATCTAACGGGTATGGAGCGTAAACTGTAATCCCCACAAAAAGATATTAGATAATAACAGATGAAAAAGTAGCTAGCCCAAAGACCTGTAAGTTGATTCCCTGGGCTGATTTGATCACTCTACCGCTTGTATTAAATAATGCGTTTTTGGGGTGAGCTAAAAAGCTTAAGAGCTCAAAGTGTTGGTGAGGTCAGTGCGTACTAGTCGCGTGTGCATTTTTCAGGATGTGTGGAAATGAAAGTCAGCCAGGCCTACAACTAGTCGAAAATCTGGCTACGCCCCTGACAACCATTTAGAAACCTTAGAATTTCCATACAAAAACCACTTTTCTGTTTTACCTGTGCGCTGTCATGCCTGAAAATCTATTGAATCTTCTTTCCAAAGTGGATCTCATGTCCACTTGTCTTGACGTACACTTCAAGCGCACTTCGGTCTCTGGTGTGAACCGGCCTAATGTAGGAGGCTAGGTCCATCATTCCAAAACAGAGCTCTATAGGGCAGAGGTCGGGAGACCAAAGACGTGGCCCATAATCTTCTTAGCTCTTCAAATTCCATGGCTTTCCATGATTTTTTCAAGTTTTCCATGACCTCGAGTTTAGCTGTCACTTTCAAAATTTTCCTTATTCTAAGTTTTTTTTTTTACCTTGAACAGTTCAACAGACACAAACTCTGGTGTCCACCAAAATCGGTGCCGCTCGCGCTGTTTAATTAATCCTCTCAATCTTACATTGTTCTTGCTTTGTCATCTGCAGTAACAAATCTACCAAACAAAATTTTTAATTTTCCATGACTTTCAACGATCAACAATTAAATTCCATGACTTTCAAGGCCTCGCCTCCGTCGTAGACACTCTAAACCGCTGTACCAATATTCTAGACTATGCGCGGGTCGGCTTCAACCAGTGGCGGATCCAAGGGAGGGGCCAGGGGAGGCCGGCCCTCCCCTTATTTTTGGACCAAACTGAGGCCCGAAGAGCCAAAAAAATTATTTTTAAGAAAAAATTTTCATTTAAGACCGGGTCCCCCCTTATCTCAGGGTCTGGATAAACGCCCCCCCCCCACCACACTTCCCCTTATCTGAAGATTTGGATCCACCACTGTCAACACAGGCTATCGAGGCCTGGAAAGTGAAATGCATGACTTTCCAGGTATTCCATGACCTGTACATTGAGTTGATGCGAAAGCGTTGTCAATTAATAAATGTAGATGTAGATGTACGAACCCTTAAAAGAACGTTTCCGACCAGGGCTCCTGTTCCGACCCATTAACCGTCCCGTGATAGCTTGGAAGCAGACTAAGGCATAATCAAAAGAAAATCCCACTGGCATTGAAAAACTACCACTTTAATCACTGCTGTTTTTTCTTTATCTACTAAACCTCGTTATAAAACTTGTTTTTACAAGCGGCATAAAATTAATTTAAACAACAGGTAACAAATGATATCAAAGTAATAAATAATATACAAAAAACAAATAACTGTTACTTTTTCGCGAAAGCTCATGAAACAAACATTAAATCACTCTTCAATACTTCCAAGGGATATTTAACAACACGATTCGATAACAATGTGGTCTTTGTGTCTTGTTTCCATAAGTAAATACTAGTTTTTATGTACATTATATAAAGTTGTGAATTATCTTTTATAAATTTTAAATTTCTCTGTAAACAGCAAGGCCAAGTTGTTATATTGGCAGCCAGTCATGTGTTGGTATGTCAAGATGAAGCTCCATATCCGGTGTACACCTAAAGAAAGAAAAATCAAAGTTAAAACCATGGGAAACTCGTGAATACCTTGTTTTGAAAATAGAGAATTGACGCAATGAAATAAATAGTTATTTTAACTTCCCCCCCCCCCAAAAAAAAAAAAAAAAATCCAGCTACCGTGTATGGTTTAGCTTGCGTAATCAGTAGCTTCCATATTTTTGTTACTCCGTTTTATTGTTATACTAAGATTGCGGGTTTGTTTTATGGTGTTTTTCGTTGGTAGTACGTTAAGTAAGATATACAGCCGTGCAAAAGCTGAACCGAGGTTTTCTGCCTTTTTTCTCTCGCCCCTTCCCTATCTTTGATCTCACGTTAGCTTTCACGCGGCTGTTCATCTCTACCTTTTAAGAGCACTTCGACAACACTTCGGCAACAACAAAGATATATCGTTTTCATTGCGGGCAGCGGGTTTTCACGAGTCAAAACGTGCGAGCGAGTCACGATGGGTTCAGAAAGTCGTGCGCAAGCCGATAGATCAATCATAATGAACCAAGTGACGCGCGAATTACTGTCAACACAACTTAAAGCTGTTCATCATGTTGTAGTCCGTTATGTCTTGTAACATACTCACTTTTCCCTTTTCCCGAAAACTTCAGGGAATATTTGAGCTTGTGTATTCAATGCTTGGCTGTCTAGCATCTCTCTGCAAAGTTTTTACACAAAGTTATAATGCGTTCAAAGAAATGCATACTATGATTTCACATAACAAGTTGACAACCTTGGGTGGAGCACGAGCCGTTTAGGCGGCTATGTTCACTCACAATAACGGACAGCCTTTCGTGACGGCACGAAAAGCCTTCCGTTATAGGATGGCGGCATAGAACTGTCGTTCACATACATAGAACATTGCACCGGAGCGGTTGGCTGGGAGGGTTTAGTGAACTAACCCTAGTCATCACTCCTAAATATTTATTTTCGTCTCAATAGATTCCCAGTCTTCGCTCCTACTTATTCACTTCCGCCACGGTCCGAATACAGTGGGACTTCTAAATGGAATGATAAAATATATCCGCTACAAAGAGGTTTCGTTATATCGAGGTTCTGTTCCATCTATTTTACTATTGTTAGGGCTAGGAATATCGTTCGTTATATCGAGGACTTCGCTATATGGATGTTCGTTAAATCGACGTTCCACTGTACCTGTTCAGAATTGCCGTCGTTTCGCCCGAAGGCGTTCGCTAGGACTTAAGTCGAATCGCTCAGGTCTAAAAAAATCTAAAAGTCGTAACTGTTCATCAGTGGGAAGCCTAAAATGTGTACAATTCTACAACTGGTTTTGGTTCCATTAAATCCAATACCAATATTGAAGAACATTTTAGGAGGAGCCACCCACAATTTGAGCACAGTTTTTTATCTATGAAAGGCCGCGCGTAAACGTAAAAGTTCAGCACGGTTCAACTTTTACATTCTCACGCGACCTTTCATACATTGCCTATATTCTATTTACGCACGGAAAAATTACGTGACAGTGGAAATCCACCTTAAGAGATAAAAGAAACATGTTTCTCGCGCCCTGTTGAAATATATAATAAAGTAACTCAGAATTTTCAGCAATCAACTTTTAACACTCAACTTCAAAACAAAACAGAGGCGTGGCAATAACGCATATAAAGTGATCGGGAAATAAATTTCCCTACTTAACAAAGGCACCTTCCACACGTATCCTTTTCTGTTTGAAAACGGAGATGTTTTTCCCCGGTTTGGCCTACTGTCCTGACGTATCTTGTGAAAACGGTCACCAAAAACGCTATCCAGAGTGGAGATTTTTGAAAACGCCGTTTTGCTGTACACGAGTGGATGAATGAAAACAGAGGTTTTTTCATACGATTACGCCACGGGCTCAGATACAGGTAAATAAGCATGCTCAAATCAAAGATGGTTCCGTTTTCAGCCACCATTGCGTTTTCGTGCGGACGGGCTAAAACGATTCAAAATCGTAACGTGAGGACGCGAATTTTTTGAAAACGGAGCAAAAGATCTCCGTTTTCAAACAAAAACGGATACGTATAGACGGCACCCGAGTTCAAGGCATGGCTAATTATTATCGCTGTGCGAATGATGGACTACTTTAGACAATAGGTAGTTTTATTTTCTGACATAACGTATCTTTCAAAAAAACTCTCTGAATATACTGAACGGTGGATGCGGCGATCAAACAGCCGATAAAAGGATCTCAAAAACAAACTGACATAGCATTCACCTGATTTCAGCTTCCAATTTAGCATTGTTAGCTTCCAGCAACTTTACTTCATTTCGATGAATTTCTACTTCCTGTAAAAAAAATAATAATAATAATAAATCTTGTCGTCATTTTTGACAGAAGAAAAAGTACTTAAAATGTCCCTTACAATTCAAATAACGATTATGCGCCGATCGACTCGAAACTTATCCCTCTGGGTAAACTCCGGGCATTTGACCATCACTTGTGCCAGGGGGGTCGGGAACCATGGTAATTTGCACAGGCCTGTCTTAAAAAGTTCAAATGCCCGAGGGGAGTGGAAGGGGGGGAACTTGCCCGGGAAATGTTGACGTTTCATATTGATCGGCGCATTAAATATTTTCCATTTCACAAAATCCGGCAAGGAGAACAGAGGAGATCATGACGCATAACTCCACTCTCGCGATAGGCTGCGAGCAGTCTCTTATTTTTCTCTGCAAAGTTACTGCACGCGAACCCAAGCACGCGAGCCGCGATAAACGAGGTCCCAATCCCTTATTGTAACATGACGTTGTGGTTTGCAATCGCACTGGCTGAGATAAGAACTACACAGATTTTTTAAGAGAAAAGGCGGACTGCAGGAAGTGTATTCTCGGGAGTACCTACCTTTTTCATGATCATATTTTGTAGAGCCATCTCTTTAATATCATCCCCCATGGCATTTATTGTATCCTAGAAAAATCGAGAATGGAATATGCAAAGAAATTATGAGGATTACATATCATATAGTCAATGGGGAGATTTAGTATTACGTTTAAGGCAAACGGCCAGCATCAATCCGTAGCACCTGGCTAAATTTTCCCTTTAACACTTTCGTTTCCTGTTTACTGTTCATTATACCTACGAAAAATTAGTAACTTCACGCCGTGGAATGATAAAAAAGTTAGGGATTGTATGAAGTTTGGTATCTTTGGGACCAAGATGAGAGGAGGTTCATGTTCACATCAGAGGTATCTGTAGGGATAGGTTCGAATATACTGCTCAGACCGGTAAAATCAGTAAAATTAGTAAAATTGCGAGAATTCTCACCTATCACATTTTATTAGTACGACAAGTTGTTAACTAAAAAGCTAAGCATCTTTGCAACAACTTAGGATCAATTCCAATTCAAGCTTAAATTTCTTTCAAGTCCGTCTTCATTTTGAAAAAGAAGAGTACATCACTTTGAGAAGGACAAAATGGCGAATTATCAGAGGGAAGAAAATGTGGAAAATTTTGGGGGGGGGGGGCGGTTGGAAAACTAGCTCATTGCTGTCACAGTGTGTACAAACTGGTGAGAGAAATGTCTTGAAGTGGGCTAAAAATTAGACAAATTGTACCTCAGTCACTCGTGTTGTAATCTCTCTTTGAACAGTTTTTCTCTGATGACTAAATTTTTCCCTCTCAGCGTCAACTACAGCCTGTAACTCTTCCAGTTCTTCCTGAGAAAGAAGCAAACTAAACTCATGATCCCAGAGCTATTTTGAAATTAATAATAATAAACATTTTGAAAAAGGCCTTTTCCGAGTCGCCCCTAACAACAGGGATCAGAGGAGTTTATGTGTCAGACACAAATGAATGTGATATTAGCATCATGCAACATATTACAAGTCTGGTAAATTATTATCGTTGAATGATACCATCACTGGTTGTCTAGGTAAAGGTGATGTTACATTGTACAATTTGCAGAGACGATTTTTAGCACAACACAGTGTTGCAATGTTGGAACAACGTTGTAATTACTCAAACCAATATCACAACAATGTTGCAATGCTGTGTTGTGCTAAAAATCGTTGTTGCGAATTAGCCTCCAAGCAAGTTCTCCATTTGGGGGAGTCGCGAGAAGTCATGCGAGAGCAGCACCCGAAAGGAGATGTGAGTGTGATGGACGCATTCTCTGACTCGCGATTTGCTTCGCTTGCCATAAATGGGGAGCTTGCTAGCAGGCTAGTTGAGAATCATCCTATGTAACATCACCTTAAGAATGATTGTCATCTGAAGAGTGTCTTGGTGATCTTACAAGCCATCATCATCACATCACTTCTTGTTGCACCAATAGGTGTATAAGGCCTTGGGGCAGTTTGCATGCCTTAATAACCCCTAGAGCTACATTGGCTGGAGTCTTGGACTCCCAGTAGGGCCACCTATGCTGAACAGGGTGAAGTGTAGAGACCACACAAACTGTGACCCTCTGGTCCTTCCTCCAGGTTGAGGACTGGACATAGGTCTAACGACCCTGTCACATTTAAAAAAACTGTTACAGAAACCAGAAGAATTACAAGCCATCATCCCTTTGATTAAAAAAATAGGTGGCAGGCAGACTGTTCACAGTCCCCTATTATTCCTTAAGATTGCACAGATCAAGTGGTTACTGTTATGGGCAGCCATCTTGATTTCAAATGTACCGAGGAGATAGGCTATAAGGTTTATAGCGGTGGGGGGAGAAGGAGGTGAGAAAAACAGCATCCCTCCAAACTGCCCCCTGCCCCTTAAGTACATTTTATACTCATCCTCAAGTTAGAGTCAATACCAATCCTGACTATCTTCCATGAATCTTCAGAAAAAAAGGGAACTGTGAACAGTCTAGCTGGCAGGTACATATGTACAGCACTAACCTTAAAAGCTGATGCTAAAATTTCCTGTTGTCTCTTCAACTTTGCAATCTGAAGTGCTTTGGCTGGATATTCCTTGTCCTGTCAATGAAATGGGAGCAGATGGCCGAGCATTTAGAGCGATGGATTTATAGTTTGGAGGCCCCAAGCCTGGAGGGGGGAATACTCCCCCACAAAAGTGACGGGGTGTTCGTCGGAAAATTTCAACAACACCCCTAAAAGGTACCAGAATCTTGTCCCTGGGGTGGCCCCCAGGGGGAAGCCGCTGATTGTTGCATAATATCATTTAGAAATTAATACTGTGAAACAAGCTATTTTTTTAGTTAAAACAATAGATCGTTAATTTTTTTCTTCATTTGAATGCTAACAATAGTAATGTTTAAGATAGTATGCTAATGATACTATGTTTAAGAGCTTAAAAGTCATAAATTATCTTATTTAGATACTTCATACAAAGAAATAATTCAAACCTCTCGACTTATGGATTGTCATGAGAATGAAAACTCAGAACCATATCCCCCCCTTTTGACTTACCTTGTAGTTTAATAAGATATTCATTTCTTCATTTTTCTGTGTTAGTTTTTTATCCATAACATTCAGTTGGAGCTGCAATTCTGAAAGGAAAAATAATATTGAAACCTTAAAGAATTGACATGATGCACACGCATGAACTTAGAAAAAAACCTTCAAACTTAACTTCTTATATAAGCCACAATAAAGGAAATAACTATGCTGTCAGGATATGCGGGCATTTCCATGAATTATCTTGTTCATATTGTTTTGAATGGTCCACAAAATCCTTACGTAAATCAAGACACAAAGAAATACTTGCCAAATTTTCCTGCCCAAAAGAATCCTGGAGTGGCCCCCCTTAAATCCTTCAGCTTTTTGATCAGTTCTGTCATTTGATTCCGAAGGAACTCCACCCACCCTCTGGGACAGAGCACAGCTTAAAGAATATAGCTGCTAATATTAAATATATGTGGTACATGTGGGGGTGGGAAGTTTGTGAGTAGGCTCTGGTAGTATAAATGTAGTGACAAAATCCGGACTTCTCAGTGATTTCTACAGGATGAAACTATTTCAAATTAATTTTAATGCACCTGCAATTTCCTTATTGACCAGCATCCTTGTTTCTTCAAGTCTCTTCTTTGTGACAACAAGATCCTCCCCAAACTTTTCATTTAATGTTGACATGGCACCCTAGAAACAAGATATACAATATTCAATGAAGGATAGACACTTCCACGGTTTTTTCAACTTTTGACTTGGATCAGTTAGATAAAATCCATCAACATGGCTGGAAAGAATGCCTTAAAATTAGTAATGCTGCCAAGTTTGAAAGTGATTTGTTGAAAACTATTGAGGATATAGCTCTGGAAAAATGTTTCTCAGATCAGATAGCTAAACAGCTAATTATTGACTTTCGAATGACATTTTATTGGTTGATTGAGTTCATTTGGTAGCTTCCTATAATTAGTATCAGTAACAATTATTTTTATGTATATTGAAAAAGTCAAAGTGCCGATGATGCTAATTGACCTTCCATTTTCATAAGTTATCTTAAAAATAATCCGATATTGTTTCAGAAGTAACAGCAATGTGGATTTCCAAATTGTAGAGAAAGAAAGGACTTAATCTAAGTTTAGAAACACAAAAAAAAATTTGTGCTGTGTTCACCTACTCCATAAAGCGGGCGCATGAAATTAGGAAGAGTTAATGTCGCAGTCGTGCAACTATGGCTGCCCTATGCACATTGTTTTTCTAATTTTTGGTTTTCTTGTCACTGTTGCAGTAGCTGTCATTGTTGCTTAAGCTCCCTATTGTTGTGATCTAGAGATTTTGCTACCGTTGGTAATGTGACATCATGTCTTTAATCCAGATATTCTGGTCTGAAATCCAATACTGCTGAGCGTTCAAGCAGGCAAAAAAAGAGGCATATTTGCTGGAAACATCAACAAATATACTTACTCTAAATCTTTCATATTTTTGAAGCAATGTTTTAACATCTCCATGCTGTAACGTAAAATATATATTGCAGGTAAGTTTTAACACTAGGAAGCTTTAACTGCATGTAGGTAACTTGTTATTGAATAAGTTTATAGGGTAAAGTATGGTCATTTTAAAAAAATTAATTTTTACTTAATTTTTTAGCTGCTTTGTTGCGATTATTATTTAAACCTTTTTTCAATTTGGTTTAAATTTCCCTTATTGATTTTCCTTGAAGAAAGATTCAGGGCAGTCATAAAAGTAACCAGGGATTGTACATATTTTAACCAGAACTAAGCTTTTTAATAATTAATGAAGCAGAATCCCAAGGCAGTGGGCCCGGTTCCTGAAAGGCCAATTAGTGCTAACCAGGATTAAGATCTTACTCCACTTTTGTTATTTAATGTGCTATACATTGCTTAGAGAAACATTTTGTGTAAATCATTGTGTCTCAGAGTAGAGGCTCAACAGTATTTCGTAAGCTTAAGTTACATGTTTTTAGCAAGAAAACCGTGCTTAAAATTTTGCTTAATCCTGGGTTAAAATTGACCATCTTCCCAGGAACCAGGCCCTGGACATTAAATTAAAAGAAATGGGCATTAATTATGTTCCTTGAATGCCACAATCATACACCTAAGATTTACATAAGTCTTCAATCCAGGAATTTATTTAGCAACCATGTTTTACATCCTTTTTAAACTTACAATCTGATTTTCAGAAGATTCCATTTGATCAACTACTTTCATGTTCTCTAACAATCTATTTTCACAGTCAAGGACTCGCGCATAAACAGTGCTTATGTCAGCAATTGACACAAACAGTTCAAACGTTTGTCGTTTGTGCAAAGAAATAATATTAGTTACATGTCTACATGCACATAATTGTGTTAAGTTCTATGATGGTATCAGAAAACTTAACTTAAGTTTACATTTCTTTGACTTGCACAAGGGTGAACATCAATATGACGTAGCATTCTTAAAGAGAGATTTTTGCGATCATACTCCATGATCAATTTGGATGGGTTATAAAATCAGATTATTTCTGATACAGTTACACTGTTCCAGGATGTATGTGTGTGTGAATTGGGGGGGGGGGGGTTATCCCCCTATTTTGCCTTAATGGGTCTGTGCCACAGAACAGGGTGTGAATTTTAGAGTCTTGACTCTTAAACAGGGTATATAATAATAATAATATTATTATTATTTCACTATTTAGTGTCTTGAATAGGGTGTCTTCTTGGAATATAGAAGCCTTTAAAAGAGTATAGTCTATATGCCCGTTGCCTACAATGTTTTCTTTTTTCAAATAAAACTAATTCCATGATGTAAGTTTAAAAATAATAATACCGGGTAATTAATTTTGTGTGCAAAAGGAGATGACTCAGGGAAATGAAATTAGGTCTCTTGCCCTAGCTGAAAAAAATGAAAGATTGTTGTCCTAAAAAGGGTCAGGATTTGAGAGCCTCAGTGTCATAGCTCCACCAAAGCTTCTCTTGAGTGCCCCCACCCTTCGGGCACTCACTGTAATATCACTTTTTAATATCACACAGAAAGGATACAGTTCTCTCTTCCTGTTTTCATATTCTGCTATGGACTTCTGTCTTGTTTTTATCTGAATCTGATGTAGAAAAAATTCAATACTATTTTTGTTAAGACAAAAGTCACTTTATAATGCTGTTATAGAAGGCTGTTGCTTTACGAGTCTACTTTAATATGTAGATTTACCCAAGGCTTAAAGTAAAGCTTCCATTTATAAATTTAGAATTCACTTCAAACAGCGAACTTGTAACCACTGCAAAGAAATCCACTTGGAGTTTGGCCTGCGATCAGTTAAAAACTAGGAACTAGTCAGGGAATAACTTCAAAAAACCACGTAACCTTGATGGTTTGATACCTGAGCCAGTGATATCTTCACGTGAAACTGGGTCAGCGGATACCCTGTTTTGACAGCTTTCAATTAACCACAACATGGATGTGCAGTATCAGGTTGCAGGCTCCAACACTAGCTAAAAAGTGTGAAATTTCACATTGGTATCCCTGTGGTGTGAACTGATGGGTGGACATCACCTAGTCCCTGTACGGCATCTTTCCAGGCCCTCTGGGTCAATGCATTTTGGTGACATATCTGAGACGAAGGGACCCAAAACGTGACCCAAAACGCATCGGCCACACATAATAATGAGGCCAAGGGACTAGGCAAGGGTGGACGCACAGATGGACGCTCAGATGGATGTTAACAGGAATGTGACTACCAAAATGTCTTAAATGGATAGAGAACCACATTTTCTTAGCTGTGGGGCTCAGATGTCAACCCATCAAGGTTACATGTTTTTTAAAGCTCTCAGCAAACAAGTTACAGTGGAACACAGCTATAACGAAGACCCTATTTTAATGAAAAACAACTGAAAGCCTGGCAGAATTACAGTAAAATATGTGGACACGAACCCCCCTATAACAAAATCCCCACTACAACGAACAGATTTTGATGGTCCCAAAGCACAATTTACCCTGCTGTAATGAATATTTTGTCCAGTTGTTCCCAGCAGTCAGTAAAAACAATATATTTGAGTAGAAATCACAGCTTGCTTTATTCTGGTTTTGACAAGTATGTGCACTGCACTATTGTAGTGTTGAATTTCTGCTTCAGTGTGCTGGCACGTCTTCCTTAAGGCTAGTTTTCACTAGCGATGAAGTCGTAAGCGCAGTCGTAAGAGCGCTTATGACCCAGTGAAAATCAAAAAATCGGAATCGTAAGCGGAGTCATAGGCACGACAGAATCCGAGTCAGAAGAATCACAACATTTCCCTTTCTCCCAACTCCACTTACGACTCTGTAGCTTACATTCCGCTTATGATCTAGTGAAAACCAGATTGTCAGAGTCGGAAGCACAAGCGGAAGGATAAACCAATCACAAAGCACATTCCCATGCTTTGTGATTAGTTT